CCTTCATTTCTAAAGCCTCCCTTGGTCTCACCCCCTACTCCTCTGGCTGCTTCCCCTCCTTCGAGCACCTTACCCTCTTCCATCCCTCTCTCCCATTGAAAATCCTCCTGGTCTGCCGCCACCCCTAAGCCCCCCGGTTTCTTCCACACAGACATCTCTACTCTCCTTTCTTCCCTGACCCTCTGCCACGAGCGTCGGCTCATAATGGGTGATTTCAACTTCCACCTAAGCTCCCCTTGCCCTACTTCTGCCGACTTCACTGCCTTCCTCTCCTCCCTAAACTTCACCCTTCATATAAATTCACCTACCCACAACCATGGTAATGCCCTTGACCTCATTTTCACCCATGGCCTTGACATTTCGGACCTCAGCATAGTGGACAAGCCCATCTCAGACTACTTTCTCATCTCCTTCTCCTCTCACATCTCTCTCTCCTCCAGCAAGCCCTCAACCATCCTCTACCGCCCTTGGAAAAGGACCCCCTGAGACCCTCACAAAGGCCCTCACATCATCAAACATCCTATCCCTCTGGCCTTCCACTCGCGGAGATCCTGAAGCAACCGTCCAGCTGCTCCATGATTGCCTCTCCTCCACCATCGCCTTTCCTCCGTCATCCACCTCAGTGGGACCGCACTCGCCTGGTTTGAGTCCTACTTCACAAACCACCAGCAGTACATCTGCACAAACAACTTCTCCTCCCGCTCTCACCCGGTAAGCTGCGGGGTACCCCAAGGATCCATCATTGGCCCCCTCCTCTTTCTGATCTACATGCTCCCTCTTGGGGATGTCATCCGCAGACATTTCCACATGTATGTGGACGACACCCAACTCTATTTTTCCACCTCTCTTTGCAACCCCCAGTCCCGATGTTCTGTCAGCCTGCCTGTCAAATCTCGGGCTGGATGAGCGCAATTTTCCTTCAGCTGAACGTTGACAAGATGGAAGCCATACTCTTTGGCTCTCGTCAATGTCTAAAATCTCACGGTTCTCACCTCTTCCACCAACCTGATCTCCCCTTAAAACTCTCCGAACCTGTACGAAACCTAGGCGTCAGGTTCGACCCCCAATTATCCTTCATCACCCCACATCTGGTCCCTCACCAGCACCGCCTTCTTCCACCTCCGACGCATCATCCGTCTATGCCAAATCATCACTCCAAAAGCCGCTGAAACCTTGGTCCATGCCTTTGTCACCTCTCGGCTGGACTATTCGAACCCCCTCCTCGCCAGCCTCCCCTCCACTACCATCCACAAAATCCAGATTATTCAAAACTCTGCCGCCCGTATTCTCACCCGCACCAAACTCCGCTCCCCAATTACCCCAGTCCTTGCCAGACTACACTGGCTGCCTGTCCCAGAGAGGATCGACTTCAAGATCCTCACCCCGGTCTTCAAATCCCTCCGCTCCTCTGCACCCCCACTACCTCTCTGACCTCCTCTCTCCTCAAAACAGTACCCATTGCCTTCGTTCCTCCGGGTCTGGTCTCCTCCTTGTCCCCCGAGTCCTCCGCTCCACCATCGGCGGCCGTGCCTTCAGCCACTATGCCCCGAGACTCTGGAACTGCCTTCCTCACTCACTTTGCCTCACCCCCTCTCTTTCTATTTTCAGGTCTCTGTTGAAGACCTTTCTTTTCGGCTGCGCTTTTGGTCACCTTCCTCCCCCTCCCACTGGCTCAGCCTTGGGATCCGTTACTGTGAAGCACTATGAGATACTGTCCGGCGTGGAGGGCGCTATATAAATCCAAGTTGTTGTTATATTCTTACTGGTTGTCTAAATCTTTCAAGGGTTTTGGCGTCAACTCAATTCGAAATATACTCCTTTTTATTCCAGGATTGCCTGAATTTGCTCTTTAATGAAGCCCCTTTTGTAAACTTTTGCCATATTTCTAATTCACAGACATTGTTAGCAACTAATGTAACTCAGTTCGCTAAGCCACACCTTTGTTAGGAGTTGGAATCTGATTAAGTTTATTACAGCCAGAGAAAAAATGTTGAAGACAGAGATAAGAAATTCCATTGTTATTGGAACCATTCCACTATCACCTTTGCTCAGCTGGCTCGGACCTTCTGCACGCCCCTCGCTCCCTCCGCTCCACCACCAGCAGCCGTGCTTTCAGCCACTATGCCCCAAATCTCTGGAACTCTCTGCCTCAATCCCTCCGTTTTGCCCCATTTGCCTGACGTCAAGTCACACCTGAAGACTTTCCTGTTCGACCATGCCTTCGGTCACCTCCCCTCTCTTTCCAGCTCTGTGTAAGACCACCCTATCTACTGTTAAGCACTCCAAGACGTTATCCTTGTGATGGCCTCCACATAAATGTAAGTTGCTGTTAGGCCATGGAAAATAATGTTAGGAAACAGTCATGTGAGTTCAATTTTAACACAGGAACAAGAGGGTGAAATTCAATGAAACAATATCCATTAGTAGTACCAATTCCACAAACAGTCATAGATTGAAAGGAGTAAAGAAACTTGCCCAAGGTTTCACCCTGCCTGGAATTGAACTCAGGTCTCTCACTTGCAAAGCGAGTGCTCTCACCACTGAGCCACAGGACTCCACAGGATGCAGGGAGGAGGAAGAGTGCGTAGGGTGGCATATTTGGAGTTGCGGGGGAGCAAAAGAGGAAAATTTAGGAGGAGCAATACCCATAGCAAGATGGATAACATAAACAGAAAGTTGTTATGGTAGGGGGATTAAACAACAACAAGCCTTTTTTGCTTTACTGTGCAAGAGCGTGCAAAAGAAATGCTGGAGGAGCCTCCTTGATATGAAATAGCATTCAAGTTCTGGACGGACTTCAGCTCCATAGAGTTAATCTAGTTGAATGCTTGGCACAACAGAGGAAACAAAGCTTCTAGGAAAATTTTAGAACAAAGGCTTTTTGTCGATTTATTTCATACATTTGTGCCTTTTGACAATGACACTCCAGCTAATTGTACCAGAGAATTGGAGGCAGGAAATGTAATTCCATCATTCAAGAACCGAAGAAAATACAAAGCAAGCATATTTATCAAGATGCTCAGTCATTTTCTCCCTGATGATAGATTGATAAACTATAGGTCTCTGGGTTTACAATCAGTAGTGCACAATTTACTATAATCTATCATCAGGGAGAGATTAACTGCATATTTATCAAGACGCTCAGTTATTTTTTCCCTGATGATAGATTGATAAACTATAGGCCTGAGTGTTTAAAATCAGTAGTGCACAATTTACTATAGTCTATCATTGCATGCATTTTAAGTGCTCTGAGACACTGCCCGGTGTGGTGGGTGCTATATAAATGCAATTTGTTGTTGTTAACTGAGCATCTTGATAAATATGCAAACCCATGTTGACTCTCATGTTTCATGACTCTACTAGAGTTCTTTGACAGAACGACATACGTGATAAATAAAGGGGGTTATTTATATGGGTTTCCAGAAAGCATTTGACACATTGCCACATAAAAGATTAGCTAAAATTAAGCCACATGAAACAAGACATTCCATGCAATTTACTACCAACTAAATAATTTGAAAGTAACAGAATTATGATATATTCTGCTAAGACATAAAAAATTCTGTAAGCCTTTTCGTGGCGCAAACATTTCCATGATGTTACGGGCAAAATCATTAATTGGTCCTAATTAGCAGGTGGGGTTCAGAGCAATGTTATTTTCATATTCAAAGTCTATCTTTTCTGAGGCTTTTAAGACCACTCCGAATATCGGGCAAATTGATCTTGGCATTTTCAGCTACTGTTCATGGAATCATCATAATGGATTGAGCAGCAGGTAAGTTTGTGAACCTGTACTTCTAAGTTGAACGTTTTTTAATTTCAGTTATTGGTGCTTTCAGACATAAATATCTGTCTCCTCCCACCAGAGATCTATTTCCAACTTAGCACAGAGGAGACTCTTTACTCCCACTGAGGAGTGCGGTCTTGACAAGCCTTTGCAATGAAGGGAGCTCCATCTTGGAACCAAGCTACTATTAATAATATTCTTTCACTGTACTTCTTTTAATATGCATGATGACATATACAGGATATCACTTCAGTTTGATAGACATTCTTGAGAGTGGGGAGGGAATATGCTAAGTCTGTTCAAATTAATAACTTCTAAAAGTAGCTGTTTAATATCAACTTTGAGAAAATATCTGTACAATCCATTTCTTACGATCTTATAGATAGTTGTCTTTTAGGAAATAACAACATAGGTAATTTGGGACATATTTGCAAGCAACTGCCAGGAAGGTGGAAGGCAAACTAGATGGACCTTGGTCTTTTTTCGTTTAGCATTTATGTTTTTATGACTCTGTCCAGTGAAAACCAGCGAGATACAATGCATCTGATCAAACTGCCTGAACAACTAAGTAATTAAATATATTTATGGATGTGTTGGTCTTTTTGTTGCAGGTAATACAGTACAGGTTTTCATTTATATAGTCCCTTGCACAAAGGGAGGACATCCCAAAATGCTTAAATGAAGAATAATTGCCATTAATGGCCAGGTTGAGTAGTCATTTGAGCAATAATAGCTACATTGTGGTCCTTTTGCTCATACCCTACCCTGCCATTCATTGGACCTGTGGAACGACTTTGAAAGTGACTCAGCATCTCTTGGACGACCAATCTGTTGATTGGCTAGGCTTTGGGAGAGCTGGCAAAGCTTCATGCCTCCAGAAGAAGTGTTCAAAACAGAGGTAAGAAGTCCCACTGTTTGGGATACTGGAAAAGAATAAGTCTGGAGGCGATAGTAAAAATAACATTCTGAAATACAGTATTTCAAGTGAATATTATAGAACAAAACTCAACGATTCACTTATTCAGCAATATTTAGATAGTAATTTTACATGAATCTATCTTAAATATTTTAATCTTATCCCTACCTGTTTGTAAATAAGCACCATTATTTTACTTGAGATTAAATATTTTTGTCCAACAATAAAAGCATGCTAATTGTATTGAGTAAAAGTAGGCTGTTTACTTTGAAGATACCGAAGAAGTAGTTAAACACATTTTTTGAAGTCTTTGCATTGCCTTTATTTATAACACGCAGTTTAGATGACTCTGCTATACAATTATGTGATATCTATACACAACCGTTTCCGAACAATAAACCCCAATTATTTTTAATGATTTATACACCCAACAGAAACCTTGAACCTGGACTGTACAGAAAAGATCATAGGCAATTCACACTTGAACAACAATAAAGATGATAGTTTTAAACGTTATGTTTTAAATGTTCACTGCATTTTCAATCAGTGTGATAACACAATAAGATTCACACCACCCTTTAGAAGAAGCTGGTCTTAAGCTTGATGGTTGGAGCAGCTTGTACCACAGGCCGTGTTTGTCGCATTGCTGCCTTCGCTCTGTTGCTGGCCTGGCTTGCTCGAATTGCACCTTCCAGTTTTGATTTGAGCTCTTGCACTGCTCCCATCACCACTTTAAATGCATTTGGATAAAGGGGACCAATACGCATCAGGTTCTGCAGTGCAAATTCATGAAGACCCTTTGAGGTTGTGGTAGCTGAGTTGTATGAATTTTCATCCAACAGGTAAGAAATAAGGGTTGGGACTAAAAGAGCAAGTAGCTGTATTCCTTTAAAAAAAAGAGGAAGAGCTTTCATTAGTACAGTATTTCTCAGCTAGCATGTTCTCAGTGCAGTTAGTAAGTCAAAATGAATCCAACACATACTTTGAACTACTCCAGCCTTGACAATTATGCAATTTTAAAAGAAATCCTGAATTCATCAAAATAATTAAATCACTATTTTCAGAAGGTGCCATGTTGGCTCCAACTCTAAAAATATACAATAAATCAGAAGGCAGCATTCACCAACCAGTCTTGCACCTGCTGCTTTATGCAGCAATGCTGATTTCCTTAGCATTTTATGCAACAATGCTGAATTATTTTGTATTGAAGTGAGGGTATATTCTGGAAGCACCATTCCCTATATAAAAAAATCAAGTGTTGTTGCATCGCTAATTTTGCACTTTTACATATCGCTTGTTTTTGAATTGCTGAACATTTGCTGTGATTAAGAGTGGTAGGTTCTGGGCTTGTGAATGTCCCGTCTTTTACCGAGGCAGGAGCAGTGGCTAAGCCACAAAAATGTTCCTTTTGGTCAATTTTCAGTCATTCTGGTGGAGGACTGGAAGTATGCTGCACTCTTTCTTGCCTGAAGATTGCAGTTGAAGACAAAGAGCAGAAAGAAAATAAATTTGTGCATATATAGAGAGAAGGGCATAGAGAGAAATACGGCAAGGGAATCAGGATGGATGGAGGCTCATGTGAGTATAAACATCAGCAGATTTGTTGGACAGAATAGCCTGTTTTGGTGCTGTAAATCCTTTTGTAAAAAAAATTAAAATAGGACAGGAATCCATGGTATAAAAATATCGTTTGCCTCTGTAAAAAAGAATTATGACACTGTAATACGCAAAAGAACCAAATGCTCTGTGGGAGGATCATTTGCAATTTAGTTAGTCTAGATCCAAGTATTTTTGGATGGTTACTCATACAGTGCTAGGTTTACAAAAATGTGCAAAGCTTAAAAAGGGGAGAAAAACACAGGTACAAAGGAACCTTTTTATTTCCAGCTTTTTAAATCCATCCAGCTCCGCCTTCTAGAACAAATCAGGCCAGCTATACTTACACCCACACTAATACCTATCACTAATTTGTTAACCCTGCACTAGGCAGATGTCTAATATCATCAAAGAACAAACCTCCAACAGTGCAACATTCTCTTAGTACTATTGTCCAACTTGAAACCACAACTTTGCGACCTAGACGCCAGAATGCTCTAACTTAGTCAAATTTGTAAACTCTACAGTTCTGGGGTTACATTACAAATTTTAAGATAGACCATTATGTTGCTAAAATTCATTTATGAAGCATGGTGAAAAACATGCTATGAGGACATTTCATTTTAAAATTCATGTTTTTAATTCTGGATTCATAGGACTCTACACTTGTCCGACTACATCCATTATTAAAACATAAAACATGAGAGTATCAATAATCTTCACATAAGTTGTATCAGTTGGAAGATAGGTTAAGGTATTGAGTTGACGAATATCCAGTGCATTGCCTGAGAGATAGCAGCAAAGTATAATGAGCCAACTTACTATTCTGTTCCTCTCCCAGATTAACCAGTGTTTCAAGGACCTTGATTCCCTCTTGTACCGCTTGAAGTTCAGCACTGTTTTCTGGTTTATTTTTCTCCACGGTCTTTAGCTTCTCAACCACTAGTGGAGCCAGTGCATGGATATATGGAGTAGAGAGGGCGCGATTTGAGTGTTGAAACACTGAAAGCAGGAGCTGGTAACATTTTGCTTGAACCTATAAAGAGAAAGAGACACTCATCTTCATTTTACTCTCTGCAATAGTCTACCTACATCTCTACAGACTGTGCCACCAGCAGGATTTATGCAATCAACAGATTTTATATGATTGCAATTTCCAGGCAGTAAAAAAAGGACATCTCAATGAGCAGTCTCATTGAGATGTTGCTGAGTGCAGATTAGTGTTGGTTATATAGTGACATTTGCTTAATTTCAAATCAATCTTATTTTGTAAAGCGCTTTGAGAGGTTTCATTTTATGACAAAGCCGTTTATGGAAACAGTTCAACCTTGTAAAACTGACTGCATTCTGATGAACATCAAATAAATATTCTAGAACATGTTAAATAAGTAAATAGGAATTTATTTTTAATATCAGATTTCTTTAAAGATCTATGTTTCACTGAGAATATTGATTAGATGTGTTAGACTTCCATGTTCCTATGACAAATATACTCTCTCCAGTAACCATAGTAACATGATATATTCGTGATTGCTTTTTAAGCAGCAGTTCATTTCTCTGTTGAAGCAGAAAGCCTGCAATGTTGTGCTATCAAAACTGAATACTGATTCTTTCTGGATACTGACTGATATACCAATACTCAATACTGACTGACCCTATATACAGGAATAGAGGGGACCATTTCTAAGATTACAGATGGTGCTAAAATAGGATATTATAAATTGTGAAGGACAGGTGAAAAACATAAAGAGACAAAATACGTAATCATTGATGTCTCAAAGCGGTTCACAGGACTTAACTGTGAAGTGTAGTGACTGAATTTTCACGTAAACGCAGCAGACAATTTGTGCACAGTAATGCCCCACAAATAGCCAGAGCTATGGCAGATAGTTTTGGCATTGCAAAGTGTGAGGTAATACACATCAGATGGAAGACAAGCATTGTTCTAAATGGAGGAGCACTAGGAGGGGTAGATGAGCAGAGATCTAGTAATTCAAGTGTAGATCATTAAAATTAAGTTTATAAATTCAGAAAGCAATCCCTAAGAAATGGGATGGTAGCCTTTATAACATGAGATTTAGATTATAAAAGAACATGCTCCAGTTATAGAGAGCTGGGACCACATCTAATTTGGAGTAGTGTGTTTTTCTGGGTAACTAATCTTAGGAAGGCTATTCTTGGAGGTTGTACAGCAATTTTTCACTAGATTAATAACTGGGTTGAAGGGGTTAGCTGTGATGAAAGACCAGGATTATATTCCTTAGAGTAGAGGAGTTTAAGTGGGATTTGATTGTGGACAGAGGTGGCAGCTATTTTGCACACAAGGTCTCTCAAACAGCCATTAAATAAATAATCAAAGAGAGGACCAGGACACCAGAAGAAACTCCCTTCTCTTTGCATAACCTCATGGTTTTTACCCATACTTTATCAACAAAAATTACTCTTGCAAGAGTCTTTTCTTGTCCTATACGTTACGTTTGTAGTAGAAGCTGCTGCTTCATAGACAATATATACAGAGCTATACAGATGCAATGGTTGTACACATTTGAAATAGAATTCAGACTCGATAAAAATACAAAAATGTGAATATTGTTGTGTTCACAGATGGAAAGGCAGATAATTCTAAGCAACTCTGATTTTGTCCATCTGCCCCTTCTAGAAAAGTTAATAGAAAGTTTTAACTTAAATTTTTTTTAAGTTAATTGTTTTCAGAGGAATAGACAGATATCGCCTGGCGTTCAGCTGATCTGCCCCACTGTCTGTAACCATCCTGGTGTCCCTCCGACTCCACCAGCTTCTCATCTATTTCAAGTCCACATAAAAATCTTCCTCTTTGACCACACCTTCAGACATCTTTTCCCTCCCCATTGACCTCATCTCCCACATCGTGCTAGGGTGTTGAACCAGGACTATGCCTTACGACATCCTTCTGACACAAAAAGCGTGACGTAGATATAAATTTGTATGTATTGCCTTTTCTTGCAGTGGAGACCAGATTAGGAGAGCAATTTTACTAAACACAACAATTTTACAAATTTCAAACACAAAAAAAACTTACCCAGGGGTCGTTGGAATTTAAAGCACTTCTGAATCTCTCAATGCAACAATTTTGCAGAGCTTGAATGCCAACTACCTGGTTACTGGCAGGCAATAAGAACAGGGTAATGGCTGTGAGCATGCTTACTTCATCTACATTAGATTTTGATTCCTCTGAAAAACAGGAAGCAAACCAAACTTTTACAGCACATACTGCATTTTCTATAAGCTATGAATCTCCATATCTGATTGCTTGCAGTCAGGAGAGAAATGGCAGGTGCAAAGGAGCATAAATAACTTCAAATGATTGATTAACAATTACAAACACTGCATTAATTACTTTTAATTAACAACAACTAGTAAGCAGCAGCAGTAACAAGACCAACCACCTTACTCCTTTAAGTTCCATCAGTTCCACCAGTCACTCGGACTTGAGACCATATCCCACTCTAGTCCAATACTGTTAGTATAGACTTGCTTATACAATTCAAGACCTACCTGGTTTTGAATATTCCAAAACAGAAGCCAGAGAGCTACATATGAGGCCTTTCCATGGCTTGTGGATTTCATCTGATTTGGCCAATGGAGAAGTAATGATAGTCTTTATTGCCTGTAGAGCTGCACTGACTGGAGGAGCTACATGATTATCTGCTGATTTTATTGCTGTTTCTCTCAGTACTCCCGTGATAAGATAAAGGATTGTGGGTAGCACTGTCATACTGCCTGTGAAGGGTGAACAAATGCAAGTTATTCGGAGATATAAAACATCCTAATTACAAGCTAATATTTACAGTGATCCAGGGGTTTAAAATATCATGTTTATTGGTTAATTAGGCATAGCACAACAACATGAATGTAACGAAAAGTAAATTTCAGCTAATGACAGCTTAAGAACTGAGCAACTAACAAATCAAACAGAAACATAATACTCAAAAGGAACAAAGACATCTGAAAAATACTCTGATGTAAAATTATTTCTGTCATCCAAATCAAACCTCTTTCAGGACATTTTCTTAAGCTTTGCCCTTTGAATACAGTCATATTACTTTAATTTTGGTATAATATTCCCTGTTCTTCATTCACAACCTTCCACACACCATGGATAATTCTGATCATTTGATCGAACAAATGACAAGAGATCTCGAATAAGTAATGAAAAAGATTTGCATTACGTGCCACTTGATATTTTTACGCAGGTTTATTTTCTTTTTAACCATGGAGTTTGGCAGGAAAAGTTGAGCAGACTCAGGACAGATTTTAACACTCCATCCCCCTCACTCATATGTGAAATACAATCCAGATCAGCAGGTTACCTCGCTTGGGTCAATGACCTCTGTCCCCAGGGGGAGGCCAAATGCAAAACAGCTCTACAAACCTTCATGTCTCAGTCTAGTCTATCTTCTGCCCAGAATGTACACTGAATGTAATAGTATTAGAGAACACAAAAGAGAATAGGTCACTTAAGAGAAGGTCGGCTTTCTGTAAGTACTTTTCATTTATTTGATGGTATTACATTCAATTAAGGTACAGTAATATGAAAAGATAAAAGGATTTCCTCCACAATTAGTTCCTATCAAGTAAACAGAAAACTTGCTTTTACTGTAGAATTTGGGCTTCATCATTTATCTGCAGGCTTTAAATACATGGAGACATTTGTGCTAATCATGTATCTGCAGCTTCAAGTACATAAGTTAGTTCTTTTTAAGTTATTCTTACCTGATGGAGAACAAAGAGATGGCAAATCAGCCAAGATAGTAACAGTGGCAGCAACAAGGCGGCCGCTCTCTTCTGATAAAAGCTGTGCCTTGTTAGGAACATGACTGGGAGATTCTGTTACTTTAGGATTTAGCTGTGGAAGGTGTCGCACCAGGATAAACATAAGTAGTTCCAGTGCTGCAAACACAAGCGATTTTCCGGGAATGAGACCACCAGTTTCACCTCCTTCCCCCAGTGAATCCTTCTCAGAAATGGGTTTACCACCTAGAAAACATTGAACGTTACAATATTACATTTTCAAACAAGCTCTAACAACTTATACAGCAAGAATATGAGAGCAAATGGTCGGAGTGTGCAACTTTACTTTAATGTACACTTATTCAATAGGAGTTTCAGTACAAAACTTACTTTGAATGTTCTGCTGTTGCTCTTGAAGATAATCTTGAGCAGCTCGAATTGTCTGCTGCACAACACGAGTCACTTGTAATTGGATTGAGGGAGGGCCACAAGTAAGCAAAAGGCGGTGTAATACATTAAGCAGCTCAACTACAAGAAGCTGTAAGTGAATCAAACACGAATATTTCAAGTTCTTAGACAATATGGTTGTGCTTTCAGTTTGAGCTATGCAAACACATTTATTTTTGGACATTCTGCCATATGTTTATTCAGTTAACTTGTTCCATCAGTGGGGAATTCCATGCCAGCCAATTTCCCGCAGGCGCTGACAGCATCAGCATCCAAGGCTGCACTCTCCACCTCTCAAAGCCGGTCAGGAACCTCGGGGTTCTGTTCGACCCCGAGCTGTCCTTTCTCCCTCATATCCGCGCCACAACTGGCACCGCCTTCCATCACCTCCGGAATATCGCCAGACTACAGCACTACCTCACCCCTCACGCTACTGAAACTCTGGTCAACGCCTTTATCACCTCAAGGCTGGACTATGGGAACTCTCTCCTCGCCGGCCTTCCCGGCACCTCCCTCCACAAGCTGCAGGTCATTCAGAACTCTGCAGCTCGTGTACTGTCCCACACCAGGCTTCGCGACCACATCACTCCCACCCTCGCTCGCCTCCACTGGCTCCCCATCCCCCAGAGGATCGAATTCAAGATCCTCATCCTCACCTACAAGGCCATTCACGGCCTTGCTCCCTCCTACCTCTCCAACCTACTATCCCCCCACTTACCTGCCCGTACCCTCATTTCCTCTGGCTCCGGTCTGCTCCACATCCCCCGCCCCAACCGCCCTACCATCGGTGGCCGGGCCTTCAGCCTCAGCCCCGAGGCTCTGGAACTCTATCCCCCAGTGTCTTCTCCGCTTCCTCCCTTTCCTCCTTCAAGGCCGGTCTCAAGACCTTTCTCTTTGACTGTGCCTTCAGCTCCCCTCTCGACTCTCTACCCCCTCCTCGCTCCCTCCCTTCCCTCCCCTAGCTCCTTGGGACGTCCTCCCGATGCGAAAGGCGCTCTATAAATGGAATCTTGTTGTTGTTGTTGTTCTCTATAATGGGAATTTTCTTCTCTCCCACACACATAACTTATTCTGTCTAGGCTGAATATCTCACATTTTCTCCCCAATTCCCTGCAATTTAATTGGCACTTTCTCGCAGTTTCCCCTATTAAAAACAAACCCATCCTGATTGGTGGACCACACTGTTTATGCCATTCAGCCAAGAGATCCAGATCTGCCTTGCTGATAAAGAAGCATCAGTAAAGGATGTGGGATAATGTGGAAGTTTGATGGAAATTACACAGTAAATGCTACATATATATGTGTGTGTGTGTGTGTGTGTGTGTACCTCAATCACTATCCATGCAGTAGCTTCTTTTAATGTCTTTAGCAAAAAGTAGATAATTCAAAACTGACGAAAGAATGCATTATTTTAGTTCTAAAACTGTTTAGGCTTCTTATTTTAATCTGCTCCCTTTATGAACCCATTGCGGGTAAGATTCAAATCAAGGCCTGAATATCCGAGCAGTTGTACTTGTGAACTTGCGATTGGGTGTGTGTGTGTGGGGGGGGGGGAGGGAGTGATAAACCATCTATTATGAATCATTACGGAAAATGCATCACATATGGAATATTAAACGCAGATGACTGACAAGGTTTTCACACTGGATCATTCGTCAGAGTTACCCTTACAGCACAAATGACACATTGACAAATGTATAGTGTTTATTGGATTAACCTCTTACCTGATCCTCTCCAATGTAGGCTCTAGCATAGGAGGAGTCCAACAATGTGTGCAAAGCCTGTAGGCAAGCTGCAACATGTTCCAACGGTTCCTCAGGCCTGGGAGAACATAGAAACTCTATACTGATGCCTATAAAAATAAGACAACAAATTCTGGTTTGTCAAGTTAATAAAAAAAATTTGGGGAAAATGTTCAATGAACACAAAAAAGCTTTTTGCTTCTGGCTTTGATATAAAAAAACGGAATTATTTCAGATGACCTCTGCTCTTCTTAAATAATGCTGTGGCTTACCAAATATAAGATGAAGCCGATCTGTGTTGATCGCTTCCAGTGTTTTGGCAAGAATTGAAGCACCAGATGACTGACCCAAGACAACACCCGTTTGGGTTTTCTGCGCATTCGAAACGGGTGGATCTTCTGGCAAATCTGCAACAGTGAATCCCGTGCTGTTCAACCAGATTGTCACTGCGTGCAATATTGGGGCCCAGGAGGTACGGTAGTGCAGCCTGGCACTATCTATGGTTTCGGGTGTATAGAATGCTCCTCCTAGAACAAGATAAACACAAATGTGTAACAGCAGCCAAAACACAATTCTTATCCTTCAAATAATTAACCCCACTTGAAGATATCCGAAACATCTATAACTTAGGATATTTTCTATAATGGGCTAATACTTATTTTTTAAATGAACATTCTACACATACCATCAGTTTAGTTCTTATGCAAAGCCTCAGCAGGGGTGGAAATAGTCCAAAGTTATTCTTTCAATAGTCTTCGTATCTTGCTTATCTCACATTCCCAAATGTTTTAACAGGACTTGTGAAACAATGTTTAATTATTAATTAAACAATAAAATCTTGCCTCACCCTGAATCAATGTTGACAATCAGAATCAAAGTCCTAATATTAATCAGTATGAGTTTAAGAGAATGATAAAAAGAATAAGGAGGAAAACATTTTTTTTAAAAAAAACTTGTATTTGGTATATATTTCACATCAAGATCTCAAACCGCTCACAGAAAAATGACTGCTTATTTTGTAGGCAAACATGGCAGCCAATTTCTGCACACAACCATGAAGTGAATGACCAATTTTAGATGGGCACCAGGACAAGTTCCCTTTTTTTTAATACCATGGGATATCTTTAATGTCCACCTGAAAGGCACACAGGACCTTGGTTTAATGTCTTGACCAAAGGATGGAACCTTTGACAATGCTGCGCTCCCCTAGCACTGGAGTGCAAGCCTAGATTGAATTTAAAGTCCCGACATGGGATGAAACCCACACCTCCTGACTCAAAGAGAGTGCTTTCTTTACATTTTGATTGTATTGTGGAGTTCGCTGCTACAAATCGTTCTTTTAATTGGGTTTAGATTAGGTGGCTCATTTTGGCTAATGGTCTGTTTTTGTTCTATAACATTTTATGATTATGTCTGATCAAGGCAATTGCTGCCACTTTCACCTTATAAGGACTGAAACCAAAAGTAAAGAAAATGAAGGAACAAAATGACATGCGACAGAGACATCCTATTTTTCGTTCATAATTTTTCACCTTGATATCTGGTGGGTCTACCGATTTTTATTCTTTGTTGTATAAGGAAATCTATTGCTTATTAAAAATATTTGAATTTTCATCACATCTGTTTTTAGCTAATCTGATCTGCCAGGTGAATTCTGCCTATAATATGTTTTGGAAATAGTTTTTTTCGATAAGATTAAATTTGCTGTGCAGTTGGGGAAACGTGAGTCTCCTTTACTTTCATATTTCCTTGAGTCTCTCTGAAGTTTTGTCTCACCCAGACATCTGCCTACAAATACGCAAAGTCACTGTGCTCCACAGTAAACCCAGTGAAGTGCTTTGAGGTATTTTGTTGATAAGATAAAGCGCAAGGTTCAGCCAATAATAATCTTATGGTAATCCTTGCAATTGTGGTTCAGCCTATTCTAGGCAGATACTAGATACTACAGATGCAAGGATTATTGCAAGGATTATTAGAAGATTATTTTTGACTGAACCTGTGCTAGATTATGCCTCGCAATTGCGCTCATGCTATTAAATATCCATTTTACAAGTGTTTTGCTTATTCAAAAAAAGGGATATCACGTCACTTCCTACCGTCAGATGGCAATTGGCTGGCAAATTCTGCTGGTAGAGTTAAAAGGGCATAGTCTTTCAGTGCAGCCAGCCAGAGGCGACTGAGAATCAGCAGCTCTGGCTGCACTAGTGTTATCAAGCTGTCTGCAGGGAGCTCATCTGTAGCATCAAAATCATCATTGTCGCCATCGGTGCTCTTGACTGGTTTTATTGGTTTGGTCTCTGCTTCTTTCTTAGTGTTCATAGCTACAATGTACACCTTGGGAGGTAAACAAAAATACAACAGGTGGTAAAAGATTAAGTGGAACAATGCATATCTTTCAGTAGATCACTTTGGACATTAAGCACTCAAGAGTCATTGCAGGGGAATCGAGGAGGGAGTATTTTCTGTTCAGAATACTCTCCTAAGGGAAAATAATACCACTATAATAATGCTCCTTCTTGATCCTGTCCTTCATTGCTCCTCAACACTGATGCAAGTTGTGTACATCCTGGGGCAGTTCCATTTAATTCAATGGAGGCAAATGATTTGGAGCATCCTGAAAGCTGAGTTGGATTTGCCCAGCCTTCAGGGAAGATGCAGCACTGGTGAGTGTGCAGTAATATCCATCCAGTTACAATGCTTTTAGGGTCAGGCAGATTTGGACCAGCATTCTGGTCATCCTGAAGTACAACCACACCCCTTGTTCAATCAAAGTAAACTGAGTCACTCCAGAACACATGTGACTCCTTTCCACCAGTGCGGTACCCTAATGGCCGAGTGAAGATGTTGGTGATCTTTGAAATTTAAGCGTTATTTCATTGATGACAAAAGTTATTCCTAAAGCATTTGCATTAAACACAGTATAATAGCTGAGTTAAAAATTCGAATAGAGTCTGGACACCCTTGTTACCAGTACAAGTCCAACACCATATTTCCTCCTGCAAATCTGGGCCCACACATGTTTCTGTACCTAATTTAGGCAATGTCCCCTTGAGTCTTACCTCTGCCCAAGCTTTTAAGACTGCCAGCTTCTCCATAGTGGTAGCACTCTCACTGTAGAGTTGGCTTGAGGAACCCTTCCCAGCCTGTACCTTGTCTAAGGAGGACACCAGTAAATTGTGAACTCTGCGCAGATCATTCAGGTCACTAACCACCCCACTTCCAATCCAAGTGCTGCAAACCTGTAACAAACAAGAAAGCAATCTCACTGATCTATTTTCTGTTATGATGGAATTTCACACAAAAGGTCTGACTGACTGACTGACTGACTTTCAAACCATGCATCTAGAACTCTTGCTTCCTCCCTTCAGGGGCGGTCTCAAGACCCTCCTCTTCGATCGTGCCTTCAGTCGCCCTCCCACCTCTCTGCCTTCCCTCACCCCTACCCCACCCCTCCCCCTTGCTCGTGTCCTGACCCCTGACTGTCCAGCGCCTTGGGACGTCCACCCGACGTCACAAGACACTCTATAAATGTCATTTTGTTGTTGTTGTTAATCTAACCCCTCTTAACATAATTAAATATTTATTACTTTATGATAGACAGGTCTACCGTGAAACTTATTGTGGTTTTGCAGTTAATTTACGTTATTCATTATTGCTGAGGAAATGAGAACATAAAGGTTCCTTCTTGAATCTGTTTGGTAATTATAGTTACAAAAAGACAAATTAATTCAGTCAGATTTTTTTCCTCTGAAACTATGATAACTTTTCAATTCTAATACAGGTAAACTTGACTTCAACATCTATTCAGGGAACTGGGCCAAAGTGGCCTTTGTGGAAGGGTGGCCTCTGAGTAAAGTTTCAATGTTGTGTTCCAGGTTGGTTAACAGGGGATGGCTGATGAATGGAGGTGGATGCGTGAACATGTTTACTGAAATTTATATGCATTTCATTCATATAGATGAAATACAATATGTAGGAAATCAAGTGGCATAAATAGGAAACAGAGTTAGAAAACAGAATCAGGATAAAAAGGACTTTCTCATTGGCAGTCAGTGAAACAGTGGTGTCGCCCAGGATTTGGACCTGGCTGTTTTTTAATATAAATAACCTGGATATGGGAAATGAGAAGCATATATCAAAGTTTACAAATAAAATAGGGCCTATAGTAAACCGCGAAAAAAACAGAAAATTTCAGAAGCAAATAGCAGGATGACGCCAGATGTACCTCAAGATAGCAGATACCATACTTGGTGCGCAAGAAGAGCAGATAGCAATGTATTTTAAATGGGGACGCACTTAGATTAAGTGGTGTTTGTGTAAATGAACAAATTTAGTCATGCAAGTACATAAGGTAGTTTTTGCAGACTGAGAAAGCAATTAAAAGGCTAATTGTATTCTGGGATTTATGATAAAAGCTTTAGAATATAAAAGCAAGAAGCTCTTGCTGTAGTTAAACAGAGTTCAAGTGAGACCTCATTTACAATATTGTGTTGGCCTACCTTAGGAAGGATATATTGACCTTGGAACAAATACAGAAACAGTTCACCAAGTTGGCATTTGAGATGAAGGAATAAAACTATGATGGGATTTATTTCCCTGAGCTGAGGATGTTAAGGGGTGACCTGATGGAAGTATTTAATTTAATGAAGAAAATAAGACTTGAAAATGAAAGTAGAAATCATTTCTTCACATAAAGAGAATATGGCATATACTGTATAGAAGGTGACAGATGGAGAATCAATTGAGCTGTTTGAAATTTAAATAGATAGGTACTTGAGAAGTAAGGGTATTAAGGGATATGGAGAAAGAATGAGGAAATTGGATTAAAACGATTCTAAAAACTGTCATGATTTAATAGCAGATTCACTGGCTGAATGTCTTAATCCTGTTCTAGAAACCTGCATTAAGTATCATGTTAAGAATATTATTGCAGAATATTGGGATAGGTCAGAAAAACTGCAATGACTCCCAGAACACACCCAGTGTTACTAAGCAAGGTTAATGTACCCATTTTAAATGGTGATTTCTCAACAGTATTAATTGCATGAAAGAATTCTGCCTTACAGGTTCTTCTGTTAACAGAGCTCTAAGATTACTCAAGAGATCTTTTGTTAATTTGTTTTAATAGTTTAATATAATATATATATTTGGGAAATCGCTTTTATTAGGTTCAGGCTTACCAACATGAAATTGGATTTGTTTTTACTCTACTGAATGGGAATAGTATTTGACATTATTAATCTCAATATCTTCCTGTTTTTGCTGTACTGTACACTAGCCATTTTCACTTCTCAGTGTAAATTGTTTACTTCATAAATTGTTACGCTGACTTGTAACCTTACAATGCTGCTAAATAATCGCCCTGGTGAATAATGATCCCGGAGGTTTTGAAGCTGGCTCAAGTTACTCCTCACCCTGCTAGGTTCACAAGAGAGATTCCGGGTAAGGCACGGAAGCCAATTTTGGTCAAGTTTGGAGTAAGAAGCAGATTTTGCAGCGTTAAACCAAAAACTCCACCCTGTAAAGTCAGGATGATGATAAGCCCCTTTGTTCAGTTGGTACCGACCTGCTTCATGTCCCTGCCCTACCTGCCTTACTATCAGTGATTGACAATGTAGAGAGTGAATAAATCTTTCCTCTCACAGGGGAAATCCAGAACAAGGAGACATCATCTTACAATTAAGAGTTGAAATTATTTCTTCACACAAAGAGAACATGGCATATACTGTATAGAAGGTGACATCCCAACATGAAAGATGTTATATAAATGTAAATTTGTATTGTATTGTGAGTTACTGAGGAAAATTTCATTACATGTATTAGACATTTATGTTTCGTAAAGCAGCTTATCTTTGTTACAAAATCCAACAATCCAAATACAAATCCAACAATCACTTAAAATATACAGTTTAAATACTGTGAATCCATAAAACCAGTATTTAGATGAAGAACGTTGCTCAGCAGTGCATTAGTATCTTTATCTTCTTTCTTAGTTTTGGAGTCAAAAGAGAGCGGAGGTAACCGAAAGTACAATTGAAAAGGAAAGTCTTCAGATGCAATTTGAAGATGGGCAAAAAGGGGACAAGATAGGGGACCTGAGGCAGGGAGTTCCAGAGATTTGGGACATAGTAGCTGAAAGCATGGTCATCAATGGTGGAGCAGAAGGGATGAGGGACATATAGAAGGACATGAGCCAGCTGAGCAAAGGCGATGGGTAGTACAGTGAAGTGTGAACAGATCGGAGAAGTAGGGAGATGCCAGGGCCTGAAGCGGATTGAAAGAGAGAATCTTGAAATCAATCTGTTCTGCAACAGGGAGGTAGTGGAGCCTGGCAAGGACTGAGATGATAGGGCTGGGTTTACCCTGGTACGGGTAAGATCATAGGCAACAATTTTGTTTGGACCTTATTTATAGTGGAGCTGGGGAGTCTGGTGAGGAGTGTATTAGAAAAATCAAGGCAGGAGATGACAAAAGCATGAATAGCTGACAAAAAAAGTTGTGCCTACAACACTGTTCACCTTCACAGTGGGTTCTAATTTGATACTTCTTAATAAGCAATCACATCAGAATTCCTGTCATCCCGCAGAAAGTACTCGATGTGACAAACTTCTGATTAATGGAAAGAGTCCAGATTTGTGCTCTCAACAACAACAACTTGCACTTATATAGCACCTTCCATGCAGGATAGCGTCTCAAGAGCACTGACCAGTGGAACCTGACTCCGAGCCGGGGGTGGGAGATGGCCGTAAGCACGATCAAAGAGGAAGGTTTTCAGGTGGGACTTGAAAAAGGGGAGAGAGGGAGCAAGGTGATGGGAATGAGGGAGTGTTCCAAAATTTTGGGGGGTAGTGGCTGAAAGTGCAACTTCCGATGGTGAGGCGGAGGGTTTGAGGGACGAGCAGGAGGCTGGTGCTGGGTGGTGGATTGGGGAGTGAGGATGTCGGATAGGTAGGGAGATGCCAAAGAGTGAAGGGATTTGAATATGAGTGTGAGGATCTTGAAGTCGATCCCTCAGTCTGGTTCTCAGACTCATTATTAAGGAATTGCTTCCAGGCATGCTGTAAATTGAATCCAAGTAGCAAGATACAAAAGCCACATATTCTCTCAAAGTAATTGCTGCATGGGCTCCGTTCTCGATTTGCAGTTCTTTACATCAAAGATTGATCTCTTTATAAGGTAAGTAGCTGGGAAGCTTCACACCAAAGTTTAGAAGGCACAGAGAGATCTGATTGATAAATTGTATCCTAAATGTATGGCTCAACATCATTACACACACCACAACAAGGTCAGGGACTGAAATTCAGACGAGGGAAGCACAGACTACTTTAATTTGTGAAATGACATCAGCAGCCCTTCCTTTGCACAGTACTCCTGTGCGGAGGAAGTGGAGTTAGCAGACCCGCACTGTAAGCGAGGCAGCACTCTACTAAAGGGTGCAATATCTGGGTTCCCCTGTATGTAGAACTCAGCAAACTCAAGAGGAAATTGGATCATTATTTGACCAATACATCAATTCAGAGGTATTAAAGATATAGTGTGTGATCTTTATTTTCTTAAGGACCAACCAGATTGACCGTAATGTTTATTCTGGTCCTATACATTCCTTTGTTATGGAGCAGCAATGGCTGAGGATCAATTACAATGCTTTGAATTTGATTCTCAGTCCCTAGGATATGGACTGCAAGGCGTTTCTGGCAGTGCAAAGCAGTACCATCCTTCATTCCAGGATTGCTCTGTGATGTTCACAAACCACTGTAAGGTTTATAGCAACTGTGCATGACAGAAGGTATCACTGCGTTGGCGGGTGTCTATCATTGGCAAGTGCTCCAATATACTCCTCCTCGTGAAGGGTGCTATATAAATGCAAGTTGTTGTTGCTGTTGTTGGAAAGGCCAAGTGGAGGAATTGCAACTTAAATAAGGCGACTGGCATCAACACTGTCATTGGTGTTGAGCAGATAGCTTTGATTTGAACAAGGCTGATCTGCTGTACACGTTCACTAAGGATTGTAACTTAGAAGATGATAAACTGGTGGGGAGTTTCTATTCTAAGCAGAAACACAAGAGTCTGGTTTCAAAGCCCATTTGACTCCATGAAGCCCAACCCTGTGGCACCCCAATTCTCCCATCATGACATACACTAATATTATAAATAACCACAGTGTTTTTATTTTGATTTTATTATCTTAGTTGAGATAAGGATGTTTTTCCTGAAATTGTTCTAAACTTGTCACTAATTTCCATTTATATCCACTGATCCCAGTTTCTTGATTGTTTATCCCTGTAATAGTCTTTTTAACCCTATCTATGTCATTAAGTATTTTATGTTTTGATGAGGTTCCTCTCTCTGGACTTTTTGAAGCTTGGGTTTCACTAATCATACTTCATAATTTATTCCTTTAGTTTTGGGATAGTTTTGTGACTTGTATTTATACCCTTTCCAAAATAATTTTTTGTGGTGCGGTGATCAAATTGAACACAGTATTCCAATTTTATCTGAACTAGTGCATTGTAGAGTATTGGTATAACTTCTGTATGTTTGTGGTATGCTTCTCTAGCTATATATCCTAGCATTCTGTTAGGTGTTATAATTGCTTCCCATATAGTCTGAATATTGAAAGCAAAGGGTCTACTATCACAACAACAAAATTACATTTGTAAAGCGGATTTCACGTCGGGAGGACCTCCCAATGCGCTGGACAGGCAGAGTTACGGGCCCAAGCTGTGAGTCGGGGAGGGTGAAGGTTGGGGGGAGGTGGTGGGGGAAGCATGGAGATCGAAAGCAGTCGAAGAGGAGGGTCTTGAAGGTGGCAAGGGAGAGAGGCGAGGCGGAGGGACTGCGGGGATGGAGTTCCAGAGGGTGGGGGCACAGTGGTGGAAGGCCAGCCCGCCAATACCTCCTGATCCCTTTCTAAAACAATAAAGAAAAATGGCACAAAAAATTACAAAAATTTTCAAAAGACTGACTATGAACCACCAGCTAACAATTAACAGAAGGAGCGTGGGAGCATTAAATGGCAAGTTAAAAACGTTTCCAATGTGGAACAAACTCCTGGCCGCAACAGAAAGGAACTGAGGTATAAATCCAGAGGTAAGGCATTCTTTGTACAATTTGGATGATGGCCTATTCATACATTTATATTTGGAGCGTGAAAGAAAAACTAAAGCCCTTCCTTCACTATTATACAGCTCAGGTATTAGCCTGTCAATATAACTGATGTAGGTGGTCTGCTCTCCTGCACAGTAAAGGGAAAGCATATTATGCTGAAGAGTTAGCCAACAATAAATGCTATTCTGATTACCATCGCATTATAGCATGAAGTACAAGTAATTTGTTTCAGTGAGTCATACCTTATCAAAAGACATTGATCTCTTTTAGGTATAAAAAGATTAACCAACTCCACTGACATTTCCTTTTATTTATCTATTCCTCATGAATGACGATAATATTATTTCAGTAGATTCCATTCAGTACCTGACAAGCCTTGGCAGTGATGTCTGATGGGGTGTCCTGGGAAAACGCAGGTCTCAAAGCTGCTCCTACCTGGGTTTAGAAAAGAAGGTCAATCAAATTTTTTTAAAAAAAGCACAACCCAAACTGAGAAATCCTATTGATTAGATAAATGGAAAGACTTCTTGCTGCAGGTATGGACTTCCTCATTCTTTGAAAAACGTTCAACCCTCAAAAATTCTATTTTATATCTATTTCGTATCTATTTCTCTTCTTGCAATGCACTGGATTGGTAAATTGGAGTATATGAATAGAAAAACAGGATTTAGGGAATTAAAGTAAAAAGGTAGTTGACGTGATAGATAAAAAAAAAGTTAATTTAAAATGTTTAACATTTCAATAGTTTGAGTGAAATTAAACACATTGAGAAAATACCGCAATCACTAGCAGAAATTCATATCCTGCATGTTCAGGGGTTGTTACATGCTGCACTGAATAAGGACTTGTTCAGGCTCCCTGCCCACATCCTGAGGCAATGTTCTTCCCCAGTGTAATCACTGTATGTGACGCTTGAACAAAAGTGGAAGATTTACAAGCATTTAACAAGGCTAAAGATCCTAAAGTAACCATGTTACTGAGGAAGGCGATTGGTTGTGTGCATATCTATTTCTCTTCTTACAATGCACTGGATTGGTAAATTGGAGTATAGGAATAGAAAAACAGGATTTAGGGAATTACATAAAAAGGTAATAAGAATCTAATGGTAGTTGACGGGATAGAAAAAAAAGTTACTTTAAAACTTTTAACATTTAAATAGTTTGAGTGAAATTAAACTGTTAAACTATAATATATCCACGTTGAAAACTGTACACATGCGTACAGTACAAACCTTTGCTTCCTATTAGTGCTGGAAGGTAATAGTCAAACTTACATTTGCTTGATACTGTTCCAAAATCACATGACCTGGAAACTCGGGCTCCGGGACTGCTGCAAACTTTTTGATGATGTCCTCGAGCGCCTGGAGTCCTGCCATTCGTAGCTCGTTACTGTGGTCAGTGGCTGCCATGAAGGCCATGCGGATAAGGTCAGAGAGGTGCAACACCAACAGATCATCTGCAAACCGGTCAAAAAGAAGAAATGGTAAAGCCATTTCTATCTGCGAAATGCGCACACAATGCAACATTGATACAGTTACTAGGATAAGAGTAAACTACAGGGCTACGGGGAAAGGGCAGGTAATTCTGGAAGGATTGTTATTTAAAGAGACAACACAAACCCGATTGGCCCTCTGTGCTGTGAATTTCTATGGGTCTATGGTATTTCATATAGTGACATGGTATTTGTTTTGCATATGGAATTACCAGGCTTTAACTCTTTTTTTCAGATTTATCAGGTATTGACAAACATTAAGCGCAACAATTTAATAATAATAGTGCTAATCCTTCCATTTGATATAGCACCTTATCATCGAGACGTCTCAAAGCGCTTCACAGGATACACTGTAAAGTGAATTGACTGTATATTTTGTGGGAGATTTAATTTAGTTAAGTTAAATGAAAGTCCCGCAATCAGCCGCAGAATGAATGATCAGTTTATCTGGATGACTGCTGACTATCACCCAGGTGAGGATGGAATCTTTAAAGTCCAACCAAGCAGGCAGATGGGAACTCAGTTTAATGTCTCATCTGAAGGATGGCATCTCTACCCTGTCACTGCATTGGTAATATTAGATAATATTATTATTAATTTAAGCACAGTACTTACTGTACACATGCGTGCAGTACAAACCCTTGCTTCCTATTAGTGCTGGAAGGTAATAGTCAAACTTACGTTTGCTTACTGACAATTCTCTTTTTTTATGCGTGAGAAATTACTGACAAATCACTGTAATTATCAACCAAAGTGGCTCAAGGGTAGATAAGAGAATAACACTGGTTTCACGGTTCCAGCACATTACTTCCAGCAGCTAATTACAGTAAAACTTGTGTAAGTCTGATCATTATAAACCATATAATCGCCTAAGTCATACATCTGCCCAAGTCCTGTTCAAGAGTTTAGATTCTATGCAACTTTGACATAACCCATACTTTGCATAAGTTATATCAAATGTATGGTCCCAACTGATACGATTTATGTGAGATTTACTGTATTCTCAAAGCTGGAACAAAGAAGTGATATTTCAACCTGTGGTAAAAATGCAACATCAAGTGAGACACTTTAACATAGACATACTTCTGGGATTCTTTAGCTTCGCTGTCCTGGCCTTAGCAAGATCAAAGTGAACTTTGTCTGCATTCTCACACAGCAGCATAATACGGCAAAGACAGTCAGCAGCAAACACACGGGTAGCCCATCGGGGGGCAACCGAGGGCTTGGATTTATCATCATCGCCGATACTGGTGAACATTATTTCATCGTCCATTTCATCCTTTTTTTCTCCATCATCATCTCTCATTCCTTCCAGCTGGCCTGCAGCATTCACATCTGTAAAATCAGGAAGGACATCCCCAAGTTTAGCACATCACAAATTTCAAACTAATAAAATAATCTTTGCATTTGATATAGCACTTGTAACGTGGAAGCATCTCAAAGGGCTTCACAGGTAATTGTTGTCAGGCGTAGTGACTGCGTATTTTCTGAGTGGATGTGGCACACAGCAAGCATACAGAAACAACTAGGAAGTGAATAACCATTTATAATTTTTGTCAATATTGGGGGCCAAATATTCTAAACTCCTGCTGATAACTGGAATTACATCTTGCCAACAGTCTGAGAACTCTTCATTGGAAGTAGATTGTTTTGAAGCAGAGTTCCTGCAGTTTGGCAGATACACTTCAGCTTATAATCAGGAGTCACAATTTGCAACTCGAAGTAATTATTTGCAACTCAAGTTAAAAATATCACTCTCTAGACCTCTATTTCACTATTGTTTGTCAGAATTTTTTTTTGTACAATGTTCATTCGATTTCAGATTTAAAAGGTTCACTTGATTTTTATAATGTGTCAAAAGGTAAAATCACTCTGTGATGTGGTATAGAGTCATACAGTTTGGAGGAGGGAAAAGGTACGAGATTGGACAATCTTCTACTTTCAAAGAGAGATTTAGATGAAGAAGGACCTGCGATCCATTTAATCTCATCCTTCCAGAATACCAACCCTACTGTCCTTCCATCACTGATCGAGCTTTTTTTCAAAAACGTGTCCAGGGTCATGACCTGAACGATCATTCCTGGTATATATTCCAGTTGTTGAGTACCCGCGGGTAAAGAAATACTTTACCAGTTGTTGCTGCTAAAACGTCTTTGCATAGCTTCAGCCAATGAGATAGTTTTTCAACTGCCAAGGATGAGAGCATATGACCCAGTGTGTCATGAATGTCAGCGCACAGCTTGCGATCAGTCTCACGGTCAAGCATTCCAAAGAGCACTCCCTCGAGACCAGTCTCGGTGATGCTCACATCTGAAAGATAAATACACAGATTTCAATCACTTCACTATGAGATGTTGAAATTCTAGCTCGGTTGGTTTTCAAATACTTTTTCCTTATTTAGACTAAAAAGCAGCTTTTTTTTTACATGGAGCAACTTCCTTATAAATGGTATGAATAGTGCATTATATTCCTCAAAGCTAGAACGGCGACAGAGGTAGCTTTGCATTGGTGTCACAGCAAACACTAATGGATGATGTTGGCAAACGAGGATCTGCTTTTCTCAGGTCAAGGTACAATTTACAATATGAGCTTCTTACAGATCAAAAGGTGCACCAGAGACATTTTGAGAATTTTTTTCTCTCTAAAATTAACACTTACCAATGCCACTGCTTTCCTTGTCTCCAACATTTCTCAAAAGACTCATTGCATATTCACACACCTCGGCTGCCTCCCTCTGAGCCAGCTGCCGAAGGCATGCCACAGCGGCTCTACGGAGGAGCAGATGAGAACTGCACAAGTGTACCTGAAGAAGAGAATTGGTCAACATCAAGTACAACAACAACTTGCATTGATATAGCGCCCTTCACGCGGGTTGAATCTTGGAGTACCAATCAAGCAGGGGGTCAAAATACTGCAAACTAAGAAAACGTCAACTTAACCTATATTTGTTCTAAAATAAGAAATAAACTCAATTCCTCTATTTATTAAAATAAATAATTAAGTCTTATATTTTTTGTAGAGAAACTCTAACGTAATCTAGAAGAGCAATTCAATATTCAGCTGGAATGTGGATGACAGTAATGCTAATAATATGCCATAATATGAAGTGTGACACACTTTTCTGGTAGGTGGTGAATTTGACTGGAGTACACTTTATGAGACTGAAACTTCAGATGGAATTTTTAGCCCAATTTATGTTGGTCTGTGAAGCACAACACTGACACCCCCATTTGTGGAATATTGCTTAAGTATGCTTCCCTCCTCTAATTTACCGTCCAATGAGAAAAAACAAGGGAAAGCCACCAAGTCTGGCTTACCCCAGTTCCATTAAAGCTTTAGGTCACAGAGCTTAACAGAACTGGCAAGGACTGATGTTCCACTCCCTCCTTCCTGCCAGGATGTGTTTGATGTCTACTTGGCCACTACCCACGATGGAATGACTGAAGCAGGAAGCTGACTTATGTAGGAATTGTGGGCTACAGACTCCGTAGCCCTGAGAGAAGCGTGGGACCGTGGGCTTGCACCAAAGTTACCGTAGCCAACGTTTAGCCTCAGGTATGTCTGCAGTTACCAATCAAGCCATGAAATTTTTTTTTTTTAACCCACAATACGTCTAATTGTAGGGACAGACTTAATGTGTTGTAATAAATCAAATATGATTACTGTAATTCCAAGATTCTGACATATTCATTTATCAAAAAATCCAATAGCTTTCTCCATCATAATCGCACACTGTTGCTATAAATTATTGCTGGCACCACTATCTTAGTTACCTTAGCTAAAAAAATCAATCAAGCCTTGCTTCTCCAAAATTATACACATCTATTACAACAGTGGAAACTGGATCAAATGTCTTGTTTGCTAACTTCTTAATGAACAAAATCCCATTATTAATAAATAATTTTTGTGCATAAAGCAGAAAACATTTTAATTAAGTTTTCTATGAATATGGTAGTTGTTGTGGACATTACTATTTATTCAAATGTCTTGTTTGATATTTGATCCGATTCCGCCAGAGTCACAACTGTCCCCGAATTGAATGGTGCTGGAACAAATTCAATTTTATTCTAACTGCAATTTTGTCAGCAATGTACTTACACACAAGCTAGGGACTAGGCTTGAGAGATTGACGTGCCGTGGTGCAAACATATGAAGCTGCTGCAGGCAGGATATAGCTGCTGCCTGAGCGAGAGAGTCGGAATGATCTTGCATTATGGCACAGCCTACGAGACATGATGAACGGATTGTTGATGTTGAGGCTCCATTACCTGGAAGAAATATCAATCATTATTAATGTTTAACTTCTTTCCAGCAGCAAATCTCACAGTTTTGGTAGTGAAGTCATTTTTGATAATAGAGAAAGAATATCACTTTCCTAGCTGTTCCATTGGGAGTTAAACAATGAGGCATAAAATAGGTAAATGATAAATTGTTCTCTGGTCACAACTTAGATGCATCACACGTGGAAAATAGTACTTTTAGTTTTAATGACACATTTCCACAAATACTTTGAAACAAATCCTGCAAATGTTAAATTTGTTGAGATCAAATTGTATTGCATGCTCACTAAGCACTTTGAGACTCTTCCCTGCTTCGCCGCCTCCCAGATTCTTTCTTCCGACTCCCACTGCGAGGAAATGCTGGACTTCCTCGAGTCCAAAATCGAAGGAATCCGCTCAGCTGCCACTGCCCTCCCAACTTACACCCCCTCCCTACCCTCTCCCCCACACTCCGACCACTACCTATTGCTCCTTCAATACCCTTGAACTTGTCACCCCCTCCTCTGTCATCACCACCATATCCTCCATGAAGCCCACTACCTGCTCCCTGGACCCCATCCCCACCGCTCTCCTTAAATCCCAGCTCCACCTCCTTGCCCCACTACTCGCCGATATCATCAACCTTTCCCTGTCATCTGGCACTGTTCCTTCCCCCTTCAAAACAGCCACTTTCACCCCCAGCCTGAAGAAACCTTCCCTTAACCCATCACAGCTATCCAGCTACCGGCCCATCTCAAACCTCCCTTTTCTGTCCAAGGTCCTTGAGAGAGCTGTTGCCTCCCAGCTTCGCTCTTTCCTCTCCTCTCACTCCCTCCATGAACCCCTCCAATCGGGTTTCCATGCTGCCCACAGCATGAAACTGCTCTAGTCAAGGTCACAAATGACATCCTGACCATGTGTGACCAGAGCTCCCTCTGCCTCCTCATCCTCCTTGACCTCTCCGCCGCCTTTGATACTATGGACCACTCAATCCTCCTCCACCATCTCTCCTCCCACCTCAACCTTCAAGGTTCTGTCCTTGACTGGTTCAGGTCCTACCTTTCACACCGCCTCCACTTCGTCGCAACAAATGGCTTCTCCTCCAGCCCCCACACCATCTTGTGTGGTGTTCCTCAGGGCTCTATCCTCGGTTCCCTCCTCTTCACCCTCTACATGCTCCCCCTTGGTGACATCATCCGCAGACATGTAAATTTCTACATGTATGCGGATGACACCCAACTCTACCTCTCTGCCTCCACCCTGAACTCCAGGACTAGTGGCGTCCTGACTGACTGCCTGTCCGACATCAAGTCCTGGACGAGGGACAGCTTTCTCCAACTGAACGTCAGCAAGACCGAGGCCCTCCTGATTGGCTCGCGCCAGCGCCTCCACACCTCAGGCACTGGCAGCATCAGCCTTCATGGCTGCACACTCAACCTCACTAAGCCAGTCAGGAACCTGGGTGTCTTGTTTGACCCTGAACTGTCCTTTCTCCCCCACATCCGCGCCATGACCGGCATTGCCTACCACCACCTCCGCAACATTGCCAGACTCCGCCACTGTCTCACCCCTCAGGCTGCTGAAGCCCTCACCGTGTAGTTGTCACATCAAGGCTCAATTATGGAAACTCCTCCTCACCGGCCTTCCCAAATCTTCCCTTCGCAACCTGCAGATCATCCAAAACTCTGCAGCTCGTGTACTCTAGCGCACCAGGCTCCATGACCCCATCATTCCCACTCTCGCCTGACTCTACTGGCTCCCCATCCCCCAGAGGATCGAATTCAAGATGCTCGCCCTCACTTTCAAGGCCATCCATGGCCTTGCGCTCTCCTACCTCTCTGACCTGCTGACTCCCTACCAACTTGCCCGCTCCCTCCATTCAGCGGGCTCCGACCTGCTCCATGTCACCCGTCCGACCCACCCTATCATCGGTGGCCAGGCTTTCAGCCTCTCTGCCCCCACACTCTGCAACTCCATTCCACAGTCCCTTTGCCTCGCTTTATCCCTGGCCTCCTTCAAGGCCGGTCTCCAGACCCTCCTCTTCGACCATGCCTTCGGTCCCCCTCCCACCTCTCGGCCTTCCCTCACCCCTACCCCTCCTCTCCCCCATGCTCGGGTCCTGACCCCTGACTATTCAGTGCCTTGGGACGTCCTCCGAACGTGAAAGGTGCTCTATAAATGTAATTTTGTTGTTGTTGTCATCGTGTGGAGGGCGCTATATAAGTACAAGTTGTTATTGTATCCCTCCAAATGAGGTGGAAACCTCCAGTGAAACACAGCACATGATTAGAGCTGCTTCTCAGATACTCCTATATTGCCACCTGTGGACTCATACCTGCTTTGAGCATCTGGTTTTGGCTGAAGAAGAGTAAGGAAAGATAAACATGAGATGGTGCTTAAGTGGTACCCAGCCAGTGCAGAGCTTTGTGGGGTGGTGGTAGGCGGGGGCGGGGTGGGGGGGAGTGGAGATGATTCAAAGCTATTGAAGAGATAAGACGTAAGGTGGGCTTTAAAAGTGGGGAGGGAAGAAATGTGGAGTGCGGGACTCTGAGACTGACTTGCAGAGATTGGGGGCAGGGTGGCTGAGAGCTCATCAACTGATGGGTGTTGATGGTGCTGGTGGGGATGGGTAATGAATCAGAAGGGAGAACATGAAGCAGCCAGTAGTTGCTGAGCAGAGGGAATGGCTGGGTCAAATCACATAAATTGTCATTTATGAGAAATTCAGAAGAGGTCATTTGATCCATTTGATTTCATCCTTTCAGAATGCAGACACTACTGTTCTCCCACTGCAGCATCAGGCTGTTTCCAAATGAGTTTAATATCCATTACACAAGATCTAAAATGTTGCAAATCACAGATAAGGCTATACTTGACATTGTTCGTTCAGTTACATTTAATAAGTTAAATCTAGCAACAGATCTCGCTTCACTTTCCATTAACTTTTCTCCTACCCATTCAGTGCATGAAATTACCTTGCAGCTCTGGTCCAACTGTAGTAATTAATGCTCCCAAACAACGACCCAAACACTGGTGCACTTCTGTATGCGATGGAGGAACAGTCAGAAGAAGTGTGAGAACGAGTGAAAGTGTTGGCTCCACATATCCACGATACATTGGACCACTAGAGTCTACAATCAGAGCTAGGGAATGAAGAGCCCAGGTCTGAAAAATGGAAATAATCCAGTCAGTGTCGAGCATTTGGAGCCAAAATCTCCTAAAAAAGTTACTTCTTTAAAACTATTATACCTGCACTTCAGGGGAGGTTCCATCTTGAGCAAGAGCCAGAAGAATGCTGACGCTTGTCTTCAGATGCTGCCCAGAGCCGATTCCCCCCACGTATCGATGGAGACAACCAAGAGCAAGTGAGTGACCGGTCCTAGATACCACATCACGGGCAGATTTCAGTCTAACAAAATAGAAATCTATGAGGAACTGTGCTCTGATACATTAGTCCACTGCAATCTTTACTTAATTAATTGATAATTGATTGATTGATTGATTGAAAGAGCTTTATTGCATACTTGTCAAAACTGTATTGTGCCATCCTGGCTATGAAAGTGGCCTCTCCGACCACCTGTGCCATCCTTCCCAGAGCTTCACCCGCTGCACATCGCAGAATTGGATTGGGGTTGTCCAGAGCTCCCATAACCAATGCTAGAGCAGACCTTCGCACTTCATCAGGACCCAGGGTACTCTTATTTTCAGCAAGTCCCTTAAAGAAATAGAAAGGACACTTGCTTTTCTTTCATAGATCTGCAGTTTTGACATTTGCGGGAAGGGCAGTGCAGATATTGCAGAAATATTGAATACCTGCACCCATATTGTGCCCAGAATTCCAAAAAGGTTCTTATTTGAAAATTTCTACACAACCAATAATTCTAGCTAACACGTAACAGTTTTCTTAAAGTTCCTCAATGAAAGAATTGTACCTTAAGTGCACTGAGAACAGAAGTGAAAATGTTGATTTGTACTGCCTGCTGACGCACTCCCTTCGCCTGCTTAATGCATTCAGCAAAATGGTCCAGCATCTGTAATCTGAAGAAACATAGAACATGAGGAGCATCAGCAGTCACTAACACAATGCGATTTATAGTGATTACAAATTGCACAATGCCAGATAAAGTGAATAGGAAAAGGCAATAACCTGAACAATATTCTTTATGAACAAAATCCATTAACAATAAATAAATGGTTTCTGTGCATAAAGTAGGAAACATTTTTATTAAGATTTCTATGAATACAGTTGTTGTTATTCAAATTCTTAGCTTCTGCTTTTAAAGAAATTAATATTTTCTTAGCAGCCAGCTTTGAAGGTGGTACAGTTGATAGCAGAGTGGAGACAAACTGGTGAGACAGGATTGCCCAGCTGATAACTTGCTTCAGAGCAAGTTCATCACATCACTACTGAAAGGATATTTAAAACTTCACAGGAAGAATCATGGAGGTGGAAGGTAATGTGAAGGAAAGGGCTTCTGCATTCCTAGCTTAAGAGACAGGAAGTCATAAAGGAAAAAGAGAGGGACCATTGAGAGAGATGAGGTTATAGAGTAAGGGGCACAGAGAGTGAAAGAGAAAGTCAAAAAGGATTAGAAAAAAATAGAAAGATGGAGATCCAGAGATAGCAAGAGACAGAGAAAACCAGAGAATTAGTTAAAAGTAAAATAAAATATTAGAGAAGGTCAAAGTGAAAGGCAGAAAGAGAGAAAAGAGCTGTCACATTGTGGTACTACAATGACAGTATGACTCTTGGTAGAAGAAAGTTTTGGTTAGTACTCTAGACAAATTTATATTTTGTATGATAACCAATAAACTGCACATTCACTGCTACTTCAACTGCCCAAAAAACAAAGGAAGAGAACCCGTTTCTGTAATGCAATTCATGTGTTTTGCTGCACATGCTACAAAATACTTGCTTCAAAAATGGTTCAGTACAATCTGACTTACCTATGCTTGAAAGATACATGAGGAAATACCACACCAAAGAGCGCAACAGAAGCATCAATGACTGACACGCCAAGTGGAAGAGGTCCAGGTACAGCCTCCCCCACAGGAATACGCAAATAGATCGAGGATGGATCATGCTCCAGGGCTCCACTTCCTGAGGCACTATTTGGCTGGAGCTGTGGGAAGAATTTGAGTATTCTTTGCTTAACTTAAATGTAAGGGAAATCATTTTCTTATTTCGATTATGAATTGGTTTGGTTTATTTGCAAGAGCAGCTGGCATGAGCTGGTTCCAAGATTCATAAGCAAATTTCACAATTGTTCTGGTCATAATCACATATTTAAGCCTCAGTGGTGGACAGAACAGATTTTGAAAAATGTTTCAATTGATAAACATCTATAACTTTGTTCCATGGCCCACAAATGACAACCTCAATAACTTGTAATATTTTCTGTTTCACAATGAATTACGTATGGTACATTCTTCCTCCACAATGAAACACTTGTTAAAGATAACAAGATCTTTCTTGGATGTTCCTAATTATTTTCCATTCGCCAAAGAATCAAAGCGTTTGTTAGATTGCAACAGTTATTACAAAGAAGCTCTCACACTCACAACACTTGCTGATACTGAAGTTACAGAGTCCAATGTGCCAAAGTCTCATATCTCCAAAGGACGAACTGCTGGTTTCCAGCCCAACAGATCTGAGAGGAGACTCATTTAAGTGGTACATATATACTGAGCATTGACTAGATGTGAGGTAGGATGGACAGCTGGGGAACGAACATAGATAACCTCAGCATCATGTCCTTCCTACCCCACCTACAGTCCCTGAACAGATCTGCTTTCCTCCACTTCTTCCACACTGCCCACATCTGACCATATCTCACATTCAATGCAGCCAAAACCCTCATCCAGATGGCTTCTTGCATGTTTCTCATCCCCTCCGCTCCACTATCGGTAGCTGTACTTTCCTCCACTACATCCGAAATTATGGAATTCTCAGCCTCAATCCCTCCACCTTATCTCCTCAACTGTCTTCAAATCACACCTGAAGATCTTCCTCTTCAACCATCCCTATGGTCACTTCCCCTCTCTCACCGGCTCGGCATCAAGCTCCGACTGTTAATAGCTCCGAGACACTACCTGCGTAAAGGGCACTGTATAAATGCAAGTTGTTGTTGATCCTCTTAGTCTGGGACTACATGAATTTGTTCTCAAATGCAGTTTGCAGTGAAATGATCTTGCTGAGTCTTTGAGGGTAGTGTGCATATTCTGTATGAAGACTATTTCAGAGGAACAGTCAGTAAGCTGGAGTTCGTGTTGAACCAGAAAGAAGGTTTTGGTTTAAAAGAGGAATTTATTTTGATAAGAGGTTCCGAAATTTAAGGATTTCCAGTATCTTGGATGATAGTGAAAAAAGAGTTCCATTATTGCTGCGCTTTGAATAACTGGTCCTGAATTTGCAATTGCATACTGCACACCAGCAACACAACCTACTAATAGAAACCAATTATTGCATCTTTTGAGGTTCAATTTATTTTTTCAATCAAAAGAAAAGGTTTTTTAGACCACTCTGGATTATAGCAAGCAATCTAGCATGGGATAGAATACCATGGTTTACAGTAATTCTCCAACCCCACCTCAAAATGCTTCACCATTTGAATGAGAAGCAAGAAGTGGAGTAACACCTTAATCTACTTTATCTTCTTTTATTTGGAGGCTTTTTTATACCCCCAGCAGCATCTCCAACCATGTAGACATTTTCAGCATGTTCCTATAAATGTGTCGCACTGACTGTCAAATAACATGGAACAATGTGACTACTTCCTTGGAATGGGAAGTGAACTCAGGCGACCTATACACTCTGGTTGGGAGTCAGTAATGATTCCAGTGTGGACTTTTTGCTCACTTATAATCTCAGGGGCATTGTGGATAAAGATGCTTTATACCCTTTCTGCTTCAACAGACAATATCAAAATAACCCCCTCTTTACAAACCAATTATTATGACTTTTGGGATGCGCAGCTTCTCTGGGTTGTCTGCCCATGCTTAATTTGCAATGTCATCTGCAATTCAGATTCTTACTGAATGGGAAACTTAGTGTCAATTATCACTTAGCTGAGGTACGAGTGGGATAGTGTTTCTTTCTCACTCAAGGACCACCAGAGACTCCCTTAATTACTGGTAAATCACCACCTGCCACAGCAATATTGAAATTAATTTGTAGGGTTTGTGGAAAGAATGATGTATTGAAGGCCCTTTATCCTAAATATGATTTAATATGATCCTGTTATCCTGTTATTTGCTTTCTCTGTCTTTTTGCTCCTGGGAGTTTAGATTCATATGGTCTTACTGGTGCTGACAGACCATGCTGATTAATATGATGTCATTGTATCAGAAAAATATATTGACCTGAAAAAAAGCATGATCATAACATTTCTCCAAGAGCTATCAAGAGAGATAATGACCTTCCTCACTCTGAATATTTACGAGGGCTGAATAGCTTTATTCTGTGCTGTCAATTTCTATGGTTCTATCTGAAAGCCACTTCCTGTGGTCCTGATCCCTGGTCCACTGAAGTAGATAGTGATCGTTACAGCATTAGATGTTTGGGAGCAGGAGTGTTCTGTAATTTAACACTTCTCTTCGCATTTGATATAGCTCTATCACATGCTCCCGAGGCACATCCTTTAAGTCATTTACAAGGATTCAGATGAACAGATGCCACAGTAGGACTTGTCACCTAAGAATGTACCATTAGTGATGTTATCACAACCTGAAACTTGCCTTCATACTATTTATGGGCACAGAATGGACATACCAGCAAACATGATATGAAGCTACAATCTATAAGAAGCTTGGGTTGATGTAGATTTGCATCATTCTCATGTCAAGTGGCTAAGGAAAGTTGTTAGATCCCTTTTCCTCCTCAATTCTTTCTCTTTTTCTCTTTTCCCATTCAGTCCTCAGAATAACAACACATTTTGCGTCACAGGCTGTTGTTTCAGCTAAATGAGTGAGCCCCATGGCATCCTGTGGTTTCTCCTCCTCTCACTTCTTAATGACTCATACACCACCATCACTGTAATTATCCCCTATTTATACCCATCCTGGAAATATGATGCAATGTCTTGTATGCATACAGCAGCTATACCTTCTGTTACCTTGTCTGCAGTTGGAACATTGTCACTTCTTTTGCAGTTTAATTGGGAAATCTGACTGTACAGTACTTTACAAATACCCCCACCATTTACAAAATTATAACACCATATGTTTTCACCAACTGTTAATACAAATTAAGAAAGAAACCAGTGCTCCAGTTTACAGGTAGTACATTTATAAACCTAAATGTTAAATATAATCAAACAACTTAAATATCACAATACAAGTATTTAAGAAGCTAAGGACAACCTCCTTATAAGGTGTCCCCTTAAGTGTCCTGCATGGACTTGCTGGGACAAATGGGACTGCTTCTGTGCCTCAAAGTTCCAGTAATTCTATGACGAAGTAAACCTGAGAGTGTGAGAAGATCTATAGTTTTGAGATCCTGGAAAAGAGTGATCTAGAAAATAGTGTAGTGATTTTCAATATCAATTCCGCAAAGATGAGAGAATAATGTGTAAGATAAATACTTGAAGCTAGCAAGGCAGGGGTGTTCCCAAGAGCAATGTTACTAGTAATGATATATTAGATAAAAACAAGAAATGTTGCTTAGTGGATGCTAAAGGGAAGAAAGTATCTTAAGTAACCAGAGAGCAATGTTTCTTCCTTCCCACAAAAAATGGACTTGGCTTCCTTCCCAATGGCAGTCAATGTTGGCAACTTGTCTCACGAAAAGATCATGGGTACGAATCCATGTCCTGCCAATCAAAGGCATAGGCTGTTGAGCACTAATTTTCCTTTATGATGCTCTATCCTAATGTTAAGCAGACATCAACTCATTCAGACACACTCTCAGCAAAAGACCATGAAATGCAAAGCATTTTCTTTTCAACTGAATGGGCTCATAAACAAAAAGAGGCAGTCTGTGGTTCCTCACCTGATCTTCAATTGACTTATGATCAGTTTCCTGCAGCCATGATCCTAAGAGAACACTGTCGTCATAGTGACAGAGCGATCGCAGTAGAGATGTAGTTGTGTTGGCAGAATTATCAGTCAGGGTAAACTCTGCAACCAATTCTCGAAGCAAAGCATTAAAGCTTCCTGTTAGAAAGGATTTTAATGAAAAAGTAAAAATTCTCATAAAAGTACCTGCAGAGCATATGTCTACAACAGATTGACAGGAATCATAACAAGAGGTTTGTGGTCTATAGCATGTAACCAGCCAGAGGGATGTTTATATTATGTAATTATTTTTTAATAAACAATCATGCATTATACCAAATCACAGAAAAACTATCAGTTTCATACTGTACGACAAGAAATTGCTGTCCTTTCACACAACAGTATTTGCTCTATCCTATATTTTGGTTTCTAGGTCAATCTACTATCTTTTTCAGTCACATAACTAGGTCAAAAATCCCTGTTGACTCCTAAGCACTTCTGCCTAATATAAGTGGGTTTTTTGAGTAAATTTATGAGTATTAACTTCTGCAGGGGGTCCAACCTTTTGGCTGTTGTGGGCCAGATTCCCTATTTGAGAAAGGTCAATGGATTGGTTGGGTCGGGAGAGCGCAGAAGGTAGGAAGGGGTAGGGGTGAAGGACATAGAGGAGTTTCTCACTGGGGAAAGAGCGTTTTCTGTGAGGAAACTTCACAACACGTCACTCGGTGTCTTGACCTCCCTTGAGGGAGGTTCCGATCATCTGTCCTGACAGTGAACCAAAACTTTGCCCTTACTTCTCCTCTCTCTCTGCTCCCTCTCACTCTCTTTGTTTCTCTCTCCCACCCCCATCTTCCTGATGCTCTCTTTCTCTCTCAAAATCACATTCGACACCCCCCACCCCTCACAAAATCACTCCCTCTCCCCCTCTCTCTATCCCAATTACTCTCTCTCACTCCCCTTCTCACCCCCTTTTCCAAACATTCCCTCTCTCCCTTCTCACATTCTCTCCCTCTTTCAATCACTTCCTAACTCTTCTCCCACTCTCTCCCCCTCTCTCAATTACTTTCTCACTCCCCCTCTCCGACGCACTCTCTCTCTCCCTCTCTGTGATTCTTCCCCACTCTGTCTCACACACAATCTCTCCCTCGCCCCTCTCTCTATCACTCTGCTCTCTCTCTCTCACACACACTCTCTACCACCATCTCTCTCTGTCTCTCACACACCTCTCCCTCTCTCACGCCCTCTCTCACACTCTCTCTTCCTCTCCTCTTTCTCTCAATTAGTCGCACGGGTCTCTATCTGCAGCGGCAGGAGACGATTCCTAAGGATGCCGATGGTAAGAGATGTGCTTGCCTTCCTGACAGCACCCTGCAGCAATGGCAGGAGCCGGCAGTTGGGAGGATGGAGCTAGGGGAATGGAAATAAGAGTGTGTGACATAATTTCCAATCCCCTCACTGTGTCCTCCCAACCGCTGGCTCCTGCCGCTGCCATGCGAAGACGTTTGATGGGTAGAGAGGCAGTGGGTGACCTGATGTTGGAAATGGTCTTGGGCCGGATAAAATCATATCATCGGGAAGGATGTGGCCCACAGGCCGCCTGTTGGACCATGTTGGTCCAATGTATTGCAATATGTGGGACGTCTTCCTGACGTGAAAGGCTCTCTATAAATGCAATCTTGTTGTTGTTGTAGTAGCTCTGTATAAAAACAGGCAGATTATCCTACACTATGGGTCCCAGAACTGAAGACAGAGAAACGTAATTACCCATTGATTGATATGCAGAATGCTTTGTTCAACATTAACCAGACAATAGCTTTGCCCTCTTAAACCTCCGCACTTTCAAACAGTACGTGGAAACACAGTGGATTACTAGTGGATAAGGCTGCTTATTTCGTATAAGCATGTACATCAATATAAAGATGTATTGCAACATCGTGGAGTCCTGTAGCTCAGTGGTTAGAGCACTCGCTTTGCAAGTGAGAGACCCGAGTTCAATTCCAGGCAGGGCGAAACCTTGGGCAAGTTTCCTTACTCCACACAGAGCCTAATAATAATCCCTCCAAAACCAAAAACAATAATAAATTGGTCATTTTCAATCTACGACTGTTTGTGGGACATTGCTGTGCGCAATTGGCTGCCGCGTTCGCCCACAAATATACAGTCAATTCACTTTACAGTGTGTTCTGTGAAGCGCTTTGGGACGTCCTCCCGACGTGAAAAGCGCTATATCAAATGCAAGGATTATTATTATTATTATTATTATTACAACATAAAAGGGTGCAACTGAATTTACCTTCATATGTTTTTGGAGGCAACAAAGCCAGAATGTCATACAGACGCAAACGCACCATTGCTGCACTTGCTTTCAGTTGAGCTCCATAAGCCTTTATGACGGACGGAATACTGATGAACAAGCAAATTATAGTTACCAAGAGGTTTGTGGCCTACAGCACGTAACCAGCCAGACGGATGTAAATTTTAACATTTATTCTTTCTCAAAGGAAAACTGTGTCAGCAACAAAGCAATCTTCAAATTTCATGAACATCTTTAATATAATGCAATACCACATTAAACTGCAGGACTCTCGATGGTGTTCCGCAGAAACGTGTTTCCCAAATTAAGATTCAGTTTAAGAATTTTCCGTAATCCTGCGCGCTTTTAATTTTTAAGGAAAGATGATTTTACAGGCTAAGTCAAGGTGAAAATTCAGGCCTAAGGATGGGAATCTATTAGAAATAGATAGTGAACAGAAGAAAAATGAACCACGGTGTTTGTGCTGAACAGTCAATAGACTATGTCAGTGGTTCTCAATACCAGGCCACAGAATGGAACCAAACCAGATATCAGGGGTTTGACTCACTCACAGTATCCATCCTGACCTCAGGAAGATTGATGCAAGGTTCATGAACCTCATCTGATATGGTGTGTGAACCTAATCCGACAATCACACTTTATAACTGAGAACTCAGAAAGTCTGGTGTTTAGGAATAAAACAAATATCCCAAAAAGTAAATACTTTTGCATCTATAAGATAAATAGGGTAGCATTCAACATCACTTTACATTCATCATTCTTTTAATATGCAAGCAAGGAAAGTAATTAGTAATGAATTGATATTATCTGCAGACCTCTGTTAAAATTTGCAGCCAGTCTTGGACAGGATGCTTATTTTTGATTTGACGGTCTATAATAAAAAAAGTTACCTTAACCTTGATTCAATTCCCACAACTAACACGGAAAACAGATGAAGACAATATTTCCATACTTTGACACTTTCTGAGTGTCGTTAGAAACTATTCTGTAATCGTTCAATAAACAGTAATAGTTGGAAGCCACTTACTGAGACAGCATCAACATGGCACATTCAATGGGAGTCATAAGTCTGCGAATCACATCTTCAGTGAGAAGCTCAGGACAGTGGGCAACAAAACTTCTCATAGCTGTGAAGAAATAGTAAATTAGCTTAATTGAACTCATCTCTTGATCATTTTTAAACAAAAAGTTCCTCTTAGCCATCCTTTTACACAACAAATCTGTACATAACAATGACGTGCAAGCAAAACCTTACCACATAACGCCCCAGCGCGGCCTTCCAAGGTCACTTGCCATGTAAAAGAGTCCCCTCGAGCTTTCTCGGCCTCAAGTTCTTTCAGGGAACGTGGAAACACATTACGCCAAAGTAGCAGCATCTTGGGAAGATGGTATCGAACAACAGAAGGCCCTAGAGGAGAACAGAACCAATGAGTAACCTGGAGACATAACATATTTGATCTTCAAATATTCCAGGGACCCTATGGGTTACCATTTCCATATCAGTTTTATATTCTGATATTTCTACAGTTACATTACTGTAACCGGACACCTAAGAAATTAATATTTATTACACCAAACAATTCTACCTGCAGACCAGTACAATTTGCCTCACCATGGATTGTCAATCTCCTGAGAGACAATATCAACCAACCAAACAACCAACCACGTGTTCTATCACTAAAGTTGAAGCTCTGTGAAACATCTCTCTAACCCCCAAAGCTAATTGCGGATCACTCCAAGATTTTAATTCAACCTTGAAACGTCAGACTCTGGTCAGTTACATTCTTCAGATAAATCCTCTATGGATCAGCAATGTAGGAACCATGATATTTCATAAAGAAATTGATCATCTGACACTCTTTGTCGTTATACTCTTAATAATACACTAATAGAAACTCCTCAGCACAGTACTTGCCAAACTAGGATCACCCTACCTTTTGATGTTTGGATTGCAGGGATAAGCACACCTCTATATCTTCATGCCTTTACTTTAGTAAATGAACTATTTTGCCATTTGCACTTTGCTTAGAAAATCAGGGTTGATTTTATGTAATCTTCATAGTTGGATGACTAACTTGATCTCCTCCCTTCAATCGGTCACCTTTCTGAGAGAATCATTTATACAGACCTCTTTGTGATTCTTGAATTTTTTGATACATCAAACTATTCCATCGCTACTCATTCTACAAAAGCACTGACCTTCCTTGGACCGGAGACTAGACGAATGGTAGTGCCAGTCATGCTTTCTATAGTTCCAACCTGTTGAAGCAGAAGGTGGATTGGTACATTTCCAAGTTACTCCCACTGACACACAAGTGAATGTCCAAATCTCCGAGGCAGGCACTGTTTATTGGAGCCAGAGTGGGAGAAAGAACTACAAGGACAAAACAACTAAATATGATCTGACCTCTCACCATTACCCAAAGCAGAAAGCATTGGGAACACCACATTGGTAACTCGAGCCTCAACTTCACTGACACTCTCTAGCTGTCATTACAGAACTCAAAGCCAAGTCCTGCCCATGATTACTCTGTGATCTGAAGATTAGTTGATGGCCCAGAACGTGTCCTGGGAAAGCTATAATTTGCATTTAGGCTCACAGGGGAACCTCGCAGTGAGAGGTCTGGACTGGTGTGGTCGACTTTTATGGGTCAACTCCTAGGTGGACTTTCTGATGATTCAGTCTTCAGGCACTTTTTTAAGGTCCAGGAGGAGGTCAAAGAACAGTACTTCATAATAGTAACATCCATTAACACGAGAACAAGATCATCCTCAGACAATGATAGCTGTGCCAATGTAGACATCTTTGAAGTCAACTGCTGCAATCCAATCCCAAGACACATTGAGATGAATTAAATGAATCTGCTTCCAACTTGATCCATGGGGTTCGCAGGAGTCTTAGCTGCTTGTGGGACAATGACATGGGATCACCAAGTGGTCGAGGTGGTATTGGGTAATACCGGAATTCCTAAACTAACAAGGTATTCTTGGATACACTTGAAATTAGAATAAGCCAACGTGCCAGAAATGGCTTCTCAGCGGTTTTGGTTTTAATCTTGGTCATTTGATGCATGTACTACACAGAGAGTTCATAATGAATCAGATCATTACTCTCTGCTGTAACGAGTTCTGGTTTGGCATTGGCTAATGTACAAACCTAGGCTCATCAGGGCTCCAAGGAGAAGCCAGCCAGCTTGGGTGCGCTGTAGTGACAGACGGCTGTTCTGTGAAGCAGTCCGTAGCAGGTCCTCTGCAATGCTCACCACCATCTACGTGAAAAGAAAGCCAAGCGATAAATTCATAGTCTAAAACACAATGCTGTAACACTAAAAACTTAACATTGGAAGGAAAGTTGGTGTGAAAATACAATGCTGGCAGCAAAAGATTAATTGTCTCCATATAAAGAATTCACAATCTCAAGTGGTTTATCTATGGGGTGGGGTGGGGGGGGGGGAGGCGAGGTGGCAGGGGCATCTCATCTATCCCTACCTTGGCTGAAAATTGATTATGCGGTCATTATTCAAGGATTGAATCCGGGAGACTGTGATCTATACAGTACAATACAATGTATTTATCACTGAGCCATAAACAAAGCTTCAACTTTTACAATTTTGGGTAGTAACAGGTGAGCTGCTGAAAATACTTACATTACAATGCAGTTATTATTATTAAGCATCATTTTCATTCCTGTGGTGTCTTACCTTTCCTTTGGCATGAGGGATTCCCAATGGGGACTGGTGTACACTGCCCAACAACGCTGCCATTGCAAAGCTATAGCCAGTGACAGCTTCTGGTGATGTTTTCAGACTGTTGATGCGCTCCGCACATCTATCCAACAGCGGAGTGAGCTGGTAGGGTAATGCCACAGCAATGCAGCGCAGACACCATGCAGCACTCAGCCTGGCAGCCATGCTAGGATGCAGCAGGACTGAGGTCACCGTCTCAAGGAGACCTTGATTTAAAAACAAATCCTTTTTTAGAACCTATGTCTGCAATAATACATCCAACTTAAACGCAATGACCATTCACGTGAATTGATGATGAATTTCAGCAGTTTTCCCACAACTAATGTTAAACTCAATGGTGATTAATTGATTTGTCCCTTCCTAAATTATTACATAATACTTATTAACTTCCAATCCTCTGGTAGAATCCAGTGATAATGAGAAGATTATAATTAATCCAGTTAGAATTTCTTCACTTTTAATACCCTGAGGTAGAAACCATCTAGAGATTTGAGTGCCCAACGAGTTCATCTATTATATATATTTTTGTTTACAATAAGGCTTTTAAGTTTCTTTCATAATAATAATAATCCTTGCATTTGAAATAATGCTTTTCACGTCGGGAGGACGTCCCAAAGCGCTTCACAGAACACACTGTAAAGTGAATTGACTGTATATTTGTGGGCGAACGCGGCACACAATTGTGCACAACAATGTCCCACAAACAGTCGTAGATTGAAAATGACCAATTTATTATTGTTTTTGGAGGGATTATTATTAGGCGTGTGGAGTAAGGAAACTTGTCCAAGGTTTTGCCCTCTGCCTGGAATTGAACACAGGTCTCTCACTTGCAAACGAGTGCTCTAACCACTGAGCTACAGGACTCCACGAGTCATTCGCTGATCTTCATTGTATTCTGTCCCTCTGCTATCAAATCCTCCTCCTCCCCTGTGAAGACTGAAGTAAAATATTTTGACATGGCTTTATCCTCTTCTAATAATTATTATTATTAGTCTAGTGGGGGTGGGGGGTCTCCAGAGAGTGATCAACAGCAAGAACCCTAGGTGAAATGCTTGATTCTGGCATCTTCCAGACTTAATAGTTTAGTACTGCAATCGGGCAAGGGGTTGCCTTTACCCACTAGGGAGAATATCTCAAAGCACTCTACAGACTAAGTGACACTCTGAACTGAGAGGGAGCTAGCCAAAAGAGCAGTCAAACAGGTAGGTCTTCTGGCAGGATTTAAAGATAAAGAGAGAGGGGGCAAGGGGAAGAGATTTCAAGAGAAAATTCCAGAGGCCGAAGACAAAATGAATGAAGGTTCGCCTGCCAAATGGTGGAAAGGAAAGGGCAGGAACTTGAAGCAGGCTAGAGTTGACGAGGGAGTAGGGTTGTAGGTGGTCGCCGCTGGAGCGCTACAAAGCCATGGAGGCATTTAAAATTGAGGACAAAGATATTAATCTACTGGGGTATAGGGATCATAGCATCTTTAATTTACACAATCACGGTAAAATCAGGCAACTTTTACGAGTTTTAAATCAAATTAGAACTTTTGTGCAGTCTACAACATTGCTTTTATCACATACCGACAGAGGGCTCCTGTATAAGGGGTGATGCGGTTGCACTTAGACTCTGCACCAGGCTCCCCATTTCTTGGAGAGCACAGACCATCACATGCTGACTAGCGGAAACATCGGTTGCTCCTGATTTATTTTCATTATTGGCGTCATTCACCACCGATTCTATCATAAGAAAAACAAGATACAGGACATTAAAATTAATACAGATATAACTATTTTCAACAATGCTTAAAATGAAAATCAGCTCAAAATTTCTAGTTACAATATCATAGGAATGGCAATCTTGCCCTGGAGAAGATATAGAATCAGCTTTATTCTATATACCCGTTTATTCCATGTACCTGGAGTAAAGCTGATTCTGGATATTAAGAAATTGGTTATCATTTTATACTAGGCTCTTCACAGTAAATTGCGGTAAAAAGCCATTAAATCTGAGTGATTCCTGCTGGAGCCTGACTATAAAGATAAATTGGATTGACCAAAATACTGACTCACAGCACTGCAGCACATTGGGAGTTCCAATTGCGATTTGGCAAAATCAATCAAGTAAACGTTACTTAGACCCTTCTTTAATAATGCTAAAAACTAAACATTGGTTAGTGTTACTTTGTACAAGTGGCGTTAACTTCATATGCAGAGCCTCTCCTCAGCCACAGGTAAATGGAAATGAGAAGGAAAAATCCACCTTACTGCTCTGAAAAATCAGTGGTATAAACCATGTGAGCACCAAAGTTGAAAGACACTGAATCGCTTCCCTAAGCAGATGACCTGATTGAAAGTGTTCCAAGATTACAAAGGTTGTGAAAGACAAACTGACAAATTGCTTCATTCACTTCACTCACCGTTACAAAGGGTTGAAATATCAGGTGGCACAAATTCAAAATGAGCAAGTTACAAGTAAAGTGGGCAGGTGGGACACTTTTTGGGGGGAAAAAGAACACTTTGAGGATACTTGACTAAAGTCACCAGAGATGGTTACTGAGACAAACAGATTGAATGGTTAATGAGGTAATACTGTGAAATGCTACAGGAAGGATTGAGAAGGTGAGAAAGATTGAGCCCATTCAAAAAGAGATAGCTTTCTGAGTCTATTGGTATTTTCTTATTAGTTACTTTATTGCAAATAGTATCAATTTACTCTAAATGTTAATCGAAATCTTAGTGTATTCTAGTGTGATGTTGTGTTTTTGCAATACAACGCAATTTTGATCATAAACTAAAATGAAAAATGTGAGCAATGCCTGCACACGGACGAAATTATTCACAATACAATGAGGACCGTGAACATATCTGCGGACTTTACTTGATTTAAAAGGCTCAAATTTTCACAAATGTAGCATCCTTTAAATTACATAAGATGTGTTTGGTTATTCTTAGCAACGCTACAAAGTTTGTAAGATACACCTAAATAAATTCCTACTGTGCTACTGCTAACACTTACACTGTCTGATGTGTTATCTAACTCATTGCTCTCATTAATCAGTGCTGTATGGTGCGCAATACATATTGCTGTATCCAGGTCACCTAATATTAACATGAACCATGAGCCAGAAAAGAGAAAGGCAGCTATAAAGTCAGCTATTTTGAAGCTTTTCAGCTGACAAGGTATTGTTCAAACAGACAAAAGGGTCTAGTTTTGTAAAATTTGCATGAGGGTTTGCAAAAAATAAATTTTTCAGGTATTCAAATGTATTTCAAGCCGGAGCTGAGACTGCTTGGAAGCCAATCCTAGCTTTGATTTCCTTGCAACCAAAGGAGGCTCCCAGAGAATTGCCTTTCAAGAATATGATGTGCTACTCTTACCTACTGCCTTCATCTGTTTAGCAATCGCCTGGCAGATCTCCTTTGCAGCTGCGATCTGTGCCTTCTCTCCCATCAGGCTGCCCACAGTGGCCCGAAGGATGAAAGAAACACAGCGACGTGAATACACTGCCTCAACGTGACTTTGTGTGGCTCGAGGATGGGAAATGAGCTCCAGCACATGAGTAAGGAAGGTAGCAAAATTGCGCTCCAGCCACTGTCCTCCGAGCGTTGTAACAAAGACCACATATGCCTGAAATAGACAAAGCAGTTGTTTGAAATAAATCTGGTAATTCACCCCTCAACAACCTAGCCACTACAAAAGTACCCACCTCCAGTGATGAACAGTCAATATTTCTCTTAAAGCAGTAAATATACAGTCAATCCACTTTAGAGTATATTCTGTGAAATACTTTGAGACGTCTCAATGACGTGATAAGGCACTTTATCAAATGCAAGGATTATTATTATTTACAACTATGAAAATTAGAATATGTCCAGAAACTGTCAGAAACCACGATTCCCTTTTCTTATTCAATGAGTCATCTTTTGTCCTTTCTCGAGTATAATATTTGTCACCAGAAAAGAAATCTCAGAAAGAAGGTTCAACATAAGACATAAGTTCAACATAAGTTTATGGTTCCCCTGCCTCTGGATCACAGAAGATTGTCGGTTTCAAACGTTACACCACTTGAGCAGAAAATCCAGACAGACTGTCTACAACAACAAGATTACATTTGTATACCGCCTTTCACGTTGGGAGGATGTCCCAAGGCGCTGGACAGCGTACAGCATTTCAGACCCGAGCTGGGGTCGGGGTGGGGGGGGAGAAGGGAGGGTAGAGGAAGGGGGGGTGACCGATAGCATGGTCGAAGAGTCTAAAGACTCTCTAAAGCAGTACTGAGGGAGTGCTCCATTGCTTAAGGTGTTGTCCTTCAGATTATATGTTAAACGATCTGCTTGTGGAGTCCTGTAGCTCAGTGGTTAGAGCACTCGCCTCGCAAGCGAGGTATCTGAGTTTGATTCCTGGCAGGACGAAATGTTGGGCAAGTTTCCTTACCAGTCAATTGGCGGATCCCCTTTCTGGGGTTAATAATTCCTTAAAAAAAAATTGACTGTTTGTGGGTCACTGCTGTGTGCAACTGGCGTTTCACCCACAAAATATAATCAATTCACTTTAAAGTATATTCTGTGAAGAGCTTATTTTACATTTCAATGTAGTAATATACAATACAAAATGTAAGCACTGTACTGCTTTCAAACTCACACAGCATGGATCTGCTGCATCCAGAGGTTAAAGACTCCTAATTTTACCCTTTGTAATAGTACACAGTTTCTTGCAGCAGATGAGTTTGCAAGCACACAACAAACATAGGAAAATAAGGCTAACATTTCAGCACTGATCTCAACATTTCATTGTTCTGAGGTGAAGGACCAATTATGCAACTCTGCTAACTTCTCTCCTTACTATTGGCTTTCAGCCTCTCTTAGGAAATTCATCCCACAATCTCTTTGCCTTGCTCCCTCTCTTGCCTCCTTCAAGGCACAACTAAAGACCCTCCTTTTTATCCGTGCCTTCAGCTGTCCTCCTACAGCCCCTGCCTTCCTTCATCCCAACCCTGACTCCCACACTCGGGTCCTGATCCCTGACTGTTCAGCACCTTGGGACGTTCTCCCAACGTGAAAGGCACTTTACAAATGCAATTTTGTTGTTGTTTTAACATTGTTCGGTCCAGGAATGTGAATATTGACTTTGCAATTCACTTTACCAGTTCAAGCTGCTCACCTGTGTGACCCCAACTCGCACCTCTCGGCTGACAGAGCCTCCACCTTTTAGCATTTCTCCTCCACTCTTGAGGAATCCCGAGCCCCCCCGCAAAAACCCTGTTGCCATCAACTCCAAGACTTCATCCAGTGTGGCGCGCTTCACATTCTGGCGCATCACTGTATTTGCCAGAGATAAAAACATAAGAGTTTGAATCAAAGTCTCACAATGATGAAAAAACATTAACTTTTCAGTGTACCACAACAATAATAATAGTTGAAACTGCAAAAGGGTGCTGATGTAAATCTGATTGTTTAATCTGTACAGCAATGTAGATCGCTTTTGGAAGAGGTGGCCGATTCTGAGATTTAACAGCTACAACACTTAAAACAGTATTATAAGATAAATCCATTGAATCAGCGTCACAGAAAATGCAGGCCAGATGACTTGTGTGTTTCAGATTATTAGAGAAGATAACTTTTTTTAAAAAAAAGAAATCCTCCCCCACTGGAATCCTTGCTAAACCAGTTAGGTAACAGTAGATGCTTGAAACATGACTTTTGACGATCTTCAAATGTGGATCATCACTGGGAGAGCTCAGATGTTATAAAAGTAGACAGCTTTCAACTTGCCAGGAAGTCTAGTGATATTCTGTGATCAATATTTTGTAAGATCGGCATGTAAACACTCTAGAAATTATACAATATAGCACTGTACTGGTTTTGAATAGGTACTGACAGACCACAGATGTACATCTGATTGTTTAATCTGTACAATAATGTAGATCACTTTTAAGAACATGATTGCATTTCAGATGGAATCTCAAGATATTGCCCTTTAGTCCTGCTTTTGATCAGTTATCATGTGACTTAGCCTCTACAATCAGGAAACCGGGTATTTTTCCTGAGTACATTTATTTGCTGCTGACTGAAAATGGAAATTGTAAAATTGTATCCTCCAATTAAACCAAGGTTTGCCATTATTCATTCTGTTTTTCCCTTCTAATTCAATATTCCTCTATGGGACTCTTCAGTGAATGATAGCATTAATAAAGTAATATAGAAGCAGAATAGCAGTAAGAGTAACATAACAGTAGACCACTGGTCCAAAAGCTATCATTGAACTTTCCAAAATTCATTTGATACATATATTTCATCAGCCAATTCTCTCTCCCTCCCTCACCTTTACCAAGGTTTGTCTCAAGACCTACCTCTTTGACTGTGCTTTCAATCATCATTCCCCTCCCCACCCTCCCCGGCTCCCACCCCCAGCTCGGGTTCCAAATGAGGACTGTTACGCACCTTGGGATGTTCTCCAAGAAAGGGCTACATAAATGTAAATTTGAATTATAGCAATGTAATGCTGAATCCTTTTAAATTTCAGGGAATTATCTGATCGCTGTCTGAAACTCTTCAAAATTCCTTATTCTACCACCTAAACTGGTATTGGGAAATAGCAAAGATAGAAGCAGCTACACATTCGTTAAAGAGTATCTACTGTGTACAAATTGCAGAGAAGCATTTATCTGCAAAAAAAAATCAGGATTCAGTATTGAATACCTGCAAATGCAAAAATGATCAGGGCTGCTGCATTTTAAAAAAAAATGTTTGCTTATAAAACTAGAAATAAATAATACTTTTGTTTTATAACTAAAGTTTGCCTCTCTAACGACAGAGTCTATATTCATACGAAGTTGTGTCTTGTTTGTAGTGGGATATTTTTCCTGGTTCGCTTTGTAACAGTACTTTCTACGCATAATGCCTCCCATGCCACACACATAACAATGACAAATTGCATTTATATAGCACCCTTCATGCATGGCAGCATCTCGGAGCACTACAAACACATCTAAGGCCTGTTAAGCACATTACCTTTGGCACAGTACACACCTGCTGCCTGCTTAGGCATTAAAGCTGTTGCCATGACAGTACCAAGTAACTTTGATACTGCAACACGGACCCCATAGTTAGATCCTTCCAGTGCCTTAAAACAAAGAGTAACCACGTTTTCCAGCTCTGTCGTCCACATAAAGACGGATTCATTCTGTAATTCCAGCAGGCACTAGGAGAGAAACATACACTTTCAGAAATGCCATGTTCTGAAGGTGATAGCGTACAAATTTTTCTGAGAACAGACAGCATTCCCTTCAAATGTATATTCTGTCCAGAATATTTATCCTTCCAAATGGCCACATATTTCTAAATACATTCAGTTGACTCCACTTGAACAATTAACCAAAAATGAACTAGATTCTTTAATGAACTAGATGTGCTTATTTGTCAAATTGAGTTCACTGCTTTGCTTCCTATAAAGCAGCCAACCCACCCTACTCGCATTATTCCTGTCTGCTTCATTATTCATGATTAAGTGTCACATATTAACAATTAGGCTCATTCTTGTCAAAAGCATTTATTTTCCTTACTAGTTCCAAATTTCTTACAAACTACAGCTACGCAACTTCACTTTTAACAATATAAATTAATAAGTTTCAGCTTTGCCTTTATTTTATCTGAAATTAAAAATGTTAACAATCAAAGAAGTGGTTATATAAAATGTTCTCTCTAACGCATATCAATGTGACTATTTTACTGATGGACAGTAAACATGATTTACCTTAGCTACTGCACATCGTACAGCCATGGAACGGTCAGTTAAACCTGATCGAGCATTCTTGTAGATATCCCGATGGCAGGAAGCAGCAGCACACCCAAGTCCACTTAGTATTTTCTGTAGGCTTAACAGAATCTCGCTGCGTCCCTGTGACTATGAGACACATAACTCTACTTTAGGAATGTAGTGCATAAGATCTGTCAGGGATATTCAGCACTCTCAGTCAGGAGCTCGCCTATCTCAACTCATGTACAGGTTTGCTTAGCCACAATGTCAACAATAACAACCACAACAATTGCATTTATATACGATCACTCCATATAGACACAGATTTAAAATGTAATCATGTTCACAATGCTAAATTTTAGTGTAATAACTATTTTGTGGCACACAACTCATCTCAGCCCTTGATCAACTTGTAAGTAGATCAGCCTTGATGGGAATTTCCTTCCAGACGTAATTGGAGGAACAGAATATTCAAAGAGCTCCATCTAGTGCTCTACCGAGGTCTGGCAATTTCCAGTATCCAACCCAGACAAGCGTTCAATGTATGCATACCATTTGCAATTGGAAATTTCCTTGTCTGGAATGGGATGAGCACTATCTCCCTGGGATGCATCCTGCTTACCCAATTCCAGAGAGTATTAGGCGTAGGTTAATATAAATAATAGAATCCTTGCATTTGATATGGAGCCTTATCAAGTCAAGACGTCTCAAAGCGCTTCAGAGAAATATACTGTAAAGTTGATTGACTGTATTTTGTGGATGAGGAGAGACAAGGCTTAGGGACCCCACAGTGTGCGTTGAGGTACTGGTGGAGTCTAACCAGCTAAAACCACATAGCTTGCCATTGAGAGCACTGCCTGGCAAGCTTTCCTGCTGCTTGTCACCTAGGACCACCCTACCCGTTAGGGCTTTCACTTGCAGGGATGATGGTTGCCAAGTGGGAAGAATTCCCCTTCAAATCCTGCCAATGAGCGATGCTGGCTGGTTTGTCATCAGCAGGGCCCTGGATTATTGTGGACCCATCTGGCTCAGGAACTGGACTACTGAGACCACCAGAGGGCTGACTTGATACTGGTTTGCAACATTCCATCATCAAGCACAACACCTTGGAGACAACTCAGCTCCAAGGAGATTGCTTACCCCCGTCCCCCTCACTAGACACCTGACATGTGCAGAACTGTGCTCTCACCAGGGCTCAAACTGTGGATAGCAGTTGTCAAGAACGCTGAGATTCCTGGTGAGCATCACAGCTAAACATGAGATGCATGAGCACTGCCCTTAATCCACAAAATACTCAGTCACACAACTTTCCAGTGGATCCTGTGAAGAGCTTTGAGACATTTCAACGATATGAGGTGCTATATCAAATGCCACGATTATTATATTATTGTGTTCCTGTGCACAGCTTAGACACACATCCCAGCTCATTGAGCAATGGTTCTGATTAGTTCAGAAATTAATTTACAATCAGGGCATTGCTAAATTAACCCAGTGTGTGCTTATTTCTAAAGCCAAACAATGATTCTTACCTCTGCACTTTTCAAAGCCTTTAAAAGATTGCTGACAGTTTCAGGAAAGGAGCTGCCCAGCATTCGTCCCATCTTCTCATAAAACGCTCCAACGCAGGCCACTGCCGCCCTGTCAAGAGCATAATCCATCTACTGTTAATGTTAGTTTTATTCTCTCTTTGCGTCAATTTAAAAGAAGCAACAGGTTTGCACACTACAACTCTGCAGTGGTCAGAAGTTCTCCAATGGTCTAATGGGCAAAAGAACCATTCGAAGCAGCACGAGTGATACAAGCAGAAAGTCCTAGACTGGAATCCCGAGTTAGAGGATTTCACCCAATGAAGCAGTCGAGGTTCTACTTTAGCATTTCAGATCTAGAGGGGTTCAGATCTGCAACCGAGAGGAAGAAAGAATAGGGAGTATCATACATGGATTTTCGACATACAAGGCAATGGCTAGGAACTATAACTGTATTTAGCACCCTTCACATAGGTTAATGTCTCAGTGCACTTTCTAGTAGAGTTGGATGACGAGCAATGGAAAGGGGAAGCCATAGGCATATTTGAAGAGAGAGGATTTGAGGTGGGATGTAAGGTAAGACAGAAAGAGAGAGGGTTTATAGAGGGAGGGAGTTCCAGAGGTTAGGGACGTAGGAACTGAAGGCTCAGTCATCAAAGCTACAGAGGGTGGCGGCGTGCAGCAAACCCGACTTAGCTGAGTGGAGTGAAACTCTCTGGAACGCTACCCTGCGTGAAGGGCATAAATACAAGTTGTTGTTGTTGCTGAATGAACGAGTGAAGGAGCAGGTTCAGAGAGGTAAGTGGATGGATTTGTAGGTGAGGACCTTGAAACCAATCCACTGGGAGCTAGTGGAGACTGGTGAGGACTGGGTGACAGGTGTGCAGAGAGCAGAGTTGAGGGAGTTGCAACTTGTGAATGGTGGAGCTCGGAAGATCAGCAAGGAGTGAGTCGGAAAAGTCTAAGTGGAATACAACTAATTTGACCAGACCCAAAAAAGCAGACCAATCACCCCAACTTCAAGACCCTTATCTTGACAAATGGAAGAATGGAAAGAATAAGATTGAAACCCATTATAAAAGGAAGCAAAGGTAATTAAAATTAAATTTTGGACTGATGACAGGAAGTCTGTGTCTATCAAATTTATAAGAATTCAGTTCAGAGCATTTTACATAATGTGATCATCAAAACGCTTTTTGAGAAGATGACATACAAACACCGTCCTCAAGGGGAACACATTACACACACACACACACACACACAAACAAAGGCAGATACATTTTATATTTGGTAGAAAAAGAGAGCAATTACTAAACGCTGAATGATGTGTACTAGGCAACTTTTATGGCATTACTAAGAATCATGGCTTTTGATAATAATACACACCATGTTCCACAATACAATAACAGATGCATCAGGACACTTCATAATATTCAGAACTGTAAGTAAACTACTGACTTTTCATGCTATCCAATAAATTAGATGTTCTTTCATTGAAAAGGGAAAAGACTATTAACACAAAAAGTCAATTGAATGTTACATCACTGAAACAAGGCCATTAGGCCCACCAACCCTCCACTAATATTTTCTCCATATGAGCTGTTTCATCTAATCCCACTCTCCTGTTCGCTTCCCATACTGTTTAATATTTGCTAAAGATCTTCTGTAACATAATGTTTAAAGAAAAACCAACACAAACATATTCTCTCCGTCTTTGGGTTATCCCACCAGTGCACCTCAAAGGATAAATTAGCACGGCCAATTTCACAAATGACATATCAGATATTTAAAAAACTATAATTAAAAACAGAACTTTGGAGAAGAAAAATATTGAATCACGATAAAGATAATTTGGGTTGGAAAGAGAAAATTGTAATGTGCCAATTTTTCAATAGGTTCATAGAAGACAAAGCAGGACCTTTAAAAGCACACAAGACAATGGGAGCAGGGAATAAAATGGTGACATTTGAAAAAGCAATTTTTCACAGCAGCTTCATTACAGAAAGCAGCAATGTTCCTCTTGCTGTGATTGGTACGAATAGATGATGGAGCAGAGCTCTTGGAGCAAACAGAACTAAGTGATGAGATGCTAATTAAAAACTGGATGTGGCTGAACATTCATAAAGCAGAGAACTGAATGGAATACATGCATTAAGCAAATAAGGGTAGAGGCGGGGGAGTGGCGGCTGAAACCATAACTCATTACATGCATGGTAGCACCAGAGAATTAGCAAATCGCTATTGCTGTTCACAGAAGGTCAGATACAAGATCACTGTAATTATAGCTTGACGTTTGTGGTAGGAAAAACAATGGGACCCAACACAAAGGAAGAATTCAAGAACATTAATTAAATGAAAATTAAGGCAACCTCCTCAAGTCAACACAGGTTTATGAAAACTGATTGTGCCTGAAAGATTTATTGGAATTCTTTGAGAACAGAAGCTGGCAGATGGGTATTCAATATTTTGACTTTCTTAGGGCATGTGATCAGCCTCATGTCTCTCATGAGACAGCTTCAATGAAAGTTCTGGGAATGAGAGGAAGTTGTAAACTGGATAATGAATAGTCTGAATAATGGGAAATGTAATGTTAGCTGCTCTGATTGATGGCTGTGACAAGTGGAGTATCCCACGGTTCCCTGGAATCTTAGCTTTTAACAATGATTTCAGAGAGAGCATTACAAACAAATATCTAATTCTACAGAAGTATCTCATTGTGTGGGAATGTAGGGCAAAAGAGAATTAAGACTACTCAACATTGTATCAGTTTATAGCTGCAGTTGCAAAGGTAAAAATTGCTGTGCGAAAGACGACAAAAACAACAATAAATTACATTTATCACATCGGAAGGATGTCCCAAAGCGCTGACAGAAATAGATAGATAAAGTCTAAGGACAAGTTAACGGCACATGAAATGCACTGTGATCATTTTGATGAGCTAATCTTGATTTAAGGACTAACTCCTTCACTCCTAAAGCAATCACCTTGTGGAATCAACTGTCTATTGAATACATACTGAATCAGCTGAAATACCAAATGGAAATGGATAGTTTGCTGATGCCACACGGACTTGTGGGATGTGGATTTGGGTAAAAAAGAGATGAATTGTCAGAGTACAGACTAGGTTGACAGCACAAGTTGCCAAAGGGCTGAATGACATTTTGTTCATTCCTAATTTCCTTAGACTCAGACATCTGGACAGAGGATAGGGTGGCAAGCGTACTGCACCTCTGCCAAAGCTGCTCAACGTACAGCAGTTTTGAGAACAGCGTACGTCAAAAATCCCTAAAAAAAATAATAAATTAAATAAAAATAATCATTTCAATCCATGACTGTTTGTGGGACACTGCTGTGCACAATTGGCTGCCGCATTTTGCCCACAAATGTACAGTCAATTCACTTTACAGTTTATTCTGTGAAGTGCTTTGAGACGTCTAGAAGACGTGATAAGGCGCTATATTAAATGCAAGGATTATTATTAATACGTCGACTTGATTTGTCTTTTCTTCCCTCACGCTGCGTCTGCTCATGGTTCTTCAAGTGCCTAGTTATATTGTCACTAAGATTGCGAAATTTTTCTTTAACATAACGTGAAGGCAGAGTGGAGAAGAGAAATTGTACCCTGCCACTTCATGCAGCAAGACATTACTGTATAGTGCCAATAAGATGACTCATCTTTCGCACTTGCTTTTTCTTATATTGCAACAATAACTTAGCAATGTTGAGCAAGACTGTTTCTGAACTAATACATTGTACTGGTTACTATTATAACTGTATAGAGCAATGTCAGGTGAACCATTTACATGAGTCATATTGGTCTGCAAAAACGAAAGCAGACAGTATTTTACAGGACGAAGTTAGCAGACCTCAGAAACAAGACTTTTTTTAAAAAAACAAGATTACATTTCTATAGCGCTTTTCATGTCGAGAGGACGTCCCAAAGGAAAAAATAACTGACTGGGATGATGTTTGCAGGCCTTATCTGGGGCAAGAAAATCCTACAAGTTTTTAGTCACCTTCTCCCTCTCCCCCCACATCTTCCCCCTCTCTTCCCTTCCAGCTTTGTCCCCTGGTCAGTTGCGTGAAGCACTTTGAGACGTCCTACTGATGTTTACCCAAAAAGGGTATTTATTGGTGAAAACTGGTAAAGGAAAAATTATTTTAATAGTCATTAATTGGTACTGAGAACCGCAAAGCATGTGGTCATACTGAAGCAGATACAGTGGCTGAATGGAATTGGTTAAGTGATAAACATCTTCAGAATGTCATTCACAACAGATAATACAACAACAACAAAATTACATTTGTATAGCGCCTTTCACGACGGGGGGGATGTCCCAAGGCGCTGGACAGACAGAGATTTGGATCCGAGCTGTGCCTGTATTAGGTACCGAACTAGATTGTCTGCTTACCAGTTACAATGGAATCACAATGCCAAAAAGGAACAGTAGAGGCTGTCACAGGGGGAGGCAAAAAAAAACAATCCAAATGCACGACACAATTTCTACAATCGGTTGCACAATTCAACATGCTGAATCATCAAAGCCATTCAAGCCAACGATTTCAGTTATATTAAAAGTACACACTCCAAAAATAGTTCCTTTTATAAAGCATTGTACTTACAGCTTGGTGGGGAGGTATGCTGGTGTGTCATCCTTACTCTTGATGATATCATTGCATCTGTCCAGGGTTTGGAAGACAGTGAAGGTATCCCCAATGCTGTACAGCGTTGCCAGGTTCTTAGCAAGAAGCTTACGGGTGGGTGGACCTGGAGAACTGCTGATAAGTCCGGTCAGTTGTTCAACCAGTTTCTTTTGCTTTTCCTTCACATCCAGCTATGTGGGCAGTCAAGAAAGAAACCAGACAAAGACAGATTGAAAGTGAGCGACTAGTCTCAATAAGACGCTTGTTTTTCTCACTGCAAGACAATTCTCCAAGCAAACCACAAACCAGGTTTATCTGCTTAGTACTGTACTGATGCACTATTCCATTTGCAACCAGATGCTATTAATGACTATTAAGCGCTGCAAAACAAGAGTTGACTTCTACTGTGAACTGCTCCTCACTTCTCAAATGAACACACTTCCTTGTATCCTGAGTGCTCAGAGTATGTCAGAAACAATAAATATCTTTAAAACCACATACCCCATCCTATTATGTGATTCCTACTATTTTCTTTAAAACATAACGTTTTATATTGTTGTTTATAGTTGGCTGAGCAATGGAGAAAAGTAGAGGAAAAATGAGGCAGCCAGTTGCGCACAGCAATGTTCCACAAACAGTCAAAGGAGTGAGTGACCAATTTTATTTGTGGGATTGTTGGCCAGGACACCGGGAGAAACTCTTTTCAAATAGTGCCATGGGATCTTTAACATCCACCTGAACAGGCAGATGGGACCTCAGTTTAACGTTTCATCCAAAGAACGGCACCTCCAAGAATGCAACACACCCCCAGCATTGCATTGAGTGTTATCTTAGATTATGTGATTCCAAGAGTCCTTGTGACCTTAACCCACAACCTACTGACTTAGAGGCGAGAATTGTGTCAGGCTGACACATAAAAGGAATTAAGTAGAGAGGTGTTAGGACATTAAATGATTTGTGAGAATATGAGGATCTTGAAATTAATCTATTCTGCAAAAGGGATCCAGTGGAGCCTGGCAAAGACTGAGGTGACAAAATAAAAAATGTGCAGAACAAATTGGCCTAAATACCTTATTTGCACCAACGATCACTTTGTCCAAGAAACGTAGCCATTCAAAGATAAATACAGGTCGCTTCGCCTCAGTTATTTGTGCTAAGGCTTCTTCGTTTAGCAATAAACTGTGAGCAAGCTCCATCGCACAAAATACTGTGGGCAGAAATTTTCAGATGAAATGTTTGGGCTCCACGATAATTTAATTCATTCCTATTTACAAAAAAAACATTCAATTAGACAGTGTCATGGTAAGCACATGAGTTGCACATTTATCCAACATGAAGAAGCAAAGCTGCTAACTGACTTTGAGAAGTTTATTGTCATATAAAAGTGTATAAGTGAAAGTTTGTTTATGTAATTGCTGAAAGTTTTGTTGCTGTATGTAAAGGGAACCGATATGCAGATCCTGCAGGAGCTACCATTAAAGAGGTGACTCCCTACAGAAGCAGCAATGCCAATGACAATAAAATCTAAATGTGGAACTGTGCCCCAGACTACCATAGAGGAGGTTGGACCAGGAGCAGAGAGACATATGACAGTGAGGAGAAAACCTGAAAAAGAATTGCAAACTAAATTTAAAAACATTTTTTTAATTGTCAGATGCTGTGCCTGCTCCCAATGGTACTAATTTTAGGTGGCCTGAGTTCCCATCCGGCCAATAGAGGACCAATGAGGTGATGTCAGAAACTTGGAAGCACTGACCAGTGGCAACTGTTTTGTGGTGAGCTGGAATTTTCTGAATCCAACAATCACATTATAACAAAGCTTCCCCTTTATATCCAGGAAGCATATTTCAGGGCACTGAACACAATGTTAAGTGACACTGAACTTCAGACATTGATTACCAACAACAACATGCACTTACATAGCGCCCTTCACATGTGGCAGCAACTGCAATTGAAGAACTATTTGCGGTCCTAGACACTGTATTACAGAAAGTAGATCAAATCACTGAAAAGGGTGCAGCACAGATTCACAAGGATCAAACTAGGGATGGCGAAGATGTATAAAAATAAGCTAGAAAAATGTGGCCAGTTTCCACAAGTTCATGACATCACCTCATTGACCCTGTAGAAGCTGGATAGGAGTTCAGGCCATCTAAAATTAGTACCATGGGAGCAGGCACAGCCAGCACATGACATTTTTTAAAAAAAAAACTATTTTAAATTTTGTTTCCAATTCTTTTTCTGATTTTCTCCCGAGTGTCATATGTCTCTCTGCTCCTGGTCCAACCTCCTCCATCTCTATGGTAATCTGGGGTGCAGTTCCACAGGCATTGTTTACCCTCCAATACTCTCGCCATAGTTTATGTAGGGGCCTTAGCAGGCATTCAACTATAGAGGGGATCACTGCTAAGTTTGACCTCTCTCCACCTGGCTGCCATTCACACGCTGGAGCTTCCTATAAAGGGAGCAGGAACAAGAACCCCATATGGTTTTCCCCTCTCTAACCTTGGGAAGACTGAGGCCAATTTAGCCTCCCCATGCCACCATAGTAGAGACCAAGGATTTGAACCAATGAGCTCCTGGTCCATAAACTGGAGCTCGATCCACTGCACAATTTGGGGCTTCCCCATTCTGAAACATTTTGAGAGGATAGTGAAAGATTATTCCCATTGTTTGGAAAATCAGTATCAAACGAACATATGGTCAGATTTGTCACCAGAGAGGCTAGCATGATTTTAGGATTACGGAGTCAAATACTCTCCTCCTATACTGGAATGCCCTTGATCTATGATCACTCCTAGCCTTGTGTCCTCTCATGCACTAAGCTTTGTGAGCCTGTTATCCCCTTCCTCACCTAGCTCCACTGGCTGCCCATCCAGTGGGGTCGTGTAGCTCAGTGGTTAGAGCACTCGCTTTGCAAGTGAGAGACCCGAGTTCAATTCCAGGCAGGTCAGGGCGAAACCTTGGGCAAGTTTCCTTACTCCACACAGAGCCTAATAATAATCCCTCCAAAACCCCCCAAAAAATAATAAAATTGGTAATTTCAATCTACGACTGTTTGTGGGACATTGCTGTGCGCAATTGGCTGCCGCGTTCGCCCACAAATATACAGTCAATTCACTTTACAGTATATTCTGTGAAGCGCTTTGGGACGTCGAGAAGACGTGAAAAGCGCTATATCAAATGCAAGGATTATTATTATTATTATTATCCCCATTGGATTCAGTTCAAGATCCTCATCCTCACTTTTAAATCCCTCCAAGGTCTTGCTTCAGCCTGCCTATGTGACCTTCTTAAACCCTACCAACCCACCCGCTTAAACCACTTGGCAGGCATTGGCTGATTCACCCATACCCTGTCCACCCCACCAACTGATGTCAGGCTTTCAGCCTAACTGCCTCCACCTCTAGAAATCCATCCCAGAGTCCCTTTTCCTCACCCCTTTCCTCGCCACCTTCAAGGTCTGTCTCAAGGCCTTCCTCTTTGACTGTGCTTTCAGTCATCTTCCCCCACCCTTTGCAAATCCATTCCCCAACTCGGGTTTTTAGTTTGCAATCCAATGGGATTTTATTAACCATTTCCACGCAGAAGGTAACAGAAAAGAGAATTTATACTTGTTAAAACATGGAAAGTCAGGGACACCACTGCACATAACTGAGTCTTGCACCAAAAAGAAAAAAGAGAAGTAACTTCTAGTGTGTGAAGAAACAATTGGAAAAAAAAATTCAGAATCACCCAATTCTGTCAAGGTTTCTGTGTCATGTTGACCTAACCCACTTCTCTAACTGAGAAATAGAGCTTGAAAGAGACAGAAGAGAAAGATGCAAAATGCACAGACAAAAATACACAATATGAATTATCAGTATATAGTACATTATTATATATTATAATAATAGTATATAGTACACATTTTACCCACAAAATACAGTCAATTCACTTTACAGTATGTACTTATCTCGAAGACATGATAAGGCGCTATATCAATGCAAGGATTATTATTATTGGAGGTACAAGTATATACATCCGCAAAACACATAAAAATACTATACATTGATATAGCACAACACAGGATAGATTCAGCACAAGACATATGAACCACACACACAATATAATACAAGATAGTACAGATCACAAGACCCTATGTTCAGTATAGTATACACATTATGTATCATATTATATAAATATGTAATGTACAAGACACTCTATACACGTATACAAAATCTTTCAAACTGAAAAGTGTAGATCCCCAACCCCCTCGTCTCTCAATGACAGTGTACAGTATATATATACAGAGCAAAGCACAGTATAGATTGAGAATGTCACACACTGTATAGTGTGTACCGTATATGATTGGTCCAGACAGTCTGGTCGCCCCTCACTCACTCTCACAGTCAGACCCACACACAGACAGACACAGACTCACATACATAGATACACACAGACACAAACTCACATACATACTCATACACAGACAGTCACAAAAACACACAGCCAGACACACACAGTCACAGAGAGACGCACAGACAGACACAGAGAGACACAGACAGACACAGAGAGACACAGACAGACACACACACAGACAGACACACACACACAGACACAGAGAGACACAGACAGACACAGAGAGACACAGACAGACACAGACAGACACACACACACACAGACAGACACAGAGAGACACACACACAGACAGACACAGACAGACACAGAGAGACACACACACAAACTGACACAGAGAGACACACACACAGACAGACACAGAGAGATACAGAGAGACACACACACAGACAGACACAGAGAGATACAGAGAGACACACACACAGACAGACAGAGAGACACACACACAGACAGACAGAGAGACACACACACAGACAGACACAGAGACACACACACAGACAGACACAGAGACACACACACAGACAGACACAGAGACACACACACAGACAGACACAGAGACACACACACAGACAGACACAGAGAGACACACACACACAGACACAGAGAGACACACACAGACAGACACAGAGACACTCACAGACAGACACAGAGACACACACACAGACAGACACAGAGAGACACACACACAGACAGACACAGAGACACACACACAGACAGACACAGAGAGACACACACACAGACAGACACAGAGACACACACAGACAGACACAGAGAGACACACACACAGACAGACACAGAGACACTCACAGACAGACACAGAGACACTCACAGACAGACACAGAGACACTCACAGACAGACACAGAGACACACACACACAGACACAGAGACACACACACACAGACAGACAGAGACACACACACACAGACAGACACAGAGACACACACACACAGACAGACACAGAGACACACACAGACAGACACAGAGACACACACACACAGACAGACACAGAGACACTCACACAGACACACACACAGACAGACACAGAGACACACACACAGACAGACACAGACAGACAGAGACACACACACAGACAGACACAGAGACACACACAGACAGACACAGAGACACTCACAGACAGACACAGAGACACACACACACAGACACAGAGACACACACACACAGACACAGAGACACACACACACAGACAGACACAGAGACACTCACAGACAGACAGAGACACACACACAGACAGACACAGAGAGACACACACACAGACACAGAGACACAGACAGACACAGAGACACACACACAGACAGACACAGAGACACACACACAGACAGACACACAGAGACACAGAGACACTCACAGACAGACACAGAGACACACACACAGACAGACACAGAGACACACAGACAGACAGACACAGAGACACACAGACAGACACAGAGACACACACAGACAGACACAGAGACACACACAGACAGACACAGAGACACAGAGACACTCACAGACAGACACAGAGACACACACACAGACAGACACAGAGACACACAGACAGACACAGAGACACACACAGACACACAGAGACAGAGACACACACACAGACAGACACACACAGACAGACACACACACACAGACAGACACAGACAGACACACAGACAGACAGAGACACTCACAGACACACAGAGACAGAGACACACACACAGACAGACACACAGACAGACACAGACAGACACACACAGAGAGAGAGAGACACACACAGACAGACACAGACACACACACAGACAGACACACAGACAGACACAGAGAGACACACACAGACAGACACAGACACACACACAGACAGACACACAGACAGACACAGACAGACACACACAGAGAGAGAGAGACACTCACAGACTGACGGTTGGCCACTCGCTATGGCTCGAGACGTCGCTCTGCCCTCGGCCGCGGGAGGAGGAGGAGGAGGGGGGGAGGGGGGCGGAAGTGACGCGTCCCTCCCCACTCGGGCTGCCTGGCGCTGGGCCGCGCCCCGGAAGTGAACCCGCGGGTGTCGGGCGGGATGGCGGCCGGGGAGCAGGAGGGTGATGAGGATTACATGTCGGAGACGTTTGTCAGCCCACAGTAAGCGCCCTGACCCTCCCGCCCCCACACCACACCCGGTGCTCGCGGGGCCGCTGTGAGAGTGAATCCCTGTCGCCTGTTGGTGGCTCAACCCGCCTGAGCCGATGCTCCTTTCTCTTTGACTGTGCCTTCAGCTCCTCTCTCCCCTCCTCGCTCCCTCCCTCCCTCCCCTCACCCTGACCATCTCCCCCCTCCTCACTCCCTCCCCTCCCCTCACCCTGACCATCTCCTCGCTCCCTCCCCTCCCCTCACCCTGACCATCTCCCCCCTCCTCACTCCCTCCCCTCCCCTCACCCTGACCATCTCCCCCCCTCCTCCCTCCCTCCCTTCCCTCCCCTCACCCTGACCATCTCCTCCTCCCTCCCCTCCCCTCCACCCTCCCTCCCCCCTCCTCACCCCTCCCCTCCCCTCACCCTGACCATCTCCCCCCTCCTCACTCCCTCCCTCCCCTCACCCTGACCATCTCCCCCCTCCTCACTCCCTCCCCTCCCCTCACCCTGACCATCTCCCCCCCTCCTCACTCCCCCCCTCCCCTCACCCTGACCATCTCCCCCCCTCCTCCTCCCTCCCTCCCCTCACCCTGACCATCTCCCCCCTCCTCACTCCCTCCCTCCCCTCACCCTGACCATCTCCCCCCTCCTCACTCCCTCCCTCCCTCCCCTCACCCTGACCATCTCCCCCTCCTCACTCCCTCCCTCCCCTCACCCTGACCATCTCCCCCCTCCTCCTCCCTCCCCTCCCTCACCCTGACCATCTCCCCCCTCCTCACTCCCTCCCTTCCCTCCCCTCACCCTGACCATCTCCCCCCCTCCTCACTCCCTCCCCTCCCCTTGACCATCTCCCCTCCTCCCTCCCTCCCTCCCCTCACCCTGACCATCTCCCCCCTCCTCACTCCCTCCCTCCCCTCACCCTGACCGTCTCCCCCCTCCTCACTCCCTCCCCCTCACCGTCTCCCCCCTCCTCACTCCCTCCCCCTCACCGTCTCCCCCCTCCTCACTCCCTCCCCTCCCCTCACCCTGACCATCTCCCCCCTCCTCCCTCCCTCCCTCCCTCACCCTGACCATCTCCCCCTCCTCCCTCCCTCCCTCCCCTCACCCTGACCATCTCCCCCCTCCTCACTCCCTCCCTTCCCTCCCCTCACCCTGACCATCTCCCCCCTCCTCACTTCCCTCCCCTCACCCTGACCATCTCCCCCCTCCTCCCTCCCTCCCTCCCTCACCCTGACCATCTCCCCCCTCCTCACTCCCCCCTCCCTCACCCTGACCATCTCCCCTCCTCGCTCCTCCCTCCCCCCCTCACCCTGACCATCTCCCCCCTCCTCACTCCCTCCCTCCCCTCACCCTGACCATCTCCCCTCCTCCTCCCTCCCTCCCCCCCTCACCCTGACCATCTCCCCCCCTCCTCCCCCCCCCCCCCCTGACCATCTCCCCCTCCCTCCCTCCCTCCCCTCACCCTGACCATCTCCCCCCTCCTCCCCCCCCCCCCCCCCCACTCCCTTCCCTCCCTCCCCTCACCCTGACCATCTCCCCCCTCCTCACTCCCTCCCTCCCCTCACCCTGACCATCTCCCCCCTCCTCGCTCCCTCCCTCCCCTCCCCTGACCATCTCCCCCCTCCTCACTCCCTTCCCTCCCCTCACCCTGACCATCTCCCCCCTCCTCCTCCCCTCCCTTCCCTCCCCTCACCCTGACCATCTCCCCCCTCCTCACTCCCTCCCCTCCCCTCACCCTGACCATCTCCCCCCTCCTCACTCCCTCCCCTCACCCTGACCATCTCCTCACTCCCTCCCTCCCCTCACCCTCTCCCCCCTCCTCACTCCCTCCCCTCCCCTCACCCTGACCATCTGACCCCTCCTCGCTCACTCCCTCCCCTCCCCTCACCCTGACCATCTCCCCCCTCCTCACTCCCTTTCCTCCCCTCACCCTGACCATCTTCCCCCTCCTCACTCCCTCCCCTCCCCTCACCCTGACCATCTCCCCTCCTCGCTCCCTCCCTTCCCTCTCCTCACCCTGACCATCTCCCCCCCTCCTCACTCCCTCCCTCCCCTCCCCTCACCCTGACCATCTCCCCCCTCCTCACTCCCTCCCTTCCCTCCCCTCACCCTGACCATTTCCCCCCAATGCTCGGGTCCCGACCCAACTGTCCAGCGCCTTGGGACGTCCTCCCGACGTGAAAGGCGCTCTATAAACGGAATCTTGTTGTTGTTGTTGTTGCTCCACACGGGGATGGGGGTCACATTATAGCAATAATAATCTGTGCGTCTAATGTCGCGCCTCATCACGTAGACCAGACTCTCAAAGCGCTTCACGGGATTTTCACTGAACTGTAGTGACTGTGTATTTGTAATAATAATCCTTGCATTTGATATGGCGGCCTTGCCTGCGCGGTTTATTATTATTACCCCCTTTTTGAGATAGGATACACTGTAAAGTGGATTGACTGCGTATTTTGCAATGAACAGTTTGATCGTCTGCTTGTCCCCCACAGTCGGCTTCTCTACAACCACTTTCTCCGTGCCGCAGTTGATGGTTTATCCTCTGACTTTTGTCAAGCACTCCAGGATTTCTCACTCACTTTGTTCCTTAACTGTATAGCGCCTTGGACTGACCCCATCTGGACTACTGCGTTCAGTTTTGGCCACTGCACTTCAGGAAAACTATATTGGCTCTGGAAGGGATGCAGCACAGATTCACCAGAATGATGATGATAATAATCCTTGCATTTGATATAATGCCTTATCACGACTTCCAGACGTTTCACAGAATATACTGTAAAGTGAATTGACTATTTTGTGGTCAAAACGCGGCAGCCAATTGTGTTTAGCAGTGTCCCACAAACAGTCGTGGATTGACTGACCAAATTATTTTATTTATTTTGAAGAAGTTATTACCCCTGGAAAAGCGATCCACCAATTGACTAACAACCGGGTTCCTCCTTACGGTGAGGTTGTGTTCCTCCTTACTGCTAGGTAAACAGTGGCATGTGGAGTAAGAACCCAGGTCCTATCGCTTGCGAGGCAAATGCTCAAATCACTAAGCTACAGGACCCCACGTATCTTGATACCAGGCTTAAAGGGTTAAATTATGAGGACAGGTTGGTCTCTATTCCTTTGAATTTACAAGGTTGAGGGGTGATCTGATTGAGATTTTAAAAATAAAAAAGGAATTTGATAGTGTAGATACAGAGAAACTATTTCCTTTGGTAGGGGAATCCAGAACAAGGGATATCATAGAATCAAACAGCACAGAAGGAGGCCATTGGCCCATTGTGTCTGTACCGGCTCTTTGAAACGAGCTATCCAAATCAATCCCACTCCCCGCTCTTTCCCTGCAAACTTGTCCTCCCCAAGTTTTTCATGCAAAGGGTAGTGGAAATCTACAACTCTCTTCTCCCAAAAGGTTGCAGATGGTGGATCCATTCACATTTTCAAGACTGAGGTGGAAAGAGATTTGTTAGTCAGGGTATCAAGGGATATGAGGCAATGGCGGGTAATTGGAGTTGAGATCAGCTATGATCTTATAAAACGAAACAGGCTCAAGGGGCTGAATGGCCTGTTTCTATGTTTACCCAGATTAGTTTAAATATAGTATTCAAACTGCATAAGACAACAGCAACAATACCTTGCATTTATATAGCATCCTGGAGCTAGTGACAGTCTGACATTGAGCTGGAGGAGAGGTGATTGTAAGCATGATCAAAAAGGATCAATTTAGATGGGATTTAAATAGGTGGAATCAATCACCCCACCTGTTTATACAGAATAAAAAGGTAGGATGGATGATTGATTACATATCAATAACATTGCATAACTGTCTAGTTCAGTGAGAAGTTTCAGTCGAAGGTATAACGTACACACTACTGGAAGTAAGATTTCTTGTCAGAAAGATGATTTTAGCTAATTTTTTCACACTTGTTTATTAGACAAGATGTCAAGCCAGGGCTGCCAATAGCCAGAAGAGTGAAAGAAGCTTATCAAAAAAAAGAACATCAGATGGAACTCAACTTGAAAAACAGACAGAAAAGTAAAAAGGAAGAAGAGAAAGAGAGGCGGGATGCAATGCTGCAAAGCTCTTTAGGAAGTGAAAACAAGGGCTTTGCGATGCTTCAAAAGATGGGGTATAAAGAAGGTCATGGTCTTGGCAAGACTGGTATGTGACTTACATTTATATATCACTTTTAGAGGATTTGGGATTTTTTGAAAGTGGCATTTAGGGTTATTTTGGTCAGCCGGGTGTCTGGCATATGCGGAAACCCACCACCATGCTTAAGAGTATCCAAACTGAACTGAGAATTCCATACATCCCACCTACACATGGAAATTCCATGTATTGGAATGGTTCTTAAACTATTATTAAACCTTGGGTTAGTGGTGAAAGCAACAAACCAGATTAGAGAATAATTTCTCAAATAACAACATTAAATCTAATTATTTTTTCCAAACAACCTCAATGTCAAGAGGAATCAGGGGATGTGAAAATTTTAATTATTATTGGCAAAATGCATGCAGCTCCTTTAATAAGATATTCATTAAAGTTAATGGAGCCTGAAATTCTTCAAAATAAAACTTGTTTACTTTTGTTTAAATAGCAACGTAATCAACTAGGCAATAATAATAATTATCCTTGCATTTGGTAAATCGCCTTTCATATCAAGAGGATGTTTTAAAGTGCTTTACTGGATTTATTGGAAAGTGCATTATTTTTAGGCAAACATGAATTTGTATTCTGTAGACAATGCCTCTGAATCCTATCTTTATGTTGTATATGAATGAATTTGGACTTTAAGGAGCAAGGCCAATTTCCTGGATTTCAATTTGCATGTATCCAATTATGCTGCGTATTTAAATCCCTTTTAAAATACACCTGCACAGTTCAATTTAACTTAGCAATATTATTTCTTTTTGAAGAAGAATGAAACTTGTTTTGAGAAAATCTTAGCCTTCTTGACTGTGCAGTTATAAACTAGTGCTATAGGATAAGAAAATTGCCGTTTATAATTATTGTAACATTTTCTTTTACAGGAAAAGGAATTGTTGAACCTATTCCATTACAGATCAAAACAGGTGTGTTAAATACCGTTCAGCTGGTTTACTTTACTGTAGAATTACATCTCACTTCTTCTATTGTTAGCATCAGTAGGTTGGCAATGGTAGGTTAGCATCACCTACCAGAATAGAGTACTTTAAATTCATTTATTAGCTTCTTTACATTATTCTGCCATGTTCAATATATTTATTTTGTAGTTTTCATAGTTGTTTTGCAATGATTTTTAAGGTTTTGTAAAAGTGCATATATTTCTAATTTGCCAGTTATTTCTAATTACTGTAGTTTCCGAATCCATGTTGTTTATGTGGGAATTTTTTTTTTTTGCCCAGGCTTGCTTTGCCTTTTCTTAGCTAAAGACTTTTCAGATAGATTCAACACTGGTGGTGTTTAATAATAGTACAGTACATCCTCTCACTGTCTTTTGTAGCTCTGTGACGCTACCTTGTGTGAAGGCACTGTATAACTGCAAGCTGTTGCTGATGTTGTTGTCTATCAGTGCCAATGATTGGCATTTGCACTGTCCACCTTCCTCCAGTTCATAGCATGTTCAAATGATGGCTTGTTTTGAATGATTGAATCAAAAAAAAGTGAATTTGGAAGAAAGATTATCATTGCTTGATTTTCCACACATTGACAGCCATGATAAACAATACATTTAGCAAAGCCACTTTGCATTTTGTTTGTACAATGCCTGGGGCGGAGGGGGTAAAATATTGAGTTAATGGATGTAGCTGAATTTATGAGCATCATGGGAGCTGTGTATGTCTGTCTGTGGTTTATGTCATTTTATAGGTAATTTTAAATAAGCAGAACATTGGGCCAGCCCTGTCATACTTACTCGATATTTGGGAAAATGAGAATATTAATACATACAGGAAAAAGGAAGCAAAATCTGTTTTGAAATTATTTGTAAGTAAAATGCTTCTTTGCATTTTATTCCCTTGAATGAAAAAGGCAAGACCACGTTAGAACCATATAAATGTACAGCGCAGAAGAAGGCCATTTGGCTCATGGCCTGTGGCAAATCACAATCATAATCCGGTAGTAATATGTTATTGCCCAACATTGTTTTCAAAGTGTCACTTAAAATCCATACATTGCAGCATATGTGACTGAGTTACATAACTTTGCTTGTTTAAAATAACTCTGATCAAGGAAGCTTGTCTTACTCTTACATGGTGGACAGCTCTTTACTGGGCAGTTTTTCATCATTAAAGGACGTGCTGGGATTGGACATGAGGAGGCAGAGAAGCGGAGAGCTGAAGAAAGGATGGAATACAGCAGACGAAGGTTTCAAGTGAAAAAAGAATTTGAGGAACAACGCTTTAGTCAATATAGGCAAGTAGGTGACTGTGCAAAGTATATATTTAATGCAAATATTTTGTAAAACTGTTTAAAAGTTGTGTGGATTTTTTTGTCAATTAGAAGAATTTAATTGCATTCATATAATTCATATTGCTACCTAAACAGTTATGCACTGTAGCAGAGATGGCTAACTTGTGGCCTGTGGGCTACAAGTTGGCCATTCCTGCCCTATGGGATTTAATCCTTATTGTTGAGATTTCAGTCAGTATACACCGGATTGTGATCTAGCACAGGCCATGAGCCGAATGGCCTTCTGTGCTTTACATTTATATGGTTCTAACATGGTCTTGCCTTTTTTATTGAAGGGAATAAAATGCAAAGAAGCATTTTGCTTACAAATAATCTCAAAACTGATATCCCTTTCTTTTTCCTGTATATATTAATGTTCTCATTTTGAAATATTGAGTAAGTATGATAGGGGTGGCCCGGTGTTCTGCTTATTTATAACTACCTATAAAATTGCCTGAACTCACGGTTAGACATACACAGCTGCCATGATACACAAAAATTCAGTCACAACCATTAACCCCATATTCTACGTCCTCCCCCCCCGCCACTGTTCAAACAAAATGCAGAGTGGCTTTGCTAAATTTATTAACTAAACTGATTTCAGTCAGAAAAACCTTTCCAATACTCAACATTTATTCCTAAAATGTACCAAGGAGGATTCTCAGAAATGGGTGTTAAGTTTACAAGGATAATATAGAATAAAATTAGCAAAGCCAATGTAAATTTTGTTTACACAGTGCCGGGGTGGGAGAGTTGGGAGAATAGTGGATTAATGGATGTGCCTGCATTGTGTGTATCCTGTGAGTTGTGTATGTTTGGGTTGAGATAGTTTATAATAGACAGAAAATTGGGCCAACTAGTCATACTTGGTGGATATTCAAAAACAAGACTGTATCAATACATACGTAGAAAAAACTATTTATGAAATATATTTCCTCAAGTAAGATACTAAGGCAAAATGTACCTGGTTTTAATGATTATTTGTAAAACACTGTGAACCTGGATGATTGTAATGATTGGATTGTCCTTCCGCACATTTTTGGAGGTTTGGTCAACTAGTTGTCTGACATGTGGGACTCCCATCACTATTAATATGTTTAAGAGTATCCAAACAAGACAGAGTTCCAGGCACAGACATTTCCCTGTACCTTGAATGAAATGCATACTTTCCCTCGAGGAACACATTCTTTTTAACTAATTCTGGAGAGTATTGGGTGCAGGAAAGCCAAGACCTGAGAACTACAAAATGTATATTGGGGTACTGTTGGAGTTCATCGAGCTTGTAATTGTGAGCGCAGAGTTTAACCAGCTATAACTGCATCACTTGCTATTGAAAGCATTGTCTGGCAAGCTTCCACTGCTTGTCCTCCTTGGACCACCCTATGCATTAAAGCTTTGCTTGCACTTTTAACAGGAACCGAGTGGAAAGAATCCCTGCTCCCATTTTTAGAGTAATGGAGCACTTGGAAAATAATCTGAGAGCACCTGACTTTGGGTCAGTACTCAACCAAGCACAGAACTGGAAGACAAAATACTGGGACATTCTACTCCCAGTGTCTTGTGATGATAATATATGTAATTGTACATCTGCAGGTAGCATTTTTGGAGAATTAAATTTCAGCTCCACGTACAAGAATCATCAGGTGTAGGTGGTACATTTATATATAACATCTTTCCTTCTGACTTTCCAGACAGCAAATTAAAAAAAAACAGGAACAGCTACAATTAGAAGGAGATCTGCGGAAAAGCCAACGGGCCTGTGAACAACTGGACACACAAAAGGTAACCAGATGCGTAGATAGAAATCAACTGAGTATGCAGAAGATAAATGAACTGCAAAATGATTCCCATTCTTGATGAACATAGAACTACCCAGAACTACTTCAGAATGCTCTCTCTCAGATGCCATAAGGATAAAAAGTGCAGTAAAACTCACATAAGTCTTATGCTTTTAAATCAAATAATAACCTAAATTGTGCCTGCACCCAAGTACCATTCAGTTTCCTATCAAAAAGACTAGGTATATTTGCACCAGTCTTAATAATCATCTCCTAAATCGTAATGCCTCTCCCCTAGTCTCCATTACTCCCGTACTTACCAACTGCATTGAATTGCGGGAAATGACGTCCTGACCTGTCGAAGCATGTGCACTTGCTGGCCGGCTACATTGAATCACGGGAAACGTAGTTCTGATCCTTCGATGCATGCGCTGAAGAGCTTCATTTGCTGCAATTTCCAATGCTCGCCCTTAAGTGCGCATGTGGCAACGGGTCAAGATGTATTGAATCGTGGGAAACGTAGTCTTGGGCTGTCACCACATAAGCACTTACTGGCTGCAATGACGAACCACAGCTATGCACGTACCGGCTGCATTAAATTACACATGCTCAGTGTAGATTGTTGATCAAATCGGATTGAATACGACTTATACAAATTTGTCTGCAACTCGGACTTTGCGTAAGTCATATTAAATGTTATTGTCCCATTTGATACGCCTTGCGAGTTTTACTATAATATTGGTATTGGTTTTCGGAAAGTTCCTTTTGAACTGGCAATGAATTTATTTTCTGGGCAGCATAGGGAAAGTTCCAAATTGCCTTTTATTCTACAATTTTACCTGACTTTTGAGTGTTCCAATACAGTTTTTGAGTCCGATGTTTCAGTATATTCAAATTGTACTTCTATTGAAAGTTATTTTAAAAAATACAAAATCTTAAATTATTCGTGTGCACAGGGTATCGATGCTCCAGAGCTGGCGTGGTATTGGCTGGCTGCATCCACTGAAGATGATGATGAAGAAGAGGAAAACGACCTGACGGAAAAAGAGGACGAAACATTGAGTGTATGATACAATGCAATTTACATTTTAATATTGTCTTTTGGGTCAGGAGGAAGCCTCAAAGCACTTTGCGCAGCTAACTGGGCGCTCTAGCTGGAGATGGGTGGTGGGAGGGCATGACCCTCGATAAACATGATCGATTAAGTGTAGAGGCAGGCTTTGAACGTAGGGAGGAAAGGGGCAAGTCACAAGGACTTTTACATTCATCATGTTTCAAGTTTGTAAATTGAACACCAGTAACCTGTGTGTAATATTAATTTGCTCGAAATTCGCAATTTAATCAGACGTGGATTGCAGTACAAGGAAATGTGGGCTTTAAGTATCTTTGTGTGGCTTAGTTCAGATCCAAACCTGAGTGTTATGATGACTCAAGACAGTGAACTGAATTTGAACATCTGAATCAGTGGGGATGGACAGGTGACATAAAACTGGCTTGAATTTTGCAAAGATTGACGATCTGCCTCATAGAGGGCACAGAATACCTGGTGTGGGAAACATAAACAGTCAAACCATGCAGTAAAGCGTGATCTGGTGAGATCAAGAGGTAACTGGTTAGAGTAGAGCAGGGGAAGGTTTACGTCCTACCATCCAGTCTGACCTTTAAGTACAGCATTTACCTTTTAATATCACAAAACAGCAGTTTAGAGTTAACTGTTCTCATTATAAAGCAGGGTCTCTTCACACAGGTCTAAGCAATTAGAAAATATAAAAATGATACTGCTGTGATTGAATAACATAGGCTGTGATATTACTATAGAGAGTGTTATCCATATCAATTGGGTCTGGCCCCATTGTAGATGTGGAAACGGCTTTGGAAGGTTTCTGGGAACCTCGTGTGCATTCGGCAACTAGGGTATGGCAGATCCCAATGCAGATTAACTGACATTGAATAGTCTGGGTGGAGATGCAGAGCGTTCTACTGAATTGCTGTTTCAAAGCTTTGTTACATTATTAGGGGACAGAGTGCTGAATCTTGTTTGTGTTACGTGTGATTAATCATCTTATTCAGAATGTTAATGTGGATAGAGTCTAGCGTAGGGCAGTCTGTACCTGCTCTGTGACAGGTATCCTGATGAACTAAATATCCATGTCTCATTCCAAACTTTTATCAACATGACATACTTGATGCATTTCTGACACCAGGTTTGCTTAGTTGGATCAACAAGGGAAAGAAATTCTATATCCTCAGTGCTAATTTCTCAGGAAGCTCATTTGTAATGAAGATGTATTGTTGTATGAACTTGTATTGTTGACACCACAAGGACATGTTCTACTTGATTTCAGACTGAGGACAAGCTTCAAATTCTAACCAAGTATTTAAGAAGGAAACATCTCTACTGTATTTGGTGTGGAACGTCCTACCAAGGTAGAAATATACTGTCTAAACATCATTACAAAAATCATAAGGCATTCAACCTCATTATAACAGTGTTTGGGATTCAGAAAATCCCAACTCATGTCAGAAAGTTCTGTTTCAAGCCCCCAAGTTCGAGAGTTTGAACTCCCAGTCCAAGCTGACGCTCCAATGCAGTGTTGGGGTGCATTGTCAGAGGTGCCATCCTTCAGATATGACTTTAAACTGAGGTCCTGTCTACCTGTTCAGGTAAACGTTAAAGATCCCTTGACACTTCAAAAAAGAAGGGAGTTTCTCCCACAGTCCCAGCCAACATTCCCCCAGATAAAATTAGTCATTCACTTTATGGCTATTTTGGGGACATTGCTATATGCAAATTGTCTGCTGTCTTTGCCTACAAATACATACGATAAATCCTTTTAAGTGCTTCGGGATGTTTCGAGGATATGATAATGCAATGATTATCTTGTTTATTTTAAAACTGAAATAAAAAGAGTGACAATCCTGCCTGCTCCTAGTCCAAATAAATATTCTTTTTATTGTGGGTCAATTGTGAACAGAACGGAGGTGTTCAGGAAAGAGATCACCCAATCTACATTTGGTCTCCTTGATGCAGAGCAGACAACAGAGTGAGCAGCGAATACAGTATACTGGGTTAGCTTGGGGTTTGGGGCCCTGAACAGTGGTGGGGGAGGAGATGAATGAGTAAGTGTTGTATCTCCTGTGCTGGCATGGGAAGGTGCCAGGGGAAGGTGCTAGTGGTGATGGAAGAGTGGATCAGGGAGTCACGGAAGGAGGGGTCCCTGTGGAATGCGGGGAGGGAATGGAAAAATGTGTTTGCCAATGGGATCACAATGGAGGTGTTGGATGATGTATTGAATGTGGAGGCTGGTGGAGTGGAAGGTGAGGACTAGGGGGACTTTATCATGGTTCTGGGAGTGGGGGATGATTGGGTGAGGGCAGAGGTGCAGGAAATAGGATGGACACGGTTGAGGGTTCTGTCAACCTCAGTGGAGGGGAATCCTCAGCTGAGGAAAAAGGAGGACATTTCAGAAGCTCTGATGTGGAATGTGGCATCGTCAGAGCAGGTGCGGAGGAGGCAGAGAAACTGGGAGAAGGGAATGAAATCTTTACAGGAAGCGGGGTGGGAAGAGGGGTATTCAAGGTTTGTAGTAAATATCAGTGGATTGTCTCTGCCCCGAGATGGAGATAGAGAAGTCGAGAAAGGGAAGAGTCGGAGATAGACGATGTGAAGGGAAGGGAGGGGTGGAAGTTGGAAACAAAATTGATGAAATTTTCCAGCTCGAGGCGAGAGCAGGAAGCCGCACTAACAGTCGTCAATATAGTGGAAGAAAAGGTCAGGGAGTAGTTTTGACGAAAGGTCATTGACCTGAAACGTTAAACTAATTTTTCTCTCTCCATAAATGCTGCCTGACCTGCTGCATGTTCCCAGCGACTTCTATGTTTGTACCAAATGTCCAGCATCTGCAGTAGTTTGCCTTTTTTAATATTATTTCTACTGTGTTACAGATAATGAAGACCTATCTGACAACTGCCCTGGAGAATGTGCTGCAGACCACGACTAACTGACAAGACAGAGTGGCCACTGTATTTATGTCTATGGAGATGTTGCAAACCAGCTGTTGAAGGCTGCTTGAAGTAAAACTGCAGAATATTAAGATAAAATTGCAAAGGAAAGTTCTCAAATCACAACAATGTTATTTGTGGGGCAGAAATTATTTTGTGCAATATGAAAACACAAAATCTAAAACCTGCCTGACTTGAGGTGCATTCTGATTCTTTCTGTAAAATAATCTTACCATCCTCCTACTTTTCTGTTTCTTTGAATCTTTTGTGGTTTAACAAGTGTCTTTTTTCTTTTGAGTGGTGCACTCAGGGGATCCAGCTTAGTATGCATGATCTGTAGTCAAAAAATACTTCAGCTAGATCCCAGTACAGTTTGGACAGCAGAGATGAAATGGCACTGAAATAAAGGTAATCAAGAATATGTAGGAAAACTAGAAAGCATATTAAATTAAATACCATTTTCATACTGTCAGGCAAGTGTAATTGTAAAGTATATAAATTAGAGAATGCTTTGTGATATTTTTAAATCTGCAATGCTGTTTCAAGTTCTTCATTCTTATTTTTTTTACTACATTCAAGTTTTGCATATTTAACTGCTACAAATAAATATATAATTTAAAAAGTGTCTTTGTTACGGACTATGAGATTGTTAAGCAACACCACATTAATGGAATACAATAAAATCAGCCTTGCTGCCAGGTTTACATTCTTATTTTCAGTCATTAATTTTTTTTGTCAAACCGTTTTTTTAAGAAGAAAAATGACCTATTTGAGTTTGTGTTCTAATGATTGTGCTTGGTTGCTGGACTTGCAAACAAAAAGGTTAGAGATACAAAGCACAGCGCTTCACTTCAAAAGATTTTATATAAATGTCTTATTGATGTACATGAAAGTTGTTATTGAAAGGATTTGCTGTATCATTGATTAATTGAAAAATAATAAACAATAATCCTTACATTTGGTATAGCACCTGTCAAGTCAGGACATCCCAAAGCACTTCACAGGTTATTCTATAATGAGTGTTTATTTCGAGTGGAAAACTATGGCATCCAGACTTCATATAGCAATTAATAATCCTTGCATTTGATATAGCATCTTGGCACAGAATACACTGTAAAGTGAATTGACCATATTTTGTGGGTGAAAAGCTTTTCACTTTTTGGATTGTCCCATGGGATCTTTAGCGTCCATCTGAATATGCAGAAGGGACAGCAACAACAAAATTACATTTATAGAGTTCCTTTCACGTCAGGAGAACATCCCAAAGCACTGAACAGTCAGGTGTCGGGGCCTGAGCATGGCGGAGGGGTGGTGAAGGGGTGAGGGAAAGCAGAGAGGTGGGATGGCGACCAAAGGCACGGTCAAAGAGAAGGGTCTTGAGACCGGCCTTGAAGGATGCAAGGGAGGATGTGAGGTGGAGGGACCGTGGGATGGAGTTCCAGAGTGTGGGGGTAGAGAGGCTGAAAGCCCAGCCACCGATGGTCGGGCGGGAGACATGGAGCAGGCCGGAGCCCGCTGAACGGAGGGAGCGGGCAGGTTGGTAGGGAATCTGCCGGTCAGAGAGGTAGGAGGGGGCAAGGCCATGGATGGCCTTAAAGATGAGGATGAGGATCTTATACTCGATCCTCTGAGGAATGGGGAGTCAGTGGGACTTCATTTTAACGTCTCATCCAAAGGATGGCACCTCCGACAATGCAGCACACCCTCGGCACTGCACTGGTGTTATCATAAACCAGGATGGTCCAACCTTTTGGCTGTTGAGGGATGGATGCTAGATTTAACCAATAATAATCCTTGCATTTGATATAGCGCCTTAACATGTCTTCGAGATTTGACAAACATCCGCAGGCCACATTAGCAATATTTTTTTAATGTCACTATATTTTAATTACAATGTAAACTTAAAATAAAGTCGGTCGATTATGAGTGGGGTGGGGGGTAGAGGGAGAAGAGAAAGAGTTCATTAGTATAAAGAGTAGGCACTGCCTTTCAGAAAAAAAAGGCCATTTCCAGGCACATAAACCTCAGCAGTTTGGTCCTGATATTCTTAAGGGTGGCGATGGGTTTCCCAGCCCAATGCCTGCACTGGGAGACATAATAATAATAATAATACGTGCATTTGATATAGCGCTTTTCACGTCGGGAGGACGTCCCAAAGCGCTTCACAGAACACACTGTAAAGTGAATTGACTGTATATTTGTGGGCGAACGCGGCAGCCAATTGCGCACAGCAATGTCCCACAAACAGTCGTGGATTGAAAATGACCAACTTATTATTGTTTTTGGTTTTGGAGGGATTATTATTAGGCTCTGTGTGGAGTAAGGAAACTTGCCCAAGGTTTCGCCCTCTGCCTGGAATTGAACACAGGTCTCTCGCTTGCAAAGCGAGTGCTCCAACCACTGAGCTACAGGACTCCATTATTCCTATGTGTAAGATGTTATGTAATGTTAAGAGGGCTGAGCATCCTGAGCAAGTGAGTGCCAGCCTTTGCCTCCCATCTTAATAGTGACGCCGCAGCTCTTTGCATACCTTCGACCCACACAGACAGTGAGGAGCAGCGCGTGTGTGTGCGTGTGTGTGTGCGTGGTGTGTCTATCTCTCTCCTCCCGCACAGACTTGACATTGATCCGCAAACCCAAGAAACGAAAGAGATGACGCTGAGCAGCGACACCCGGAGAAACGAAAGTGAAGCTAAACTGCAGCTGGGAGGAGGCTGCAGCCTCTGCTTATAAACTCAGCGAGTGAGTGTCTGTGCTGCACACAGCCCGGGGACCAGATACGGTGAGTTAGACTTATATTAAAGCTCCTGCTCTGCTCTCCCAGAGGTAGATTTGTGCCCCAAGACTCGGGCTCAGCAGAGCTCCTGGTGTTACCCCCGAGCTCTGGCCTGTGCTCAGTCACTAGCACTGTACCTGGACTTGACTTATGTGTGATTCGTGTATGATTTGTTCAGTTGAGGGTTTTTATCCATTTGTTGGGGTGGGGGGGGGGTGGGGGGGGGGAGAGGGTGAATAAAACAGTCCACAAAGGTACATTGCATCAAAGTGTCCTCAATGGGCCAGAATAAGCTGCTTTCATTTCTTGCAAAGTTTATGCTACTTTAGTAATGGAAATACTGCACTATATCTGTATTTAGTCAGCCAGGCGTCTCACATCTGTGGAAACCCATCGCAGTGTTTAAAAGCATCCAAACCAGACTGAGAGTTTCACCTATGAACAGTACTTTCACACTATGGGAATTTCTCTGGGTCTAGGATGAAGTCACATTCTCTCCCAAGAGGGACGCACCCTGCTTACCTAATTCTAGGGAGTATCAAATGTAGATTGGCAAGAGTCAAGGTTTGGAGACTCCACAGAGTGTCTACTCTGGAGTTTCACGAGCTAAAACTAGTTGCTTGAAATTGAGACTGATGTGACTCCTGCTGCTTGTCCAGCTAAGACCACCCTACCTGTTAGGGCTTTGACTTGTAGGGTTAACAGGATCTGGGTGAATACAATCCCTGCCCCCAGTGACTGGTCTGGCCTTTGACGGAGGCTCTGTTTACCTTCTTTGTCACTCTCTTCCCTCCTGTCCCGGAGGATAGTCGCTAGATGGTCATTTAACATCTGACAAGTGCAGGTTCGAGCCCTCACTAGGTGGATGGCAATGTCCTTTGAACTCCCTACAGATTCCTGGAAAGCAGCACAGCTCAGTATGAAGTGTGTGAGAGCTTTGCCACCATTGTCCTGCTCACAGCTCGGACTCACATCCTTACCCATTGAGCAATGGTTCTACCTTTTGGTGGTGTGGTGTTTGAGTTCCAGCTGCTTGCCAATCACAGCAGATTCCAAGCCCTAGACATGAGCATATATTCACAAACCCGGACTTAAGGGAATGCCTTCCAGTAGCTATTGCTACTTGAACTTCCTCATCGGCTGTTTGATGGATAAGTGCCTAGTAGGAGGACCTTTATAGGACAGCTTGTCACGTGCCAGCCACCAAGATGTGCTACAACAACAACAACTTGGATTTGTATAGCGCCCTCCATGCTGGACGGTGTCTCAGAGCGTTTCACAGTAATGGATCCCGGGTCCGAGCCAGGGGGAGGGGGAGGAAGGTGACCAAAGGCGCAGTCGAAAAGAAAGGTCTTCAGCAGAAACCTGAAAATAGGAAGAGAGGGGGTGAGGCGAAGGGAGTGAGGGAGTTCCAGAGCCTCAGGGCATAGTGGCTGAAGGCATGGCCGCTGAGGGTGGAGCGGAGGACTCGGGGGACGAGGAGGAGGCCAGACCCGGAGGAACGAAGGCAACTGGGTACTGTTTTGAGGAGAGAGGAGGTCAGAGAGGTAGGGGAGTGCAGAGGAGTGCAGGGACTTGAATACAAGGGTGAGGATCTTGAAATCGATCCTCTCTGGGACAGGCAGCCAGTGCAGTCTGGCAAGGACTGGGGTGATCGGGGAGCGGAGTTTCGTGCGGGTGAGAATGCGGGCGGCAGAGTTTTGAATGATTTGGATTTTATGGATGGTAGTGGATGGCAGACCGGCGAGGATGGACGCTAGAGTAGTCCAACCGAGAGGTGGTGCAAGTGGTGCAAGTCCAATGTGTGAATCCAGGCTGACTGAGGGGCTTTGGTAAATATGTTTGCTGTGAAGGTGGCTCTTCCGCCAGGATGGTAATTTACTGAAATATTATGAATAGGTTATACTCATAGGTACTTATTAATGTAACAATATGTGGCTGCTATTTTTGCTACTGATAGTTCATCATTTTCCACAGATGTGCTTTGTCCATTTTGACTTGAGATTCCTCTTACTTTTGCAGTTGATACAAGGAAATGGCAGTTTCATTAGCACCAAACTCTGATATCCCTTGTAAATACACAGAAGCACTTAACGCATATGCAGCTGAAGTTGCACTGAATTTGGAATGGGGGAACTTTTCTCAAAGTGGACCATCTCATGACCCTACGTAAGTAGACCCTGGTATTCTGTGAGTGACCGTTTTAGCAACCAATGTCCAGGTATGAATAATTTTCTCTTCTATGAGGTCTGGATAGTTTGTTCTAAAATCTCAATCATTTTTGTTGCCTTTCTGTAAAAGCTCTTCAATTTATCTATGCTCTTTTTACTTGGGATGGTCAAAATGCAATTGTTTATTTGGTTTATGGTGCCATGTTGCTATTGTTGTTGTAATTATTATTCTAGTGCATGATCCATAATGTTGACAATTGCTTCACATTCATTGGCTAGTGTGCAAAGTGAGGTAGATGTGTAATAATCCACTTTGTGTGTGTTTGTGTGCGTGCGTATGATCAATAATAATATAATAATAATCCTTGCATTTGAAATAGCGCCTTATCAATGAGATTTAGGAGGTACAAGAGCCAAAGCCCTAATGGATAAGGTGATAGACAAGTACCATGAAATATACCAGTCCATCATGCTAGTAAGGTATTATTGTCATTCTTTATCAAAATGGCAAACTCAAACTGATGGCTTTCCACATTAATCCACAATCTTCATTCTTCTTGTTTTCTTTTCACTGATTGTTTTCTAACTTTAATCAAACTTCTCTCTTGTAAGTTTTGTGTTCATTTATTCCATATTTCTGAACCTGCTTTTTTCTCACTATTCTACATTTTCTCTGCCATGCTCTTTACGTCAATTCTCTTGCTTTTTATATAAATATATATATAAAATGAATGTGTTTATATTTTTTCTTCCTTTTCTGAAGTTTGCTTATTTCTCTGGCTGTTGCTAATTTTGCCTTGCTTTATGATTCCTGTAGCTCAGTGGTTAGAGCACTCGCCTTGCAAGAAAGACACCTGGGTTCAATTCCAGGCAGGGCGAAACCTTGGGCAAACCTTGGACATCTAATTTTGGCCAGCGCACTGCTTCTCCTCCCATTGCCTCTGAAGTTCATACCTTGTTTGCTGTCATTATAATAATAATAATAATTTGGTCACTCAATCCATGATTGTTTGTTGGACACTGCTGTGCGCAATTGGTTGCTGTGTTTCGCCAACTAAATATACAGTCAATTCATTTTACGATATATTCTGTGAAGCGCTTTGAGACGTCTTGTAGACATGATAAGGCGCTATATCAAATGCAAAGGTTATTATTAATTTAACAGAATGAAATCTGAAAGGAAAATAAAAGACAAGATCTACAGTTAAACCCACAAGTATAAAAATTGGAAAAAGAATGGAAAGTTCTAGGAAGACTAAGAGTAGGGAAATAACGTACAAGACCAAAGAATTGAAGCATTTGGAGAAGGTAAAACAAATAACCTGAAATAAAAAATTATACAAAATACTTTTTACATTAAAAGAACAGTGTTTTTTCAGTGCAGGAACACAAATCTATTTTTCCTTGTAGGATCTTGGCTGCACCTTGATTCTACAGTGCTCTGAGTTTCATAACTGATATTCTGTGAATGTAATTACATTGCCCTTTGATTCTGTGAATTCAGATAATTTATGGATAAGAAGAGGAGGGGTACTAGCACAGATTCCTAAATTCCCTCCATTCAATACCTACTCCCCAGTTCACCCAAGCTCCTCTTTGATAACCATTCTCTGCCTCATTTCCTTTAACCAGTGTCATTCCATGCTTGTTTTACCTTTCATACCCACTGAAGTCGCTTTGTAAAGGAGTCTCTCATGTGCTACTTTATTGAAGGCTTTTGGAAATCTATATACCCTGCATTATGTGGCTTCCCACTGTCAAACTGGCATGTCACATCCTATTAGAAATTGAGAATTAATAGGAACCTGATCAAGTTGAGAATTAATAGGAACCTGATCAAGTTGAACTATATTTAGATTTCAAAACAGCAAACTATAACCCAAACTTCAGTTGTTATCCCTGAATGCATCTGTGTCAGTTTTTCACAGTATCTTTGCGTATGGCTTAGCTGTGAAAGTTTGGGAGTATTGAAACCACTAAGAAAACCTAAATTAGGAGAGACACTTTCATCCCATAAATCAGGGGCAGGTGAAAGGCCGGTGTAATAATGCAAAACATTATCTCGTTTCTTGAAGATCAGTGATTTGGTTAGTTCTGAAGCTGGTATCTTATAACCTATGTTGTAATGGGTTCCAGCTACCATCTATTGCGTCTTGCAAGTTGGCCATTTATTGCATGTGAGACAAGGTGGTATTGGGGAGCTTGATCCTCTCCTGTTGTCCACTTTTGAGCAGCATCAGTAGACACTGATTGTAAGCAGGAACCTGTCTGTTAGATTTTCGCTCTCAACTTACTCAGGAGATGCTGAGGTCAATTGTTCTGCTCACATTACAGCCCAGGCTCAGGTCAGCTAGCTCAGCAGAAGTCGTAGATTGAATTTAAGATTTTTCTAGTCTACGTCTTCTTACCAACAAAGATTCCATTCCCTCACTGTGAGATTCCATTCCCTACAGCTGTGTTACGTACTGTTTTAAAGTTAGCGACTAGCACTCAAGGTTAAGAATCTTATCATTTTCTCTAGAATAATCCATGTTGCATAAGTCATACTACATGCAATACAAAATGTATACATGCTTCTAACCTTTGTACATTCTGCTTTACTTTAGGTTTTTCATAAAAGTGAATGCTGGGAATGACATATCTGCTGAAGGCCAAGGCAAAAACAAGAAGGAAGCAAAGAACAGTGCAGCTAAGATACTGCTCGAGATATTAAAACAAAAATATCCAATTGATAGTTATGTGAGTAGCGTTTGTGTGGCACTACATTTCAATGATATTTTATAATAATTACAATCTAATTTCTGTTAAAACCTGGAGGTCCACAAAAAGAGATCCTGCAAGAGATTGATACAGTTGACCACTATCCACCTCCACCGCCTCTCCTCTCACCTTCATGGTTCTATCCTTGAATGGTTCAGATCTTTCCTCTCACTTCACCGTCTCCACTTCATCTCGGCTTCTGCTCTAGCCCTCGCACCGTCTCGTTTGGCATTCCTCAGGGCTCTGTGCTTGGTCCCCTCCCCTTCAATATCTATGTGCTCCCTCTTGGCGACATCATCCACAGACATGGGGTCATCTTTCACAATTATGCGGATGACATCCAACTGTACCTCTCTGCCTCCACCCTTGACTCCAGGACCACTGCTGTCCTCACAGAATGTCTGTCAGACATCAAGTCCTGGATGAGAGCTAACTTTCTACAGTTGAACATCAACAACAACAAGATTCCATTTATAAAGTGCCTTTCACGTCAGGAGGACGTCCCAAGGTGCTGCACAGTTGGGACCGAGGCCCAACAAGACAGCTGCACAGTTGGGACCGAGGCTTGGAACAAGACCGAGGCTCTACTGATTGGCTCCTGTCAGTGCCTCCTCACCTCAGGCGCTGACAGTATCACCATCCAAGGATGGTGCAGAGGGTATCATAGCTGAGCCTGACCTCTACTCACCTGGCTCTGACATGCACAAATACAGGGTACTGGCTGTTTTTNCCTCTGTAACCCTGGAAAAGATGCGTCTAATTTAGCCCTGGCTGAGACCAGCAAACTCAGCACGGACTAGGATTCGAACCAGTGAGCTCTCAGTTTGTAAGCTGCATCTCTATCCAATAAACCATCAAATCTGCCATTCATAGAATTATCAGTAAAATCTTAAAACAAGTAATCCTGAACCATTTCAACTAAAATTAGCTGGGCAAAAGGATTTCCTTATGATTCTGCAAAGTTTTGCCATTGGAGATTGTGGCCAAAGGGATGCAGTAAGCCAATGCTTTCTCAACTGCTTCACCAGGACATGGCCTGGTTTGTGGCTTTGCATGAGATTAGCATAGTGATGAGTTTTCACATGTTTCAGATACCTGGCTGACCAAAACAATGGATGTAGATACAGATGTGATCCTTTCTAATTTGTTTTTACTGCAGGCTCGTGACAATGTGTCTCGCACACCATCGCCAGCCAGCACGATAAATTACATCAGCATGCTCAATGAGTACTCGCAAAGGATGAGGACACCAATTCAAGTCAGCTGTCGACAGTTGGCGACCGGAATGGATCACAAGCCAAAGTAAGCATTTTTAAAAAATAAATAAGACCAGATTGCTCTGGTTTTATTTCCTCTCTCTCCCCTCATACTGCCGAACACTCTGTCAAGTGGTCTTACAGTATCTTTTCTCCCTGCTCTGTGCAACTCAGTTGAGGATAAATGGAAATCCCTAAAGAACATTATGCAGGACGAGTATATACTCAGTCCAGTAGGGGCAAAATAAATAAAAACACTGCACAGAAAGAAGTTAAAAATAGATTAGGGAACCCAAGGGAGAACTGGAAAGGGAAATAGCAGCAAATGCAAAATCTAACGTACCCATAGTTTTTTCAATATTACAATATAAGAGGGTAGTAAGGCAAGATGTTACAACAACAACTTACATTTAAAGGATGCCCTTCACGCATAATAGTGTCCCAGAGCTCTGACTGTGGCGGAGTCTGACCCCGAGCCAGGGGAGAGAGAGGGCGGAGGTGACCGTAAACATAATCAAAAAGGGGTAAGCAAATCGGATAGGTAGGGAGGTGCGAAGGCATTAAGGGATTTGAAAACAAGTGAGAGGATCTTGAAGTCGATCCATTTGGTAATTGGGAGCCAGTGCAGCCTGGCAAAGACTGGTGTGATGCAGGTCCGGAGTTTTGTGCTGGTTAGTATCCGGGTGGCAGAATTCTGAATTGAATTTTGTTGAAAAGTCCAGCTGCGAAGTGACAAAGGTGTGGACGAGGGTTTGGTGGGGGTGTGAGAAACCCTTAAGGATTCAAATGTGCACACTTCATATCTATGTGATGATCAACAATGTACCTGTTGTCCCATGACAGATTTGGTTGTACATACTCAGTCAATGGCAAAAAATATCCCGAATGTTTTGGTAAAAATAAAAATGAGGCCAAACGAGAAGCAGCAAGACAAATGTATGAAGAAATCTATGAAATTCATTCGCCTCAATCGCCTCCACAGGTAGGAGAGCAGATAAGTGTAAATACTTGATTAAGGTGCCCAATTACAAAATCGAATACTGTACTGTGCAGATTGGGAAGAAATGCCTAAAACTTAATGGACCAAAGTTTTGAATTTCAGTTATAATTCTACTGCCAATTTTGTACTGTTTATTTTCTACCCCGAGCTTGTAATTGCATTGTTTTGTATAAAATTGGCTCCTGGTTCTACTTTATTGTCTCAAATAACTGTTGAGCTGCACAAAACATCCTAGTCTAGGTGTCGCTTTTGGGTGGGAACTGGCGTGATCGGTCTCTAGACAATTAATGTACATTCCACAAGTGATGCAAATCAAACTGGCAGAAGAAAATGTGAAATCTTGTTTTCATTTCTTGTTGAAACCTTATAACTTTTGATTTTTGTTTTGTAAACTTCTCTTGAAGAAGATCTGTTTCTTAATGTAAGGCAATAAAAAAAGGCACAGATTTTTTGGTGTCTCCAACACACCACTTATTTAAATGTATTTCTTCATTAGATGTTACATTAAAGTGGATGCAAGGGGTGGCTTTTTAAACATCTAGAAAAAACATTCAGTGAAGTCACTTGAACCTGGCGAACTACTTTGGCTGTGTAATAGGCTTTCTTGGTATTTGATACCTATTACCTATTGTAGTTCACATGATTGGATTCCTGCTGGTGCTGTTTTCCAGTTAGCATGGCACAAAATCAACTGCCCGGCCAGTCAGAGATGGCTACTGCTTTGAAGCAAATGGAGCCCAACAAGTATAACAGCCCCTCACTGACTGAGGCGATGAGTGGATCCAAACTTTAATGCCTCCACATTTCTGAAAATATAATACATATTTTGATAGAGGCAATAAATATAACTCTTATTTCCTGAAAGAGTTGGGGTGGGGGGGTGCTTTGAGCAGAAGATACAGCACTCGCTCTTGACTTTCCTCTTTAATCAGTAGCTCTCTTTATGCCACAATGTAATTCTATATAAAATGAGTACTGTTTGGGCTGCAACATGAGCAGAGTAGAGGGGGAGGTCTTTCAGTCTTTAAGCCTGCCCTGCCATTTTATTTGCATCATCCTGAGTTCGCTTTTTTTTAACAAAAGCCCTCCCTGTTCATGCTGCACAGCACCCGATGTTGAGAATGTTGTGGCTTCCCATTCGGCTGCAGGTAAAGCTTTGAGAAACCCATTTTAAAGGGAACCAACATTTTGTGGCATAGATTAAGAAGAAGCCAGATGGCTCAGCCCAGCAGTTAGGAACACAAATGCCTACACTTAAGAGCGAAGTAGGGTTCCATTTGATGTAAGAAGGGAACAGATGTAGATTTCGTTTAGAGACTTTGAGTAGAGTCTGGATTGAACAAAGTGCTATAACACCATGAATAAATTTTCAACTCTTATCCACTGTGCCCTAGATTTCCTTCTGGGTTCATTTGTGATCATTCTTCTTCGGTGTCACCAAACTCATCTTTTGGCTCTAATGCCTTTAACTTTGCAGTTTTATTAGTGTTGCTTGCGTTCCTAGTTCTTCTTGAGAAAAAGGTTGACAATGGAAATTAAGTAAAATACTGGGAAGCAGTTCTTCCTTTAATTTTACAGTAATACAGAAGGAAGGAATGATCTAATTGCAGCTAGTTTCCCAACCCTTAAAAACATGTTTTTATATAAAGGCTGCTAGATTCTAATGTCTTCTGTATTTTCTCCCCTTATTGATAAGAACCTGGTAAAAGCTTTACCTGATTTAACGAGGAAACAGGAGCTGCAGCACGCTCCAGAAGGAGCTGCTAACTTGGTTTCGGAACCTGCCACAAGGTACGCTCGCATCTTCATGCTGTCACATTTATGCGGTCCCGGAACTCTTATCTCTTTTTTATGTGTGAATTACACGCTCCTTTCAAGTCCACTCTGAAAGGAACGATCCTACACTTCTCATTTTTTATAGGATCCGAGCCCAGTCAGAGAGATCTCACAAACTAGCCACAACACTACCTCAATCCAATACTACCCCACAGTGACAATCCAATACTACCCCACAGTGATAATCCAATACTACCCCACAGCACCAATCCAATACTACCCCACAGCGCCAATCCAATACTACCCCACAGCGCCAATCCAATACTACCCCACAGTGCCAATACAATACTACCCCACAGCGCCAATCCAATACTACCCCACCGTTCCAATCCAATACTACCTCACAACACTAATCCAATACTACCCCACAGCGCCAATCCAATACTACCCCACAGCGCCAATCCAATACTACCCCACAGTTCCAATCCAATACTACCCCACAGTGCCAATACAATACTACCCCACAGCGCCAATCCAATACTACCCCACTGTTCCAATCCAATACTACCTCACAACACTAATCCAATACTACCCCACAGCGCCAATCCAATACTACCCCACAGCGCCAATCCAATACTACCCCACAGTTCCAATCCAATACTACCCCACAGTGCCAATCCAATACTATCCCACAGCGCCAATCCAATACTACCCCACCGTTCCAATCCAATACTACCTCACAACACTAATCCAATACTACCCCACAGCGCCAATCCAATACTACCCCACAGCGCCAATCCAATACTACCCCACAGTTCCAATCCAATACTACCCCACAGTGCCAATCCAATACTATCCCACAGTGATGATCCAATACTACCCCACAGTGATGATCCAATACTACCCCATAGCGCTAATCCAATACTATCCCACAGTGACAATCCAATACTACCCCACAGTGCCAATCCAATACTACCCCACAGTGATGATCCAATACTATCCCACAGTTACAATCCAATGGAAATGTTTCTTTCATCCATAAAGCTTAATTTCACATCTCAGTTACCCGCACAATCTCAGATTTCCACTGATGCTTGATGCATGACATTCTTTCATTACACTTTTGGTTCCTTTCAAAACTGTTTAAACCTCAAGTCTACTTTTGTGCATAGATAATGATCCTCACCTACCAATTATTTTGCGTCTGAGAAGAGTGGTCTGCCTCGAAACCCAGTGTTGCTTGATTCTAATGCTTTTACACTGGGAGAGATATTCCCATTACAAACTAAATATCTATATTGAGGTATTTATTACACTGGTTGTGCAAAGACCTTCTTGTTCCTTGCCTCAATTGTGAGTTGTATTTTGTTGTCATTCTTATAAACGTCAATTTCTTAGAAATAGAGAAATTAGCTTTTGTCAATTGGTTACAGTGAGAGAGCAGAGAAGATTGATTCTCAACCCTGAAAAGTAATAATAATAATAATAATCCTTGCATTTGATATAGCGCTTTTCACGTCAGGAGGACGTCCCAAAGTGCTTCACAGAACACACTGTAAAGTGAATTGACTGTATATTTGTGGGCGAACGCAGCAGCCAATTGCGCACAGCAATGTCCCGCAAACAGTCGTAGATTGAAAATGACCAACTTTATTATTGTTTTTGGTTTTTGGAGGGATTATTATTAGGTGTGTGGAGTAAGGAAACTTGCCCAAGGTTTCGCCCTGCCTGGAATTGAACTCAGGTCTCTCGCTTGCAAAGCAAGTGCTCTAACCACTGAGCTACAGGACTCCACACTAACCCTAACTAGGAGCATCTGCATTAATTTGGGACTAATTTCATTAATTTTAGCAATGTGTGAAATGCTCTGATTTCCAGTGATTTTCCCTCCCCCCCCGATGAGCAACAAGTTGATTGCATTTAAAAAAAACTCCCATTAACATTTCGTAAGTAACTACATATCTGAAATAACTAGCATCTAAATATTGGAGTATAATTTAAAAGATTGGTAAAAGGAGTTGTTGATAGCTAATCTTGCAGATACCTGGGTGGGTCTCAGGCTGACTGTCTGGATCTCCCCTTGGATTCTAAACTCCTGTTTGGAGCTTCCTTTTGCTCCAATTTGGCTTAATGGAAACCAAAACCTGGGATTGGCCTTTGATGCATCCAGGTACCTGCAGGATTTGCTGTCTGCTATATTGTCGTTGCTCTGAGATATTACCCCATGTGAAGGGCATTATGTAAATGCAAGACGTACCAGTGTGTAATGCAGGTGTTTTCTTGTATGGTCAGCTCAACAGATCATGAAAAGCAAGTGGACGGGAATGAAGAAAGTGCAGCAACAATGAGTAAGGAACAAAAGTCAACAGAAAACACAGATAGGTTCACAACGGTATGGTAGATTTTCAAAAAATTTGAATGTGATGTATTTTCTGAGGCTAAATTTGTGCTGTACCTCCCTGAAGCCAAGGTTGAGATCAATTCTACAGGGTCACAAATTGATCAGTAAACAGACTCTGACTTATCCTTGATTTGATCAATTGTGAGAATAAAATCAAAACAATGTTCCCCTATTTAAAAAATATTAATTGTATAAAATTAAAATATTGTTTTCACTTTTTCAGTATATTTTCCCCTTGTCCTCCTTCCACCCCCACCCCAAAAAAAACTTTTAAAAAAAGAAAAATTTCCCTCTCTTGCTCAGCAAGTAAACTTGTCAATAAGTCAGTCACTTGCCCCCATATCACTAAAATAGTAAGGGTAGTTCTAGTTGACTTGTCCTACTTGATTCCATGGAGAGCCCCATTTTCGAATCTTACCCCTGTGATTTTTACACTGAAGTTGTGGAGAATTGGGGGAGAGTGAACCCCAACCCTGCTGCTTTGTGGTGCAACACCTTCTCTACACTGTCTCATGCATTTTACATTCTAGAAGAATGTCAGTAAAAAGGTCACCGAGCAAAGGGAACAGAGACAGTCCTGAGAATCCTAACTAATGTTGGTTCTAATCCTGTTTTCCCATGTTCCTACAATATTTGAACAGTTTTTTTTGTATGACACCTAGGAAAATCTTGTATAGCAAACATCAAAATAGTTACCAAAATCAATGTATTGTGTTGGGATTTAAAGTGATTGTGCTTGCAGTTAGTTGTCAGGACAATTCTTTGTCTCACATGGGTAAACAAATTAAGAGAGTCTGTGGGATAAATGCCACTTCAAGAGTTTTTTTGACAAGAAACTTGTTCCTTTCCTGCGTTGTTTGCGAGTTATTTTGCTCTTGGATTTGCTTGCAGGTTGAAGTATTTATGCTGCTCAGTTGTGAAAACATAGTGGATAGTATTGAGGTTTCACATTGGTTGTAACCAGCCAGGTGAGCCATAATCGAGGCCAATATTAATTATTGAACAGACTGCCTGGTGCATCATTGAGACTTGGAGGAGTAGATGTGCCTTCAACCTTGAGTCCCCTAATGGATAGGATGATTCTGGTTGGACATGTACCATGAAACGTACTAGTTTTCTTGCATATTCTGACAAACCACACATCTATTTCAAGAAAAAGTAGGTAGATATAAAAGTTTGTACCTCAGGATAGGATTTTAGGTTCTCATTGAGGAATCATTTGCAGTACAGGAAAATGAAGCTGTGTGTCTAACAAAGTGTCTTTGTTCCGTGACCCTATCCCCCCCATCCTCGCCCGACTCCACTGGCTTCCCTTCACACAGAGGATACAGTTCAAGATCCTGGTCCTCACCTTCAAAGCCCTGCATGGTCTTGCTCCCCTGTACCTCTGCAACTTCCTAACTCCCTACCATCCCGTTCGCTTCTTCCGCTCAGTGGGCTCTGGCCTGCTTGATGTCCCCCGCCTCGCTCGCCGCACTATTGGCGGACAGGCCTTCCACCACTCTGCACCCACCCTCTGGAACTCCATCCCGCAGTCCCTCCACCTCGCCCCCCTCTCTTGCCACCTTCAAGACCCATCTCAAGACCCTGCTCTTTGACCGTGCTTTCAAACTCGCTGCTTCCCCCCCCCGCCCTCCACCCTCCCCGATCCCGACCCCCAGCTCGGGTCCCAAAGCCTCTCTGTCCAGCACCTTGGGATGTCCTCCCGATGTGAAAGGCGCTTTACACATGTAATTTTGTTGTTGTTGCCATCTTAATGGCTTTCTCAATTCCTTACCTGTAATAAAGGACAGAACGCTTTTGTTTAGCATAAGGACTAAACTAGCTTAATTTTCCCTCTTCCTGAGGATAATCTGGCATAAGGAGGAGCTCAAAATGAACTTTGTGCTTTTTTTAAACTAAACTACAGGTGTCCTGTGATGAAAATAAAAGTCAAGGAATGACCTCGAGCTCCCAAAATTGTATTGGAGAGTTGAATCAATATTGCCAAAAGTTGAAATACAGTTATGATATTATAGAGGTTGGCAAGTCTGGTCCATCCCACAATCTAGTGTAAGTATGTCAAAAAACACATTATCACTTAATTCGCTTCATGGCTGTTTGTGGGACTTTGCTCTGCATAAATTGGCTACCGCGTTCACCTACAAAATACACAGTTGCTACACGATACAGTAGAAGCTTGTGAAACGTTTTGAGACGCCCTACTGATTTGACAGGTGCTTGTTCAAATGCAAGGATTATTATAATAAATGTGATTGTAAGAAATAGGAAATTACAGAGTTAGCAGTTGGAATTAGTTAGGAACAGCACTAGGGGGATAGGGAGAGGGCATGAGGAGGCTCAGGTGTTTAATAATACAGTAAAACTCACATAAGTCATATCAGTTGGGACCATAACATTTAATATGACTTGGATGAAGTCTGAATTGTAGGCAAACTTGTATTAGTCGTATAAAATCCGATTTAGTCAATAATCACCACTGGGCATGAGTAATTCAATGCAGCCGGTACGTGCGCATGAGGTTACGGGTCAAGACCATGTTTCCCGCAATTCATCTTTGTCATCTTTCCTAAAATTGGCTGCCCACAATTGGACAAAATTCTCCAACTGTGGTGTAGCCAATGGCTTCTCTTTGTTTTATAATCCATGTCTCTCTTTATCAACTTAGAATCCCTATCATTTAACCCCTAATTCTCTCAGCTTATTTCAGTTCTTTCTAAAGTTTTACCATTTAATGTATGTTTCCTCCACTTATTCTTCCTCTTCAAATCAATCGGCATTTCCCTTCAATCTTTTTCCAAAAATCTATTCCATGACCTCCTTCATTTGCTGATATTGCCCCTTTTTACTGTATTCCCACGCTATGTCTTTCATTCTGTACCTCTTCTGAGTTATTATCTGTTTCTGAGAAACATTTCTGATAATGATTCATTTCCTTAATTTAGATTGACTTGTAAAGTGGTGGTGAATGGCTGTGATTATCCAGAGGCCTCTGGGAAGAGCAAGCAGGAGGCCAAACAGAAAGCGGCAAAACTTGCTTTGGAAGCTCTTGAGGTACTTCTTCTAGACTATTTTTAATACCTGCTTGAACCTTGTGTCCAAGTCAGCTTGTTTTACAGGAACACAATAGCCAACTTGAAGTATGATTCAAGTTTACCTGCCTAATTTACCTGATACGACTTTACCTGCCTAATTTAATAGTTCAAATTAGCACAATAGATGAATATGGAAAATAAAGGATTGATTTTTTTACTATACCTATTCAGGATCATTCAAGAAGGTCAGTTTATATTAAGTTTATTACTACTAATAATACTTAATAATAATTCTCTATTCGATATAGCCTCTGACCAAGACACCTCAAAATGCTTCACAGGATACAGTGTAAAGTGGTGTGACTGTTTTGTGGGCAAAAGTTTGGGGCCTTTTTATATGGCAAAGTGCAAACGATTTACTGGGAAATTAACTCTGTCTACAATGTGTACAGATTTCCCTGTTATTGGAAGAAAGATCCCTTTCCTCATATCCCATCACACACAATCCACAAATGTAATTAATGTCTAATCATGTAGCATGGGTTTAGGAATTCCATAATTTCTTCAGTTGCTCTTAACACTCAGTGTAGCATATTTCACCTTTCAATGCACTCTATATTACCTTCCACTCTAGTCTAGCACTCTATAGAAGGCTCTCTATTACTCCTGAAGTCACCCAGTTCTCTTTTTGAAATTCAACTTTCATTTGAATAGCTTAGAAGAAGTTCTAGAAATCTAGAGATTTATATTAACTAAATATACACTTCTAAATAACATGGATCACAGGCTGTTAAATTGATTTATACAGTGCAATATTCGAGAAGAGAAAAGAGTTTCTTCCAGTTTCCTGGACAACAAATCCCCCAAATAAAATAGGTCATTCACTTCATGGCTGTTTGTGCGACATTGCTGTGTGCAAGTTGGCTGCTGCATTCATCCACAAAATACACAGTAAATCCACTTCACAGTATATCCTGCAGAGCACTTTAAGATGTCTCAACAATGTGATGAGGCATTATCAAATGCAAGGATTATTAATACTATTCTTACAATATGTGCAAGGTTCCAATAGGATAAATTCAGCGTGACGTGTTGCAATATCAAATTTATTTTCTGGTGTTCTTACTTACTTTATTTAAATAATTCTGATCCACAGAAGCAGGAAATGTCCGTTTCAACAAATGTATATTCCACATCAGGCCAGTACACATCAATCAACAGTTCAACAAGTTCAAACTTGTAAGTACTGTAGATAGAAAGTGCAATGAGTAATTCTATTTAATGTTAGCAGCGTATAATCACCGGTCAATCACCAGCTTTAAGTCTTGAAGCTTAGTGGTTAGAGCACTTGCCTTGCAAGCGAGAGGACTTGGGTTCAATTCCCAGGCAGGGCGAAAAATTGGGCAAGTTTCCTTACTCAACACACTTTTGTTTACCTAGCTTCCCTGGTTGTTAGTCGATTGGTGGATCGCTTTTCTGGGAGTAATAATATCTTTAAAATAAAAATAAAAGATTTGGGCCACTCAATCCACAACTGTTTCTGGGACACTACTGTGTGCCATATTTTTCCCACAAAATATACAGTCAATTCACTTTACAGCCAGTTAATTTGAAATTTGGATTTGATCAAGAAAAAGTCAAGTACAGTCAACCACAGAACAAATTGCATTTATATAGCGTCTTTCAGGTTGGGAGGACATCCCAAGACACTGGCAATGACTGGTTTGACCCAAGCTGCAGGTTGGGATCAGGGAGGGGCAGTGGGCAAGGGAGGGTATAGGAGGGAAGATGACGGAAGGCAAGGTCATAAAGGAAGATCTTGAGACAGGCCTTGAACGAGGCAATGGATGGTCTTTATAAGTTGATTGCTCCTGATATGTGTCCCTTTATTTTTAACACATTGCCAGTACTTTTAACCAGAAATAAAAAGCTTTTGCTACTCTTGTCATTGAATTTATCATACAGGCTTGTGAGTGTGAGATTTGTGGAGGAAGAAGGGGGGGTGGGGTCGGTAATAAAGGCTCTGGCCTTTATAAGGAAATTAAAAAAAAACATTGATTGGATAATTTGTTATTCTCAGATGTTGAACATTATTGTATCTTTCAGGAATGCTTCTGAATACTTGTTTTCGACACCGGTATAGTATACTTTAAGATAAATTGGCTAATTAAATCACAGCACCTGAAAGACTTCAACTAAATGCGGCTTAAAGTGTCAAATTGTTGTATTTTATGTTGATGAGCTAGAGGTTGCTAAACTGTCTTTGGGAGTCTGAGGAACTTTCCACACTGACCCTTTTACACCCCCAATTGGTCTGCTTCTCTGTTTTTTGCTTCTCTCTTGGTGTATGGTTCTTGTGGACGGCGGCAAGAGGAAAAAGTAATAGTTATTGCGGGTTGGACTGGGGGTCGGTTAGGCTCTATGGCCTCAAGGCCATTTCCCATTCTTACAGTAATTTACATTTATATAGCGCTCTTCACCTCAGGAGAATGTCCTTAACAGTGTGCTTAACAGTCCTGGCTTGGCATCTGAGCTCAGGATGGGAGCTGAGAGAGGTTGGGAGGGGAAAGATGGTCAAAAGTGCAGTCAAAGAGTTAGGTCTTGAGACGGATCTTGAAGGAGGGAAGGGAGGGAAAGTTATTTTCTTTTATATGTTTATGTACGTGCACATATGTTGCTAGATTGTGTCTGGAGGCACTTAGTATTGTAAAATCACTATTTTTCCCTGCTCCAAATATGACTATAGTTCTGCCGATATGATTTGCATACTAATTGTTAAAATATGTTTTTTTTTAAATACATTTTATTTTTTTCTCTCTAGAAATCTAAAGGCAAAGGGAGAAGGTAACTTGATAACATTCTTCATGTCTTTTTCTGATAATAGTATTGCTAGCACGTTTTATTTTATCAATGCGTTCATCTCGCTCTCCATTGGAGCCTCATTATATTGTGGTGATTGCATTCTATAAAATCCACAGGAAACCAGTTTATAAATTGAATTTAAGAATGTTTTCATTTCGCACAATCTTAATTTTTAAGACACATTAGCTGCTATCATATGAAAGGAATATTTGTATTGACTAATGCTATTCTATGCGATCTGTCAGCTTTTCAGTGGGTCTTCCTAAATAGGCTTTGTTTTTAGATTTTGTTTACAAACTTTTTTTAGAATACTTAAGTTGAGTAATGTCGTGATTAGGATTTTTCTTTCTCTCTCAATAGAAGTATAGCTGCAAATTTTAGCTCATCTATGAATGATCCAAGCACTTCTCAGGTATAGTATAATTTTATAAATTAATTATTTTGGGGGGCAGCCGGGTGTCTGACAATGGGGAAACCATCACCATGCTTAAGAACGTCCAAACCAAACTGAGAATTAATTCCATTCACCAACCTACATATGGAAATTCCAGAGATATTTATTGAAATGGATTGTGCACTCTCTCCCTGGGAGGGCTTTGGCTTGCAGGATTAACAGAAGATGGGTGGGAGGAGTCCCTGCCACAGTGACTGGTCTTCCTTTTCAAGTCCTAACAATAAGCCAGGTTGGCTGTGCTATCATCAGCAGTGCCCTGGAATACTGCGGACTTGCCTGGCGCAGGAACCAGACCGTCACAGAGGGCTCGATTCTGACATTCCATTGCAAAGCATATTACCTTGAAGCCAGTTCAGCTCCAAGGAGACCCCATTTACCTCTCCTGCATGGAGGATACTCCCTAGTTGGTCGTTTGATATCCGACAGTATCGGTTTGAGCCCTCACTAGGTGGACGGTAGGTACTAGGAACTCCCTGGGAGCTTCCTGTTGGGTAACACAGCTCCGCATGAAATGCGTGAGAACATTGCCACCATCTTCCTGTCCACAGCTCGGGTGCACATCCCTTCTCATTGAGTGATGCTTTCACCAATTGGACATGCAAACTTGTTATCACTCACTATTTAGACTTGGCTAACCTGCTTACTGACCTGCTACATGTCGTAGTCACTGCTAAGACTTGCACGTGAAACCTAGGTTTTAAGTGTAACCTAATGAACCACAAGGAAAAACCTAAACAATAATCCCCTCCTAACCCTTAAATTTGCAGGCTGACAGTGAGGATTCCTGGGTTGAGTTTGAAGGTCCACAAGACCGGTAAGAAAAGAACGGTTTTGACTCTGTTTGATCATTCAAATGAAGTGGGTATTAATACAGTAATGCTGTATGGGGTGGATCATATTTCATGTTGACTCATCTGTAAAACTCATCACTTGCAAAGGTTGGACTAAACTGTTTGGAATATATTGTAAATAGTCTATATAATAGTTTCTAAGGATATTGCTGCCTGTGTGTGGAATGGTGTTTGCAGTGTACCCAGCCATGGGAGACAACACAGCAGAGCTTGATTCTCTCCACAGATAGCTTTTAGAGTTGGGATAACAGTTGGGAACAGGAACTCTGGCTGATGTTCCCCCTCTGTAACCAGGGCCACTGAGATCATTTGTAGAACCTTGACTGTTACCCTGTTTAGCTCAGGAGACTTACCGACCAGTATTTGAACTTGGCACATTCTTGTCTGTATGGCCTTGTCCCAAATGGTGATTTTGTCCATGAGGCTTCTCTTTTAATGTCCTCATCCTGCTCTGATCACCTCTTTGTGATATCTGTCATTCTTAAATCCTTGTTGTGCCCTGAAAATTCCATCTCTATACTATATTGGGAGGGCAATCAGTGGTTTTCTCTATGAACCTATAATTACAATCGGAAAGTCGTCCAGTTTTGTCACCTAATGTGATTAAGAAGTGGATATCATTCCAAAGTAGTGCTGCTCATGAGGTGGTGCTATGAGTTATATCGAGTAATATGGCAAGGAAATGGACTAATCAGCCCAACTAGTCCATGCTGGCACAAAAGAGTACTCCACATGTGAGTTTAAGGCTCTCTGAGACGTCACCCCACATAAAGGGCACTATATACTCCTAAATGCAATGTTGTTGAGTTAAGCCTGGGGGAAAATGAAACTTGCAATCTTTTTGACATGTAATATTTTTGTTTGCATATCGTTTGATAAAATCATTAAATGTTTCCAGATTGCACCAGGAATTTTCAGACATTCAGTATGGGCTTGGAAGTGGTGCCTTTGGCAATGTTTTTAAAGCAAAGAAGAAAATGGACAATCGTTACTATGCTGTCAAAAGCATTATCCTAAAAGATGAGTGAGTTGATCTTAGTTTTCTTAGTATGGGCTACAAAGGTAAACAGTGGGTCACATTATGCAAGTTGTGGGAACCATATGTGCGGTTTACAATTCATATGTTAACATCTGTGTACAGAGGAACTGCAGGTTCCCTTAATTATGAATATGGCAATTAAGCCAGGGCAACACATTTAGAATCGTAGAATCTTTACAGTCCAAAAATGTTAGAAAGTAAACCTGGAATAAACTGTCAATCCCTTCATCACCATTGGTGATTGAGCTTCAGTCACTACATCCCTAATCTCTGGAATTCATTCTATCACTCCGTCTCGCACTCGTTCTATATGTCTTTAAGCTTCCCCCCTTGGCCTCTGACCCCACCACTGTGAAACCGTCTGAGACCTTATCCTATGTGAAAGACCCTATATAAATCCAAGCTTTTTTTCAATTTGCTTTTACTGAATTAAACAAAGTTCCTTGTTGATCTCTTGTCTGCTTATCTTAGTGGAAAAGAGAAACGTGAAGTTGAGTTACTGGCCAGAATGTCTCATGAAAACATTGTTCGCTATTACCATTCCTGGATCGAACACAGGTAAAACTATATGTATTATATACATATGTTATTCTGTAATACTATATATGATATATACATGGGTATTAGTATATTGAGAGACCCTCCTCTTTGCCAGCGTTTCTGGTCATCTTTCTCCAACCCCACCCCCCCACATCTGCCAGCTCTATTCCAAGCCAGAGTTGTTAAGCACCTAGGGACATCCTCCTGATGTGAAAGGTGCTACATTATCTTCAGGTTTGGTTTAGTTTGTGTAAAATTTCAGAGGGTGGGAGACGCTTGTGTTTTAAAGCTATTTTGCTCTTTCTCTTTTGAAATCCGCATGAAACCTATCATGAGCTCTCTTCACTCCTGAGCTCACCCCTCTCTTGATCTCTCAGCTTCATTTCCTTGCCATTGTCCTAGGGGACAGTTAACTTTTCACTCTCCAATGGTATAGTTCCCACTACCTTCAGCACCGCTGCCATCACCTGTGGTCCTGGCCAACATTTCCCCAGGTAAAATTCACTTCATGGCTGTCTGTAACGCATTGTTGTTTGCAAATTGGCAGCTGTACTTCCAGGGAGAGAGAGCTCATTCCATTCAGGGACAGAGAAATGTATGTCACCATGTGTAGGTGGCATGCATATGTGGAATCCTGTCTGGTTTGGATACTGTTAAGCATGGTGTTGAATTTCCACATAGCTCAGACACCTGGCTGATGAAAACAAAGGAGACCATTCCTCTTGAGTTGTCACGTCACACACTCTTATGTGGGATACATCTTAAATTGCAAAACGCGCATTAAAGCTAAACTATCTAACTTGCGTGAAGATTCAATATACAATATAATTACTTTTTGCATTTTAAATTTAGTTCCAAAATGAAAAAAAATACACTTTACATTCAAATGGAGCTGTGTGAGGAACATACCTTACAAGACTGGTTGGAAACGTTTGCAAATTCAAATCGTGAAAAGGAACCTGTGTCTATATCAATATTTACTCAATTAGTAGCTGGAGTTAAATACATTCATGACCAGAAGATGATCCATCGGGACCTTAAGGTAAGAGTAAAAATATAATACATTATGCGGCTTATAACTTCCTTATGTTGTGAAAGACACTGTAGTATAAATGTACGTTGTATAAATTCAGATTGCAGTGGTGGCAAATGATTAAATCATTACATCATTGAAGCAGATCAATTGGCTCATTGAACTGCAATGATGCTAGTTCCTCCAATCCCTTTGTTCTGGACATTCTTCCCCACTCTCTGGAACTCGCTCCCAAAGCCCCTTCACCTTGCCTGTTTTCTTTTTGATCATATTGGATCTTTTGGAGTCCTGTAGCTTGGTAGTTAGAGCACTCGCCTTGTAAGTGAGAGACCTGGGCTTGATACCTGGCAGGGTGAAACGTTGGGCAAGTTTCCTTACTCCACACTCTGTTTACCTAGCAGCAAGTAGGAACCCGGTTGTTGGTCAATTGACAGATTACTTTTCCAGGGGTAATAATTTCTTATAAAAAAATTGTAAACTGGTCACTCAGTCCACAAATGTTTGTGTGCAATTGGTGGCTGTGTTTCGCCCACAAAACATAGTTAATTCACTTTGCAGTATGTTCTGTGAAGCGCTTTGAGATGTCTCGAAGACGTGATAACCTGTAGCTCAGTGGTTAGAGCACTCGCTTTGCAAGTGAGAGACCTGAGTTCAATTCCAGACAGGGCGAAACCTTGGGCAAGTTTCCTTACTCCACACGCCTAATAATAATAATCCCTCCAAAACAAAAAACAATAATAAATTGGTCATTTTCAATCTACGACTGTTTGTGGGACATTGCTGTGCGCAATTGGCTGCCGCGTTCGCCCACAAATATACAGTCAATTCACTTTGCAGTATATTCTGTGAAGCGCTTTGGGACGTCCTTCCGACGTGAAAAGCGCAATATCAAATGCAAGGATTATTATTATTATTATTTTATAAGTCGTTACATCAAATGCAAGGATTTTTATTATTATATGTTACATACATATTATATGTTTCGGTTCAACACCCTCCTACTTGCCCCTCGTTTAGAGATTCACACTGTCCCTGTAAAGGGCTTCAAGCTGTTATCCCACATGATAGGTCTGATTTCTAAATGTAAATTGGTTATACTTTGAAACGTATAGAAAATAATTAAAATTCAGTGATGAAAAACTAATTATTTAAATCAATATGCAAAACTGTGGCTGAAGAACTTTTTCTTTTGGTTTTAATACAAAGCCTGCGAACATCTTCCTCAGTGAAGGAAACAAAGTAAAGATTGGTGACTTTGGTCTTGCAGCAATTATGAATGAGAAAAATGCTCATACTGTAGATGTTGGAACACGTAAATATGTAAGCCCAGAACAGGTAAGTACAAGTAAAGACAATCTTTATGTATAAGATTTGTATCCCTTTTGTAGACTTTAGAACTATTTTTTGTAAACTTTTAGAGCTGTGAATAGTACCTAATCTAGAAATACAACATATTGGTTTCTGTCAGATTAATTACACACAGTCATAAATATGTAGAGGAAATGAATGGGAGAGGCAGTGGAGACTGACTGCATCAGTTAGATCAAAAGGAATTGGATAACTATTTAGTAAATAATTCATAGAAATAATTCACACACACTTCTCCTTGCTCAATGTCTTTATAAAGCATTTTGAGAGATTGCATTTTGATAGCTCAGTGGTTAGAGCACTCGCCTCACAAGCGAGACACCTTGGTTCAATTTCCAGCAGGGCGAAGCCTTGGACAAGTTTCTTTACTCCACATGCTTGATAATAATCCCTCAAGAAAAAAAACAATAATAAATTGGTCCCTTGAATCCATGACTGTTTGTGGGACACTGCTGTGCGCAATTGGCTGCTGCATTTCGCCCACAAATATACAGTCAATTCACTTTACAGTATATTCTGTGAAGCGCTTTGAGACGTATAGAAGACGTGAAAAGCGCCATATCAAATACAAGGATTATTATGTGTAAGTAATTGCATTTTTGTTTAAATTGTGATGTTGCCTCAGTGGTTTGTTTAGTTACAGCGCTTGTTAACTTAGTCTTCAAAGCTTAGTTTCACTGGAGGTAATATTAACCAGAATTCCCACCAGCCAGGTGTTTGGCACATCTGGAACTCCATCACCATGCTTAAGTCCAAACTGGACAGAGTTCCACATGTGTATGCTACCAACACATGGAAATTTCCCCATGTCTTGAATGAAATGTGCATATTTTCCCTGAAGACTATTGGGTGCAGGTTGGAAAGAGCCAAAGCTTGGGGACCCCCAGATTGTTGGGGTACTTGAATGGTTCAAATCATATCTCTCACACTGGCTCCACTTTGTCTCCACAAATGGCTTCTCCTCCAGTCCCCGCACCATCTCATGAGGTGTTCCTCAGGGCTCTGTGCTCAGTCTTCTCCTCTTCAACCTATATATGCTCCCTCTTGGTGACATCATCCGCAGACATGGGTTCAACTTCCACATGTGCATGAATGACACCCAACTCTATCTCTCTGCCTCCACCCTCGACTCCAGGACAACTGATGTCCTGACAGCATGTCTGTCAGACATCAAGTCCTGGGTGAGAGCAAACTTTCTACAGTTGAACATAAACAAGACCCGAGGCTCTCCTGATTGGCTCGTGCCAGCTTCTCTGCATCTCAGGCATTGGCAGGATCAGCATCTATGGATGCACACTTCACCTCACCAAGCCAGTCAGGAACCCAGGCATTTTGCTTGACCTTCATCTGTCCTTTCTCCACCATATCCATGCCATGACCCGCTCTGCCTTCTCCCAACCATATTGCCCAATTCCGCCACTGCCTCACCCTTCAGGCTGCTGAAACCCTCATACATTCCTTCATTACATTTATGCTCAGCTATGCCAACTCGCTGCTTGTCAGTCTTCCCAACTCTTTCCTCCACAAGCTGCAGGTCATCCAGAACTCTGCAGTTCGTGTCCTCTCCAGCACCAGGCTCCATGACCGCATCACACCCACCCTTGCCTGGCTCCACTGGCTCCCCATCCCTCAGAGGATCAAGTTCAAAATCCTTGACCTCACCTTCAAGGCCCTCCATGGCCTTACCCCCTCCTACCTCTCCGACCTGCTAACCCCTTTATTAACCTGTCCACTCCCTCCGCTCAGCAAGCACCAGCCTGCTCCATTTCCCTGCCCGGCTCACCCCACTATCAGCGGTCAGACCTTCAGCCTCTCTGCCCCCACCCTCTGGAACTCCATCCCACATTCCCTTTGCTTTGCTCCCTTCCTTGCCTCCTTCAAGGCACGCCTCAAAACCCTCCTCTTTGACTGTGCCTTCGGCCACCCTCTCCGCCCTCCACCCTCCCTGATACCAACTCCACATCCCTGCTCGGGTCCTAATCCCTGACTGTTCAGCGCCTTGGGACGTCCTTCCGACGTGAAAGGCGCTTTATAAATGTAATTTTGTATGTGTATTGCTGGAGTTTAACCAGCTATAACCACATAGCTTGCCATTGAAGCACTATCTGGCAAGCTTCGGTCGACTTGAGGTGAAGCAATTTTGCTTGTCTAGCTAGGATAGGGCTTTGGCTTTCACGGCTAACAGAAACTGAGTGAAGGGATTTAATAGTAGTAGTAATAATAATTCTTACATTTAACATAGTGCCTGTCACATTGGGAAGATGTTTCAAAGTGCTTCAGAGAATTTATTGGTATAGTGAATGTGTATTTGTAGGCAATTTGTGAACAACAACGTCCCACAAACATCATGAGGTGAATGATCTGAATGTGAGGATGAGGATGTTGAATTCAAGGATCTTTAATTTGGTTCATGAAAGGGGATTGCAAAATAAGACCTTTGTCTGATTATCAACAATAGAAAGTATTTTTATTTAAGATATTTCAACTATGTCATTTTTATTCAGCAAATAATATCATCGTACACCAATAAAACGGATATATTTCCGTTAGGACTGATTTACTTTGAACTTTTCTGGATATTCTGCGGCACTGGGCACGAAAAAAATGCAGTAAGTAATTAATATGAGATCATTCTGTGTGTGCATGCGTGCAAAACTTCCTTTACTGTTAATTTATCTTAAGAGCTGGTCAAGTGACATTTTCAGCAAGTCATGGGCATCTACTGATTTACACAGTCTGCACAGCACCAACGCAGACCATTTAGCCCAACTATTCCATGTTTATCCTCCATATTGGCTTATACCTTAGGGAATAGGGGGGAATAGGAGGGGTAGGGACTCAATTGGAGTATAAATACCAGCATGGAATAGTTGGGCCAAGGGGCCTGTTTCTGTGCCTTAGAACTCTATGGAACTCTGAAATTAGGCACCCAAATTATGAAGAAAGACTGCAAAAGCAGGGATTGTTCACACTGAAGAGGAGAAAACCCTACAAAATCCTGCAGGCTGGGGATCAATTGATTTCTAATAGTAAGCTTAACATTACTTAATTTAGAAAAAGCACACAAAATCTACTCATCAGTTCTTTCACTAAATGCGGCATTTACTTTCTGGCAATAAATACATCTAATCTTGCCTCACTGCAATTGCAGCACATTGATATTTCCATCTCTAAACAAATTACATTCCAGAGCTTTGTGGGCAAATCTATACGCCTAATCCCACAATTTTACGGGATTAACTGTAAAGAACAGTGACTGTGTATTTTATAGGCAAGTGCAGCAGCCAATTTGTGCACAACAATGTCCCATAAACAGCCATGAAGTGACTGCCCAATTTTATCTGGAGGATTGTTGGCCAGGATACTGGGAGAAATTCCCGTCTCTTCTCACATAGTTTGGTTTGGATAAGAAGACCCTTTGCCCATTTGATCTCAGGTATCAGCCTGGCTCAGTTGGTAGCATTCTCACCTCTGAATTGGAAGCTTGTGGGTTAAAAATCCATGCAGGAACTTTTAACTCACAGTCTGGGTTGACGCTCCCAATGCAGTGCTTGGGGGTACGTTGCATTGTTAGATGTGCTGTCTTGGAATAGGATGATATACCAAACTGCTTGTTCAGGTGGCATGTCCTAAAGGTCCCCTAGCACTACTCAAAAAGAGGAGAGAGTTTTTCCTTGTGTCTTGGTCAATAATCCCCCAAATGAAATGTGGTTACTCATTTCATTACTGTTTTGCTGTGTATAAATTGGTATGTATAAATTGGCTGCTATATTTGCCTATAAAATCACGACACTGCTGTGAAGGAGAGAAGAAATGTAGGAGAAAGCCAGTGTGACCAGAAGTACTTTACTGAATATATTCCATTAAGTGTATTTATTTTGTGTAGCTTGGGTTTGGTTTGCTGTGGACATTTGAATATGTATATAATGATGATGATTATGTGGGTGAGGTGGTATTCTCCCTGGATCTGCTAGTTCTCCTCAGGATCAGAACTTGTGCACATGTCAGGCTGTATAGACAACAAAAATAAATTTGTGCAGCGCCTTTCACGTCAGGACGATATCCCAAGGCGCTGAGAGACCACTCTATGTTAAGAGTATAATTAGTATCTCACAAATGTAAAATGCACTATTTATGAAGCATAAGTTGAATAGTGTGGAATTTAATCTTAATGGTACTGATATTGTTTTCTTAATTTATTGAGAAATGGCAGAAGATTCGATCTGGCGATTTTCCATCACCATTTCCTGAAAACTTTGAATTCCAGGTGAGGCACAACATTTGCATAATCGCTATTTTTTAAAATTGCTTTACCTCCTCAAGACGACCATTTAAGTGAATTTTCTTTCTCCTGTCTTTCTTGCAGACTAAGGTAATCAAAATGATGCTCACCAACTCTCCAGAGTTGAGACCAACAGCTGACGATGTAAAACAAATACTGAATCGTGGTTTACAGGAAGAATCGAAAACCATTTAAACAGATTATTCTGAGGAGAACTGCGGGTCGGATAAACAGCCTCGGAGTGTTGGTTGAATCCATCAGTGATCATCTCTAGTTTAATTATTTCTAAACAATCAAATCATGACATTATCATGGTGTACTTTCCATTTAATATGCTGCAAAAGAACGCAAAGAGCATTAATAAGGGTCCTATACTTAACCAATGTGCAAACAGGACATCGGTTTTAATTTTACAGGTGTGTGGCAGAGCAGATTATTATTTTAATGGGGTACATCATTTTAATGGTGAACATCTTTTACTTATAAACCATTAATGTCTGTGTGTGTGTGTGTGTGTAGGGGGAGGGGGGACATTCAAGATGAAGCTTTAACTAGGATTGAATATTTTACTGATGTAGTTTTTATTCATTATTCACTATTCGATTGAAAGCTTATTCATTAATTAAATTAATAGCTGTAATTGTTTGTATGGGGCATAATCACTACTCCTTAACCAATTCTGACTAGACTTTCCACGGTAATGAGTAAAGCTACTGTGGCCCTAAACTCTGGAACTCTCTCCCTCAAATCCTCTATCTCGCTCGTAGGGGGAAAAGCCATTGAACAAAAAAAAATCATGTGCAATTATGGGCACCAGATATCCTTCTTCTTGGAGTTATTTGTTTAAAAGGTAAATTTACTCGACTCCACAATGGGCCCTCTGCTGGCTGATCTGTATGCTGTGCTGTGAGAGACCTCGAGTTTTATAACAAGGCCGAGTGGAGTTCAAGACTGGTATCTGAATTGTTTCCTCTTCCTACTGTGCCTGCAGACAAAGTTCAAAGTGGGAATGTTGCTTGTAGTGGAGAAGAACAAAATTTGGCAACAGCAAAACTTGGATTTATACAGCGCTCTTCACATGGGTAGTGTCTTGGAGAGCTTAACAGAGCTTGACATCGAGCTGGGGAGAGAGGGTAGGTGACTATGCACCGTCAAAGAGGAAGTCAAAGATGCGATCTGAAGAAGGGCAAGGAGGGGGCAAGGCAGAGGGATTGAGGCAGAGAGTTCCAAAGTTTCGGGGTGTAGTGGCTGAAAGCAGGCAGAGATCTGTATTTATGAACAAATATTTCGGACAGAACAAGTAAGTGCTGCAGGAAAGGTGCGGTCAGTCATCGTGTGATGTGAGAATATCTGAAGATTTGTGAGTCTGCCATTTTGACACTCGGTAATAACAGTGATCTTTTAGACATGTCCTGTCCCATTGTAAAGAAGTGGTGGATTTAACAGCCTGGAGTATTTTTTCATTAATTTGTGCCGAAGGCTGAATATTTTTTGTGCTTGGTGATTATTGATCTGCTCAAGTAAGAAGAAATTGCTGAGCCCGATGTGGTGGTTTAAAATCGGTGCCTTTATAAGATACACATGTTGAAGTGATATTTTGCATCAGTCTGTTTCATCATTGCTCAATTTGTACTCATTTTTATGCTGTACTTCTTTAAAACAGGTGAATTCTCTTGAAACCTGCCCTTTGGGGTAACACAAGGAAAGGTAACACAAAGTGTCAACAGAATGTTATTTATACAAACCTAGGAACTATGGATAGTTCAGTTTGTCAGAATTCTAGGTTCATGAAGTTGCAATATTAAAGCTGCTGGAAGTTGAGGCCCTATAATGTACTTCTGAACTGTTAAGGGCATCTCTGACCAGTCTGCAAATTTGTGGTTGAAACAGCAGTCATTATCCACAGGATAAACTATCTTAAGATTTCCAAGCTAAATATGTGATATGGATGAAGTAATTGTACAGACCTGAAATGCACAGGTAACCTGGAGTTGTGAGTGAAGGGGGCTGTCCAGTTCCTGGAGACAGTGGAGAGGAGAGCAATGAAGATGATCTATCCCCGATGTTAGAAGAATGAGCTATTTTGAGCAATGATTAGATACATTCTTCTAACATTGGGGATCGATCATCTTCATCCTCTCCACTGTCTCCAGGCTTTTTAGTCTTGAAAGGAGATGTTTCAGAGGGGACTTTAAAGAGGTGTATAACATTTTAAATGGGATTGAAACAGTAAACTCAGAACAATATTCTCAAATGCACCAGACAACAGAACAAGAGGCCACGGGTTTGGTGTTGCAAAGATCAATTTCAGGACAGATGCCTGGAAGTATTGTTTACACAGAGAGTAATTAACGACTGGAACGGGTTACCAGGAAGGGTGATTTAAAGACTGGGCACTGATCTTGTTTGCAGCTTTGTGACCTTACCATTTGGGGCAGTTAAGGCAGAAAGCAGATTTAAATTGAACCAGTGCTTATTGAGGAGACTTTTTACCAGAGATCAAAAAGGTTTAGATAAAGAAGGTCCCTCAGTTGATTTGATCACATCCTTCCAGAATAACTACCCCGCAGATATGAGTCCAGTGTTCTGCTCTCAGCTTCCCTTCCTGGTAACCCAATCCAGTTATTAATTACCCTCTGGGTAAATAAATATTTCCTGGTGTCTGTCCTGAAATTTGCCCTTTGGAATCCTGAATCAATGTCCTTTTGTTCTGTTGTTTGGTACATCCAAAAATATTGTTCTGAGTTTCATCTTATTTCCATTTTTTTCACCGGTGTTTAATACAGATAATGGGTACTAGAGATTAGTATTATCATACAAGCTTCATATTGGTATGAAATCTTGAGTGGCAGATTTAGGTTCTGAGGAGTATGAACATTCTTTGCAGAATTAAGTTTGATCAAGGCATAAAAGAAATGTGCAAAGGAAATAGACACTGAGGTCCAATCTGTGAATTGGGTTAATAATTGCTAAAATTGAGGGTTGAGTTAACCATGTGCAAGTGCATATGTACTAAAGGAAATACAAGAGCCTTTAATTATGATAATATAATAATCCTTGCATTTGATATAGCATCTTATCACATTGTTGACATCTCACAACCAATGAATTAAAGATGCCTGTTTTGTTGGTTGGTCAATTGAGTTTGCCTACAAAATAGTTGCTACACTTTACAGCATATTCTGTGAACCATTTTGAAATGTCCTCCTGACATGAAACAACAACAACAAGATTGCATTTATAGAGCGCCTTTCATGTCGGGAGGACGTCCCAAGGTGCTATATTAAATGTAAGGATTATTATTACAAAATTAAGAGCCCCCTGTAATTCACTCTGTACCCATGCATTTGCATGTGGTTAACCCAACCCTCAATTTTTACACACAGGTTGTTAACCCAGCCCGCAAGTTTACCTCTTACCTCCCTCCTCACAACTATTAAGATCTAAGTAAATACTTTAAGCCAAACAGTGGAAGAACCTATCAGTTTATATTTCCATTTGTTGGACATTTGACTGAATTCAGCTATTTCCTATTATGAGCGTACCTTGCTAAGTTTGAGAAATATAAGGGCACAGTTTGGGTCTGTGTGTGTGTAGAACATTCATTCCAGCAGGTCTTTCTAATCATGTGAATAAAGGCAAAACAAAATGAGCAGTTTTAAAATAGAAGATGTTTTCGCTTTTTTTTTCTTCAAGCTTTGAGAGATATTCTGTTCGCAAACCGCTGTTCGGTGTTAAACCAAACAAAGGCACATTCTGTTTTTGCAATGGTTAGTATCAACCATTGTTATTAATAATATGTTTATGGAATCCCCAAAGGCACAAGATGGAGGTGAAAAATCAATTAATTTGTAAACTACAAACCGTGATGTTGAGGTTGCAAATTGTGGGATTCGCTATGTAATTTGGTTGATACGACTTATACAGTCTGCCTGCAACTCGGACTTTGAATGAGTCTTAAAAATGATTAAATGATTAAAAATGATGGTCCTATCTGATACGACTTATGTGAATTTCACTGTATTGCTATTGTTTATAACCTGTAAGAATATAAATTATGTTTTAAAAAATATGTTACGTCAATGGCTTGCTTGAATATCCTAATGGGATAATTTTGCTGAATACTCTTAACTGATGTTACAGGGGTTGGTGACAGGCTGATGATAGTGTGTGTGTGTTTCACTTGCAAAGATTACTACTTCAATGTTATCACAAAATAAAGCAATTCCTGTCTCTGTATTCTGTTTTGGCAGGTGGTTTGTGGGGTTTTGGGAAGCTGCAAATGTGGGTTCTCAAAGTCGTGGGAAATGGAACTAAATTTCATTGAACTCGTGAGAAGAGCAAAATCAGTCATTAGTATGATGTGTAGGTCACCCTCACAGAGAGACTAAGCAACGAATTCTGAGACTGGAGCAGTATTGAATGTTACAGTTGTGTTTGAGCTGCATAACTCAGTAATGCACAAATTGACTTACTTGGATTCCTTACAAAGAAGCAGAGCGCTAAAATGATTTATATCATTCATTATTAGTCCAATCGCCTTTCTCATTGGGTAAATTATTTTAAGAATTGAACCTTATTCTACAAAGCAGTGGAGCATCTACAGCGTGGATGTGAGCTCAACACACTGTCCCTGATATGATTGATCGGAGAATGTACGCTTGCACCATTTCCAGGAAAGCTTAAGGATTGCACAGTGAAAGGTGAGTTGTGTTGGTTAATAAAGCGATTCAAGTCAATGGGACTAAAAGGATTGCTCTTTTACCAAGAGCCAGCCCACACTCAATGGACTGAATGGTTGTCTTCTGTGCTGTAAACTTCTATGGTTCTAATTTTCAAAGAAACTTACTGCATTTGGAAAATATACTGCTCATCACCAGCAGGTGGCAACTTATAGCTAAGGAGTGGTGCTTTCTCACCAATGGTCCAGCACATTGATCTTGGAGCAACTGTTCACTTAGTATCATACAGAACAACATTTTCCCTTAATTTTTAACTAAAATTGCCATGTTTCCAGTGAGAATAAAGCTCACCAAGCAATGATTGACCAGTAGGAGACTTTCTTTTGCCAGTGAAAACTATCCGTGAATTTTGGGAGAGGAATATTGGGGTCAATTTGTTGATATACGCTGACATCTGTATAAGTCTGTTACTATGATCCCCGATTAGTGAACCCAAAATTGACACCCGTTTTTTCCAATTGATTCTTACCCCGATATCCAGCCATCGGTGAAGCAGTGCAGCACAGATGTAACGATTTGCAATCAAGTCAAAATGGCGGGGGGGGGGGGGGGGTTCGGCAGCCAACCAGCAAACCATTACACGCAGGGCAGCCA